TAAATGTGCCTGTACGACTGCGATATCGCGAAGGTCGAATTCTGTGTAATTTGAAAGGGGGGCGGGGAGGGGGGGGGGGGATAATCACCGGAGGGCGATTAATGCTACAGCGCGTGTCTCTAATGTGAATAAAACAAAAAATATATAGAGCTTGGAATGAAAGTGCTTCATCCACGACGATTGCGAACGGTAATTAATAATAATAATAATTAATAATAATGATCGCAGTGAACGGTATGTATGCGAGTTACATAGCGTCTCTTAAGCACGCTCGCCGCGGATTCGCCGGGCCAGCTGGATGTCTTTAGGCATGATCGTGACACGTTTGGCGTGGATGGCGCACAAATTCGTGTCCTCGAACAGGCCGACCAGGTAAGCTTCCGACGCTTCCTGAAGGGCGCCTATAGCGGCGCTCTGGAAGCGCAGATCGGTCTTGAAGTCCTGGGCGATCTCACGAACCAGACGCTGGAACGGCAACTTCCTGATCAGCAGCTCGGTCGACTTCTGGTATCTTCGAATTTCTCGAAGCGCCACGGTACCGGGCCTGTCGCGGAAATCGCAGAAACGCTATAGTCGTGGCAACTGTTCGTCCGGGACACAGTTTTGCGATATTTATTCATTTATTATTATTATTTTTTTTAATACCTGTAGCGATGCGGCTTCTTCACGCCACCGGTGGACGGCGCGCTCTTCCTCGCGGCTTTGGTCGCGAGCTGCTTACGGGGGGCTTTACCTCCCGTTGACTTACGGGCCGTCTGCTTGGTACGCGCCATGATTCAACCTGCGACAATAATTGTCGACTAAGTACTAATATCGGGGTTCGAAGGGGGGAGATTTCGCAAAACGTAAAGAAGTGAAGATCTTTAAATCTCAGGGGGCGAAGAAGGGGGGAATTTGGATTCGCGCACGACCGCATTCAACGCTATCGTATTTCCCCCTCCGTCATCAGATTCAGTTTTCGAAGCTAATTGCATGTAATTAGAGACGAGCTGCAGTCGTTGACAATTTCTAATCGGCAAACGCGCGTACAGCGACGCCGAGCGACGCTTGTTAGAGCGCGGCCAAGTTCGGAGGAACGGGAAAAGCGGTGGTGGGAGGGAAGATGGTGGGGCGGTAATTGTAAGTTAGGGGGGAGGTGCATAACTCGTCGCGGTACGCGCGGAGGAACCGCGCACCGAGAAAACGCTGCGCGCGTTGCGCAATGCACGAACTTTCGTTCCCCCGTGGCGGCGAAGACAGGCGGGGGGAGCGCGAGGGGGGCGCGAGAAAGGTGGTGGGAACGAGGGAGAAAGAGAGGGAGAGGAATAGACGGCGAGAAGCGAGAAGAGGAAAAAAAAACCACGCGCTGTCAGCCGAGGAATTCGCGTCCGTGGCGATCGGCGTCGTCCTGAGACGTGCCCGAATTCTCGATCGGGAAGGGAACAGGTCGATCGGCGACGTCGCGATCGACGATAAAACCGGGAACGACGGTCGCGGTCGTCATCGCCACGCGCCACGCGCCGCCGTCGTCGTCGCCGCGACGCGTTCCCCGCATCGCCGAACGTCAATCGCAAAATGGTGGCGAACGTGCGGCGGCGTGAAAATTCGGGGAGATTTTTCCCCGAAATCTCGACGGTCCGCACGGGCTCCCCGGATCGCTTTTGCACGCCCGTGCGCGCGCGCGCAAAAGTGACCGATCGCGCGACGGGTCGGAAACCCGCGGGTTCGGGGTTTTACCTACCTGAGACGGGTTCTCGGGCACGAGCGGGGACGCGAAGCGAACTAGATACACTATCCGTTTCCTCGCACACTCCGATGGCAGTGGACGCTCTCCCGAGTCCACGGCTCTCTCGCGCGTCCCTACCGTCCCCCTCGCTTCCCCTGTTCTGCCTACCCCCCTGTCCCTCCGTCTCTCCTCACCACTCACCGCCGCCACCGCCGCCGCCGCCGCGGGAAATTAAATCGTGCGAGAGGCATGTAGGAGCCCGCGGTGCGCCGCCGGCCAATCCGGCGGCGGGCCGTCGGCCGGCCGGCGCGTCTTATTGGTCGCCGCGGCATCGAGTGCGGCGCGAGTGCCCTGTCAATCGCTCGAAATCGTCCTACGATACGCTCTCCCGACCTCGCCGGGTACCCCCCTCGCCGCCCCCCGCGCCACGATTTCCACCGTCCCGCCCGCCCCCCGCGGTTGCGCTCGTGCCGATGATTCTCCGAATCGCGCATCGCGCACTCCTCTCTCGCGCGCGCGGAAGAACGCGGACAATGTCGCGCACACCGCGTACGGAGAGTACGGAGACGGGAGCTCTGTCATCTGGCGCGCCGGGGGGGCAGAGGGGACGGATAGGGGGGCGAGTTCGATGGATCGATGGACGGCGCGGAAATCTAATGAGTTTTCAGGGATGCGCGGCGCGCCGCGTCGCGCGCCAAGAGAGCGGACGATTTCCCGACGGGCGCGAGCGAGATCAATAACGACGTGTTCCCGCTTCCCGCCGCACGCGACGACGACGAGGACGCTGGGCTTTTACGCTCGCGCGTAACCGCGGTCACGTGACCGCCGCTACGTACACGCTTTGTTCGGACAGCGCGCTAATCGTCCTCGCGTTGCCCGCGTTCCACGTTTGTTTCTCGTCGCCGCGTACGATGGGCGGGGGGGGGGGGGCGATATCATCATCTGCGCAAAAGTAAATAGGAATAGGAAATCGCGAGCGCGCGCGATCGACCGAATTGAGAACCAATCGGCCCGCGCACTTGGCGCTATAAATATAGGATAATGTCATATGGCTGCGGGGGCGGGGCGAAGGGGGGCGGGAGGCGAGGAGCTTTGTCTCCGCGAGCGCGACCCCGCTCGTTGGGCAACCGCTACGCGGGCGTTTAGCCTGGATTTTCGCTCGTTAACCTATAGGACGCCGAGAAAAACCCTCGTTCTTGGGAATTAAAGACGGCTGAGGGGCCAGGCGGGAGGGACTCCCGTTTCCCTTGTTTCGGGGGGGGGAGGGGGGGGGGGGGGGGTAGAACCGAGGTGAAAATCGAGCGCGCGTCGCGGTTACTCCGCGCCGCGTCCTCGCGACGATTATCCGCGCGAAATAGTCCCACATTCAGCTTCCTCTTCTCGAGGAGGGGGGAGGGGAAAGGAGTTGTATACTCACAGCTTAATTACCGCGCGTAATTTCTCGATTCTCTTCGTCGTATCGTCCGATCGACTGATCTCCGAGCTCGGGCTGTCCCGTCGTCCACGGATCGCGAAAAAAACAAAAAAAAAGAGTGAGGCAGGTAGATACGGGCGAGGATCGAGGATGCGTGTGCCGAAAAGCGATGACGCGACGCTACTGTTTACACGCGGGAGAAAGGAGACTATCGCGCGATAATAGCGTGGGGCTGGCTGTGACGTAGGGCAAGACTATTTCGTTCCGCTTATTATCGACCCGCGAAATAGCGAGAGATCGATGCCCGGTCTAGAGTTTTGAGAGAGAGAGAGAGAGAGAGAGACAGAGCTCGTGCGCGCGCGTGCACGCACGCACGTTCTTGCGCTAGATTTTTGCGCACGCAATGCATATAGAGCGTCGCGCGTCACACGCATCGTCCTCGTCTCGCGGCGGCTCGCGCGAATCGATAGCGATGTGCAGCTCCGTGCAAATGCCTGCACAGACGTGCGCGCGCGCGCGATCCTAGGCTTTAGAGCCCCGGACAGAGTACATACATACAATGTTAATGTACATATATGAAATATAAAACAAAATCACGCACACATATATACATATATATAAAAACACACCCATGTAAAGACGGGATATAAAAAGGCAATTTTCGTTACATCCATTAGAAAATGTATTTTACTATAATGTTGTTATAATCATTCGGTTAGTACTATAATTGTTAAGATAATTACAACCTATAATTGCGAATTCGCCAACGAGGGCTGCATTTGGAACGAAACGAAAGTAGCTGCCACTGTTAAACAATATCGATTTGTACGGAATAGACGATAGAAAGTCGGAAACAAAACGTTAATTTTTTTTTTACTTTATAGTACTTACCAAGATTCTTGCAAATCGAAAAAAATAACTGCAACGCCAATTGCAGCCCTCTTGCCGCATCTTCAATAATACGTGTCTAGATGTATGTATTTATTAATGATTTTCTTAGGGTTACATAAAACACTTAACTTATCCTCTAAGCTTACAATATAATTTATATTATATACGTATATGCGCAATACATGCACTGATTTTTTTTGCAGGTCTAAAGTGTGAGGAGACTAAATGCAAATCGAACTATGTGTTGTGTAATAATATTATTACCAATAAACAATCAACTATCTTGTCTGTATTCTATCGCTCTTCGATACTTGTAGACATATCCCTTTATAATGAAAAGTGTGCATATATATAGCTGTACTAGTAAAAATAATAAATTTTGTTTGTACCTAAGCTAAGGTTTTTTTTTTTAATGTTGTAAACGTGGATTTACTGCCCGTGTAAAATCATCTTCCTCGATTAATATTCTAAAATAAAGCGCTAATACCAAGTGTTCTATGAAAAAGATGGGCGAAATCTATGAGATACATTTGCGTGTTACATATTTTCACTACAACATTGAAATATATAAAAAAAAAAGTAAACTTCTCTTCGGACAATTTCTTTCTTCAACTAATGACTCGAGCAATTTTTGTATATTAAAAGTAAATTACACCACTTTTTTAAATTTGTCGATTTTTTTTTATCATTGGTATGAATCACTACGTCTCATTGCATTAGAAAGTCTAATGAAGACTCACTCGTTATTCTTCGTGTTTTTCCCTTCTATTACAGCGGTTGGCAGTGTGTTAACTATGATAAATATACACAGAAGAGAGTCAAGAAAAATTTTAGATGGTTCAGAAACGTAGAGTGTCCAAATAAAAGTAAAATGGGAACGCTCTGCGTATTCGCAAACGGTTTAAGCGCGTTCACCGCGAATTCGCCGCGCGAGCTGTATATCTTTTGGCATGATCGTGACACGTTTGGCGTGAATGGCGCACAAATTCGTGTCTTCGAACAGGCCGACCAGGTAAGCTTCCGACGCTTCCTGGAGGGCACCTATAGCGGCGCTCTGGAAGCGCAGATCGGTCTTGAAATCCTGGGCGATTTCACGAACCAAACGCTGGAACGGCAACTTCCTGATGAGCAACTCGGTAGACTTCTGGTATCTTCGGATTTCTCGAAGTGCCACGGTACCGGGCCTAAAGGCAAAAAATAAATCTAAGATAAGACAAAAAATTCTTCAGAAAAAAAAAACCACTCGATCACTTTTTCTCAAAGACGATTTAAAATCTTGCTAAAGTATATATAATTTGTATTTAATTACTTCAACATTTAATTTAATTTTCATTTAATTCGCAGATTACAATTATCGTCAGTATTATCCAGAATTTTTTCAAACTGTCAAGTCGATAAACACTTTTTTTTTTTTTTTTTAAATAAATAATTTGGTTGTCGAGAGAAAGTTCATACTCGTAAATATTTTGTATGTAGTACACACGTATATATACCTGTAACGATGAGGTTTCTTGACGCCTCCAGTGGACGGCGCGCTCTTACGCGCAGCTTTGGTGGCGAGCTGCTTCCTGGGCGCCTTTCCACCCGTCGACTTACGAGCCGTCTGCTTGGTACGTGCCATAACTGCGAGCAAGCTTCCGTAGCTTTTCTCTTCTGTCTGTCACGAACTTCCGTCCCTAGTAGGACAAAGCACCGAGATACATACGTTAAGATGCTTACTTGGCAGGAGGGAGGAGAGAAAAAGAGAGACAGAGAGAGAGAGAGCAGACTATAATCTAGTCCCCCGCCGCGCGTGTACGTACATACACCAACGCGCACACACTGCAAAGGGTGGGGGAACAGAGGAAGAGAAAGGGCGGAACACGAGAGAGAGAAGAAAAAAAAACCGGAATGATCACCGGATATTCGATCGCAAGATCCTCGCCGGAAGTCGGAACACGCGAGATTTTCAGACGGACGTGCCACGAATTCGGCGCCGGGCGAGTCGCCGGGATGCCGTACGCGGGTGTCTCGCGACTCGCGACGTCGATTTCCCTCCAAAAGTGAGCGACACACAATAAACAAGATGGCGGCAGGGCCGAATGCACTTTTCCCCGAACGAGTCACGCGCGGTCGCGGTAAACCCTCCTCTCCTCGCGGTTCACCCCACCGGCGACGTTCCTCGCGTCGTATCCTCGAGAGCGAGATCGACGAATACGCGTGAGATGCGCGAGGACACGCGCCGCGTCGTTCGACCGACAATCGCGATCGTCCGCGGGGACAGCTCAACTCACCTGAATTTATTCCTGCTTTAAAACGCAGCGACGCCTCTCACGAGTCACTTCGATCGAGCGCGAACCTCACGACTGGACTGAGGGACTGACGCGAACGTACTGGAACGTACTAAAACAACCGAGTTGCGTTGCCGTCGCGCGCGCCGTTAAATTCTATGTATACGCGAAACGAGCAAGATACGCGTACCATCGCGAGAGGCGAAACTTATCGATCCTCTTCGCGTTATTGGCCAGCGCCCCGCGGGGCGCCCGCTGCGATTGGCCGAGGCTTTACGAATGGCGTTGCCACAGTTTTGTAATACGTCGTGTGATCGCCGTACGAACGTTATTCAAAGGACATGAGCTTTTTTAAAGATATAATAAATATATAAAATCACAATAGTATGATTTACCTCTACATTTAAGGCCTCCGCGCAATGAAAAATATAAGGAACAAGGAACAGATGTTTAGCGATTAGGACTGAAGAATCAAGAATGAAGTTGGATGCACAATGAAAAGTACAGGCAACGGAAACGGGGAATAACACAGACAATAGGATTTTCAACCTATCGGATGCCGCGTATTAATGTCACACCGGTTTTATTCCTTTGATTTCTTATTTCTGATCGCTAATATCTGTTCCTTGCTCCTTATATTTTTCATTGTGCGGAGGCTCTTACAACACAATTATAATTAATTGTCTATCTCAATATTAGCTAATATTACTTCGCTGTTTCGGTCTTCGTTCGTTAAATGTGTACGTAGCTTAACATGTGCGCGCCATTTTGTGGAAATCTATTGCGCAGATTGTTTCCTGTTGCAGGAAGCATCTTTTCCGAGATCAGCGTACCGTCACGTTTTATATACAACCATCTCGAATAAAACAATCCTCTTTTTTATTATTAATTGATCGACAAAATGAACCTCGAATTGCAGAAACTACGGGAGATTTTGTTCCCGTCCCCGTTCGCGATTTTTGCCCATTTCAGAGACTTGGAGAAAACGCCCACGTGTCAGAATTTTGTCCATCTAATTGTCGTTATTAACGTTAATAATGCGTTAGAATGAAAAATACCGGGAGAAAACTCGTCAGCGAGAAATGCCGAGATGACGAAATCGATTGACGAACAATCCCCAGCACAGTGGTCGCACGTTTCACCTTACTGAAGTCTTTCCAAATTGAAATTCCCAAAAACGTCTCTCGCGTAAGCGTTGGTTAAATTCTTTTTTTTTCTCGATTATTACTATTACTATTTATGGATTTATAAAAAAAATGTGATATTACGATATCTATATTTAGAATGCAATACCCGCATATAAATTGCTCACTCTAAAGATGCCCAAATGCGTTTTGCGTTCTTCTAACACAGATTTAAGAAAATGGGATGACTATTTACCTGATTTACTCTGTTCCACTGTCCGCACGAGACTGAACGACGAGTACTTGAAGTTGAAATGGTTGAAATGGCCGAATTGGAAAGTGCTAAAGGCGTGCCATTGGGAAAAACTCATTGGCATTCAGCGTCTCAGTTTTTAAGTTTTTCCAGAATCAGACTCGCTAATTCTACCAATGAAATACGCGTCAAACATTCAGTGCTGCCAGTGCCAGTGAGTTTTTCCCAATGGAAAACGTTATAAGAAAAAAAGTTGTTAAAAAGAGACAGCGAAAAGATGAAGCGTTAAATCGGAATTGAAAGTCGCTCTGTAAGGTAAACGTCCCAATAGCCGGACGTCTAACGATGCTAGTTCGATTTTGTTTAATTTTCATAAGTACTCACGAGTTTTAATAGTCTAATTATGTATCCAAATGAAAGGTGGGATATAAGAGCTTACTATTAACCCATAAAAGACATGAAAAGTATTTAAATTATTATAATAATAATAAAAATTGTAAAGCATACAAATGTACCAGTATCCGGACGCGAGGAAATGCTTGTCCCGATTACTAAACTTCTTCGACCCAATATCCGGACACGATAATCATCCAAATAAAATGAAATAATTAACGATTTTAACACATCCTCTGTAGCTGAAGCACGAGTACGTGTCAATTTTGAGCTACTCTGAGGCACAATTCTGGATAACGTCTACAGAAACCTTCATATACCAATGTCTACCGGACTTGTTATTTGACACTAACGAAAGCACACTATCGAGCAGCTGATTTCTACTAACTGGGAAACCTCTATCACAGCAGTAGATTATCCATTCTGTTATTCTTCTTTCGTTATCCTCTTCTTTCGTTAAAATAGTCGGTGATCCTTTAGAACACTTCACAGGATAGATATTTTTGGATTTGCAGTAAAACGTGCTTCTCGGTACATTATACTTTTGTGTTGCCTCTCTCAACGACATGCCATTTTTTATGTCTTTCAAAGCAGCATTTATATTTTCTTGTGTATATTTCTTTTTTATTATTTTCGGCATGTTTGTGATTCTAAAAAACACAAAATATTTACTTACTTTTAGTGTCAATGCAGATACATTGCAAGGTTATGTACGGCATTCTTGTCTAAATTAATATATTTCTTTTTAAATTATTGAAATATATATTTGTAGATGTTAAACTAATATTGATAATACTATTAAATAACATTATTTATAAAAATACTTACATAATTAATCTTAATAGCATTTATTTATTCCGATTCAGTTAGTGGTACTTTCCAACTACGTGTCATCAAAGCGAGTTGTACCGGTAACTAGCACACGATCAGTTACTAGGCAGTCACGTAAATTACTGTACCAGTAACTAAATTCACAAAATTTGCCCAAAAATATTGTTTATATCAATTAGAGGCATATCAGCATATGTTTGTAATTATTCTACACCTTTCTTGACTTCAATAAAACTTTGTTTATACAATAAAAACGCGAAATAAAATAAAAATTATCTTAACAAGTAAGACGTGTTTTCTTAAGAAAATGGTAAGAACACTGTCAAAATATGCCTTTCGCCTAAATGCGTAACAAATTTATCTCTTACTGCACGTTAATTTTTATAATATTTAAAATGTCTTATTATATAGATATTCTTAAATATTTATAGATTTCGATAAAATTTTGAAATTATAATAAAAAAACCATTTGAGATTAATAACGACAAATTTTCATGTAAATGTCCGGATATAGGGTCATGTCCGGCAATCGGGACGTTTACCTTAAGGTGAAGCGGGGAGCACACACTTCTGCATAACGCATAATGCGTATTATAAGCATAAGAAAATTGATTAGTTTATTTTCTTATACACATGTGTATGGACCAATCAATTTTCTTATGCTTACGCATTATGCAGAAGTGTGTGCTCCTCGCTTAAATGTCTGGACAATCTGGACAGTCAATGGACACACCTATGTCTCGACACCTTTATCATTTTAGTCCTTAAATAATTATAACGCAAATTAAAATCAAAGATACAAATATTTTTCTTGTATTTTGAAACTTTAATTATAATATTCAACGTTAATTCGCGTTATACTTATTTAAGAACTAAAATGATATAAGTGTCCAGACATAGGTACGTGTTCGCTGACTGTCCAGGGATTGGTACATTTATCTTAACTAGAAATAAATATCAATATGTAACCATTTTTGAGTTTAGTTAATTAATTCGATAATAAGTCCGGTTTAAAATTCCAAGGGTTGCGTCAGAACACCGGAAAAACTCGAGAGATTTCTAAACGTTTCTTTTAGAACGATTTCTTATTCACTATGCAAATATCGAATCCGTATAAGGATTGTGCCGCTGTCAATAATTATTATAAATTAATAAGTAACGCTGTTTAATAAATGCAATAATTTATAAATTTTTTTTCTGAAAAAATTGAAAGAGGAGAGATCGTCCGATTTTCCGATTCCTCAGAATCTGCGCGTTTGCTAAAAAAAAGCTTGCGCAATATTTTGCAACTGAGCACAACGCGCGATAATTATTGCGCAATTATTAGTATTCCCGGTATTGCACGTTTGAATTGAACGCGAGCGCGATCGCGGATATTAGGCTTGTTCGTTTTCGCTGTTCGTTATCTGAACTAGCGCGATAAGTTAGAATTAAAAAAATATATATTTGTTTTATTCTGACTTATTGCATTAGTTCAGATAATGCAGCGAAAACGAATAGGCCTATTATTTAAGATCTGTGCGAATTTTTCGTGGTTATCGAGCGAGCGACCGAAAGTAATTGAAAAGTATTGACATTATCAACTGTTCGACTAATCATCGATATATCAATATTTTCACGAATATTTCGACTAATTCTCGGTCATTATAAATATCTTGCAATTTTACCTTTAGAATTTTTAATAAGCGGATGTTTAATTATAAATTAACTGAATTAGGAGATATTTGTATATTTTTTTTCACATAAAGAGAATTAATATATTATATTTATATATATCGATGATTAGTCGAAAAAATATCATGGCTCCGGAGCTCGAAGTTGACCCGGTCTGAGGACCCTGATGGACCCTATTTAGATACAAATAGGGCCCATCAGGACCCTCGGGCCTGGACAACTTCGAGCTTCGGTGCCATGACATTGCACTTTTTCCTCTCCCCCATTTTCCGTAAATGGGGGAGAGGAAAAAGTGACACCCAGAAATTCTTGCGTGCCATCTTGAAATGAGATGGCTCGCAAGAATTTTAGGTGTCAGTCACGGAGATTAGAGAAATCTTCATTTCAGTCATTTCTCGCCTCTGACGCCACGCTTTAACATGCCCGCGGCGAGTACCTCAAGAAATCTTTTTCAAATATAGTACAACCGACATATAGTAGGCATATAATAGTACCGACATATAGTAGAACGCAATAACCGCACGACACACCAAATAAAATTGATTCAATTTTTATTGATTTACAATGTTTATTCTTATAAGACACAACTTATGGTAAAATAGCATAAGAAGCGATAACGAACGATCTGTCCTACGAATTAACGTACACAATCGTCACTATATCCTTATCGTTATCGTATTATCGTTATTAATCCTTTTAGCGTATAAACTTTCAGTCGTCAAAAATAATGCATTCGAACGAAATACACCTCTTCCTTGGTTCTCTCTACCTACTACGCGCTACTTGGTAAAATCTTTTAAATCTGTGTATTGCCAAAAATACGTGTCTCGTCGATATCGTAATTTCTTTTTGTCCATCCGAGCGATTTGTATCCCTCGTTTTTATTTCTTACTCAGGTTGTATAGATTTGTACTGGTATCCATTAGAATATGCTACACCGAAGAAGAGACAGACAGAGAAAGAGAGAGGGAGACAAACATTCAAAAGGGGATCAAAATGAGTCGTGTGATTTAAGGTAGATCTTCCGATATATACGTTCTTCAGATATCCAGACACGAAACTCCGAAGCTCTCGATCAATGTGCGGGAAGAAGATATCCCTCAATAGAAACAGGTGAGTCGAGAGAACCCGAATATATTCTCACGAAAGATTAAAGAAATTCAATTTTGTAGGTGCCTCCACCGATTTCTCTCGATCCACCTGTTTCCCGCGGAGAACACGAAAGATTTAATGTTCATTTCTATCAACTTTAATCTCGATTTTATTTATCTTTTTTAGTTCTAAGAATTAGAAGAAGGTAAAAAGTAAGTTAAAACCGAGATCGAAGTTAATTTGCACTGGTAAAGATGAACCTAAGGGCGACTTCGACTAAACTCCGATTAAGTCAGCCGGCGATCCAGCTATAACATGATTTCATCGTCTCGATCTTTTCTTCCACATTAGGCAACAAATAATTAATAATTCTAATCACATTGATAAAATAGTACGGATGTCAGTTAATTACTGATTCATCGAACCGATCGCTTGAAGCAAAATCTTCAACTGTACAATTCATCATTTTTTATCCTCTTTTCTCGTATCTTGGACAACAAATAATTAATACTATCGGTGTTAACAAAACAGTACAAATGTCGCACGCTAAGTTAATCGCTAATCGGAATTTGGCCGAGGTCAGCCCAAGAGCGCCGCGAAACTTTCCGTCTGACGACGATGTTATGCAAAACGATCCCATCGTCGATTAAAATTGTTCTCCCCGAGTTGCTCGTTCGCCAACGTGTACCCCTCGAAAGAACTCCGCGGAATCGCAACCTCCGTGACAAAAAGCGGCGGCGCACTCCCCCGACTGAGGATTTTAGAAGTTACAAAATTACAAAAACCCGCATCGCGCAGAAAGTCGTGCGGAAGAGATATGAGTCGGGTAGGGAACGAAGGGGGACGTATATATAAATACACGCATATGTAGAGAAGCAGCCTGATCGGAACGACAGCCATCGTGGAGATCCTTAATTGTCCTTTGCGTGGTACGTTATTGTAACAATTTATCTCTATATACCTCAGCTCGGGTAATTGCGCGACTAAATTGTATCTATTGTTTCCATCACACAGGACGAACGCGCGCGCCCTACGAACAATCGTGTTCGCGACAGTTTGCAAGCCTTGCGTCTTCGTTTCGTCGTCTCACCACGGCGAGATCTCTTATTCGCTAAGAAACGACGTCTCGCGCGAGAAACTCGGCACGCCTCTCGTCGTAGATTCAAAAAACAAAGAACATCTCAATATATTAAATTATATATATATTAAGAAAATGGTACACATAATTTTCAATTTATAAGCGCTACCTAATCGCCTTAGAAACTACGGGACGTAAAAATAATCGCTAAAAAGAACTCTCTCGGCTCCTGCGAAATGCCAGATAAGAAAACGTTTTGTTCTGCGCACGTCTAGAAGCAGACAGCAACAATAAGAAGTAATAAACAATTTCTTTTTCTTTCTTTCCTTGCGCCAACGTAATTTTGCGACCTGACTTTAATTAAGCTTATGACAATAAATTACAGCAGTCTTGATATCGTTTTATCGTCAACACTTTGTACGACCTTCTCGAGAATGCGGTTCTTGTTTCGATCCACGCAATTTCTTACTCTCCCTTTATTCCTTCGCGCGAGGGCCCTTTGCGCACGCCACGTGTGTGCATATTAAAAAAGAATTTATGATAAATCATCAGTGATTCATCCTGTGAAAGCAACGAATGTGACTGCACGAACGAAAGGTTTCTCCTTATTCTCTTTGCTTTCGCGACTCTCTCGTTTCTCAACTCGGATATTCCGGACGTTCCTTAATCGATTGTTACAAACACACCGTGTGAGCACGAGTAAAATAGATACGATTCGTTCACGCAATAGCCCGCAAAGTATACAATACTTAGTACCTTAACCGCTTAATGTATAAGTACATTGCTTTTTTTAAACACCAGAAGTTACACAATATACGAATATATCGATTCTGCTTTTCTACGCCGAGCGTATCCAAAGTCGAGCTGTGTGAGAGAGCAATGCCTATTGTTTCTCTTTATATATATATATATTATGTACATATATCAAGCTTACAAATATAAGATTTGTTTAAACGCGTTTGTTTCATTTTGCGCTGCCTCCTGACTTTTAATGGCCTCAAAAAGCACTACGCCTAAACATTATACACTGTATCGGAAGACGGCGTTTACCGTAATATTGCAAAAATAGTAAAAAATTTAAAAGGGGGCACATTTCTATACACAATTCCACATTATCGAGAACTACGGAGAGCGCGCTCCTCGACGCTCCTCTCTCGCGAATCTCCAATCAGATTCAAGTCCCGAAAGTTGATGATAAATTTACGTGTTTGCTGCGTGTAATCACACATGTTGGTTCGACGAATTTTTGCGAAATGCGGTTTTCCCCCATAAACGGCCTGAGAATGCGGAATTAGCTATAGAAATTAGAAACATCAACAGATCACATTCACTTCTCGCAGAACGCAACTTTATTACTTTCATAAGTCTGTCGAAAAAATGGCACTGCTTGCACATCGTTCTCTTCATGCAAATTGTTATTACGTTTCCCTCGCTTAACGCAAAGAGCTTGTTAAATAATATGCGAGACCACTGCGGGCTATGTAGGTGGCCAATTTACGTTCGCTTTCCTCTCGAGACGAGCGTGCTCCACGAACTTGCGACTCGATCGTTCCCTTTTTTTTTCTTTCCAACTTTTATAGAAAATATCAGCGATGAAATATGAGGGTGCAAATGACTGTTGCGCGGCTTTCTCGTTGATTCTATTCTTACAACCGCTAAGACACGTACCTTGCAACGCAATTATAACTGCTGAAATACTTTGTTTCTCTAGCAAGTAAATGTAGCGCGAGTAGTTACTGGTGCAAGCGTTACTTTACGCATTACAGAATTATAAAAAAGGTAGAAATTGTCCATTGAAAAATACGAATCTATTATTGAAATGTATAATTGAAATCTATTAATTAGAAGTGACGATGAATTTAAATTCCATCGATAAAATTTTAATGTACATTCGATATATATCGAAGAATGATCGTAAAAGCAATATGAAAATTTTTAATTAAAGTATCAATTGTGACGGAAGTTATGATCCTAAAGAAGAAGAATATATAAGTGGCATACCGAGCGATTTGGTCTAACTGTAGGCGTGATCACAGTCGTACAGCCATTTGTTACCTCGTATTTTTCACAAACAAGCCTAAACTCGGATCACGTAGGTTCGCATCGACCGTCACTGCGCTCCGATGAATCAACGGATAATTAAAAATATAATTATATCGTGATGTCATAATGTTCCATAAATGACTAAGCGACCATTCGGTTGAAAGATAACGGAGAATTGATCTATGAATCTAGGCAAATTTGAGATATCTTAAACAGTTCGTAACATAAATATTTCGAAGATTATAAATCGTGTAACGATCGTAATAATGTGAGTCGCAGTAGATAACGTTCTTACTGATAACGCGAGTCGGTTCTTGCGGAACAACAAGGAATGTCCGAAAAGTCTTCGCGGACATTGAGCAAACGTTTTCCTCTTTTTTTTTATTCTTTCGCAAACAAGAACACACATTTCGCTACACGAATAAATGAAAATGATTTTCGTGATATCTTAATATCAAGGATCAGCCATGCTATGAAAATAACAAATGCAGTAATCGTTATATCAAAATTACGAGTGATTAAAGGACGACACAGGTCTATAGCAAGTACTTTTAGTTATAAATCGTGATATAAATGTTCAGCAAATATCCCTTTATAGATATTACAATTTTTACGCAATTATTATACAATATTCTAGTGATTATGTGTATGCTTTTTTTCGTCTGAACCGTGCCGATAATTCCTCCCCGATGTTGTCAAAATACCTCCTCCTCCTCCCTCCCCCTGCGTCTGCCGTCTCGCGCGAATTACGCAAAGTGCGACGGGCGATCACGTAATATTTTCAACTAGTGCATAAACAAACGCAATTACAATGTAGCCCGACCCCGTTTTACAACGCAGAGGAAGAGTTATTCGCACAGGACAGAGCGTATAACGTTTGTAATTGGTATTATTGTAACTTGTCAAAAATATAGTGTTCAATTTTAATTCGCCCTATTGTTGGTTTTCTTTGTGCAATCGAAGTAAACGTTGTTGAATGCGTTCTAAATTCAAGAGTCACATTCGTAAGCATTTCAGCAGGATTTTGAGATTTAATTTCAAACACGGATTAGTCGGGCACTGCCTGAAATATTGGCGATACTCGGAACAAACTTGGAATTTTGCTGCTCGATATATACATTCATTATCGACATATACATATTTCTTTCTTCATTTCTATAATGGTGAGAACCAATTATTATTATTATTATTAAAATTGATCCGATCAAACGTTCGACTTTTAGATACGATAGATAATGATCGAGCGTACACAACGATAGTATGTCATCAAAATGCTCCAAAATGCGCGAGATAATTGATGAAACCAACAACGGGGGACAGTAGTATATAAATATTCAACTGTATGTTTTCTTTGTTACACGATAATATTAGCTAATCATCCACTTTGTTACTCTCCTATTACTCTATTTTGTAGCTAAATTTGTTGCTTTCACAATAATTTATATTCTAAATATATTTTATATTTTTAATTGTGTTATTTAATTGTTATAGAAGTAAAATAGTACAATATAATGTAATTGTTTGTAATATTCATATAACCCTATTATTCAGGAATATCATTTCTAAACGTTCCGTTAAACGTAACGCGATCGTAACTTTCCTCCGATTATTCAAAAGATGAAAAAGGTTCTCTCGCATTTTTTCCGTATACAAAAAACTGTTATGACTTGGATATGATCCCATTATTTGTAACATTGTTGCCTTAGATACAAATACTGTGGAAGGAAGTTCGATCGCGGAATATTATTGAAAAAAAAATCGCATTCTTTATAAGTACCTTCTTTTTTTTAACAATTTCAACGATTTACTAAACGCGCGTATTTCTTTTGTCGATTATTGTAAACTCGTAGATCTCAATATCAATTGGGAATTTACTTTCTCTATCACGTGGTGCACACTAGCCACATAAAAACTGAGACATCGAAAATAGTGCACTAATTGCTTGATATTTTATTTTTTATTTTAAATAGTTAAATCTAATATATTATATTTATACACACGTAAATAGTGCCAAAATGTGCCAAGTGGACACGTGAGGAAAAATACAAAGAAATAAATATATTTCAATATTATAACATTCCTGTACTTATAAAGAATGCATTCGAATGAACGCAAGAAAAAAATGCATTATTATAAATGTTTCTCTCTTAAATCCTAAATAGTTCTTTGAAAATGGTGTTATGGTATATGCGGCCTCTAAGAAAATTAAAATATGCCGTCTACTTATCAGGTGAGATCTCTCACGAGACCACGTAATGTTATATCGACCGGAAGAGTCGGAAAGAAGAAATGAAAGGCGAAAACCTTGGATATTATCTAGATATTAAAAATGTCAATAATCAAAAGAGAATGGACTTTCTATCTCTCTAAAATTGCTTCTTATATCCTCAATCTAATTAAGAATGTATAGCACATCAAAGAAAAAGTTTATTTCAATAATTCTTATTTATTCCTACATTATTCCGTATTGTAGCATAATTTTTAAAAAACAGTAATCTTTAGACCATATATACCATAATAGAGAAAATTGTAATTTTCATTTTTAAATAACATCTATTATATTTTAATATTAATAATCTGCAATAAAAAACTGATGTAATAAAAACATTCATTTATTTTTTGGCCTCACTTTTTGACACTAAACTATGAAGGTAATTGAAAAGGGTGGAGAAAAATAAACGAGAAAGAAAAAAAACCAGTAACAACTAGCGCTGTTGCGAATGTCAGAGAATTCCACAATTAAGTAAATGTCTGCTACAACAATACCCCTTTGTGTTACAGATAATAATAATAAAAAAAAAAAAAAATTTCTAAAAAAAAAAATTCTCGATTATATCTCTCGAAAGATTAATCCTGAGTAAACTAGTCAACGTCTTACAAGTCGCGTAAAAGTGTCGTTAGATGTTTTGTGCGGGGTATTAAACTTGAGTTTAATAATTTCATAATTCTCGAAATTGTAATACATATGTATATTAAATAAAAGTAGTCTTTAAAATTGATTATTGTAACATTTCATGTCTATACGAGGAAAAAATTTGATAATGCTGTCCTATCTATCCTATAATCGTTTATATCTTAGGCAATTATATATATATATTTTTTTTCTCATCATGAGTGTATAGTCATTTTTTTATCATAGAGTTTAACAACTACATCTTTAAAATGAATATACGCATAGAGCCGGGTACATAGACGTACTTCACACGTCCTAATTAGCATACTTGTAGCATGCCAATGAACTGTAACACGTATGTCACGTTTGACTTGTGTATGCATTATATTTTTATATATATATATTTATGAGTTAATTTTTTTTTTGATTAAATTGAAAAATCCTAAGTATCTCTAACATCCTTACATCTACAATTGTAAAAGCCTACAACACGAAATGAGGGTAATTGGTTCAATAATCTAATTGAATAATTGATTGAATATTAAACTTCTTCGTTACTATCACACACTATTTAATTTAAATGTCCTCTAATAACTCCATCGCAAATACTAGTACACAATTAAGCATATTTACGACCTAAAAAGTGGATTGTTACAAAAAGTACGAAACATATACAAGCCACATTATAGAACGAAAGAAAGCAAGTGTATTTTACGTAAAATTGTTAAAAATATTAATCATCGTAAACTTCGATGTGCCCGAAGTGTAAATATTTTTCAACTGCCGATATACTTAATGAACGTAACGAAAGGCAGAACAAATTGAAAAAAGAAAAGAAGAAAAGGAATAAGCGGTAATAACACCGTTAGATAGAAAAGAAACGATAAACAAATGAGATATATATATGTATAATACCTTTTATATAATAAAATTGTTTTAGCGCTATCTATATTTCGGTTGTTTTGTAAACTCCCATACTCTTTATAACTACATGAGAAATCTTTGTTATTAGATATATAAAAACCTAGAAATTATATAATATATTTATATACCTCTTATATAATATTTATATCTTCAATATTAGGTTTTCAACGAAAAATATAAAATTTGTTAATACTTATATTATTACATTCAGTACGAATCAATTGGAAAATCCTATTAAATATATAGATTTAAATATAATAGAAATATCATTTTTTCTGTGACATACGTTTCACAGCTCAACCATCGAGAAAAAAATCCTCCCATTTTTTTTTTAATGCAAGTGGGAGGAGACTTTTGTTGCGTTTATTAATATTATTAATTTTTTTTTAAACAATTATATAGTTTTCGAGGTCCCGAAACTTTGTCCACAACTGCGATTATATTGTTCTCGTGCTAAATGTTCTGTAACCCACATATATTTGCGTTATAAACGCTGAATGTGTATAGTTAACACCCTGCTAGATATTTATTTTGAATTATGTATAAAATAAAACATCTTTGTTTTTTCTTTTTTAGGATCCTATAACGCTTACATTTAAGCGTTACATTTAAAAAAATGTGATATTCACTGAATATACATACATATATATGTATGTATAAATATACTGAGAGAAATATATATTTTAAGATTACACCAGTAAAGATTCTATCATCTTCGCGTACTCACTTTGGCGATAAATCAATCGTATTCTTAAAGTCAATTGGATTCTTGCGGGTACATGCTTACCGCGATAAGAAACGTGTTTTTCAGTGTTGTCACTGTACCAGAGTAAAAATACGAGTCCTTGCAAAATCGTGATACTACTCACATGATATTCTTTCAGAGTCTGCGGCTGCCAACGCCTCTTCGTTTTCTTTCTAACGAAAAGGCGGAAATTGTAACAACAGGATTCTAAGGAAAGGTTCGGGTCTAACTTGTTGAGACTACTGGAGTCTGACAGTACGGGCACTCGCGCTGACTCGGAGCGCACGTCGAACAGACCACGTAATGATTGCAAGATAGGGTCACCGTACGATTCTGCTCCTCGCAAACCATGCACTTTGTTGCCGTTTCTCTGTACAGCACCTGGCAATACAGCAATGTCAATAAGCTACATAGTATATACAACATATGTATTCTAGTATCTCTAGCCATATCTACTCATTTGAAAGACACCGATTGTTTCAGCGATTTGTGACAAAAGTTTTTACCTTTTCCACCTCTTCCAGATCCGAGCGCAATTGCGATTGAATCGATTTCAAGGTGGCTATCGATAGTGATCTAAGTTCGCTTGTTTTCCTCAGTGTATGAAGATACGGGCCGCCGTTGGATGCCTTGTTCTCGACCCTAAGCGCTTTCAGAGCCTGCAAAAAATCCATTCTCTGGAGCACGGCAAATTGGGGCTTCGATATCGTGAGATAATCGCGCGCTAAGTTAGGGGAGATATTCACCTCGTCTCTTTGCTGTTCGGCGATAGTCGCCTTCCTTTTCGCCTCCTCGCTTTCCAATTGCCACGCCGCGCAAGCCGCGCGCGCTTGATTAATACGCTCGTCCCATGTCGCCAATTGAGCACGGCTCGACGACAGTTCGTCTCTGAGCCTTTGTACCTGTAATAAGCGTGGATATATACGACCGATATCGTCACTGTCTTCGAGATATATCCGGGAGACACTCTTTTAACATATCGTGCAATTCTAACCTCGGACAACGATCCTGTGTTACTTGGACTAATGGAAAATGCATTGACCAATGGAGATGCTGGTAGAGTGGGTTGCGTACGCGATGGTGACATTCCTTGGTTCGCAAAATCGAATAAACTACTATTGAATCCACTAAGTTTAGAAGCCGAGCTACTAAGTTGCGAAATGTGATTGCTAAATGGATCTGATATCTGATTTATAAAGGGCAATGTCTGAAAGTAACCGAAGAAAAACAAGTTAGTAAAACCATTTAATATTTATCATAATACGGGAGGATAAAAAAAGGTCAGCTTACGGATTCCATGGAATCTTGATGAGAGAATCTCGATCCGGTAAGAAAACCAGTCTGTAATTGCTGAAGCGGGCTCGAGGTTGATGGCGAGAAATTGGTAAGAACTGAACGTTCAGCCATGCCCGGTATATTGACCGGGGCCGAGCTACCGAGTAAACCGGAGCTAGCTAGGCCTGCCGATATCGAATTGCCAATCGGTGAATTTGTATCCCTATGAATTGAGTCGACTAAATTTAATGGGTCGTCTAAATGTAGCTCGTCTAATGCATTTCCTGGAAAAAGATCAAACATCCGCGTTAAGATATTGCATAATACGTAAACATGGTATGCATATATATATAATTGTTGGATACCGTTCACACTTACCTAGTACAGATTCCACAGTGTCGTTTGAGTAGAACGAATTCGAAAGTGGTGAAACAGTGGTTGCTAATGAGTGACTGCCTAATGTCCCGTTCAAATTGTACGCGATGTAGAGGCTCTGTTTCTGTTGGGCCTTTTCAGCTTTAGTTAACAAAGGATCGCTGTCGATGGCGACCATTTGCTTGCGAATTTCATTCTGTCGAAATCAACATCAATCATGTGATATATAAGAGAGATCCTAAATTATACGATTCTAAATTATATATCAATACTCCACGGAGTAAATCTAGAATCCAGAACAAGAACAAAGTGATGTAAATATAATTATTTTATCTATATTCTAATTTATAATAATTTATTAAATTGGATCTACGCTCATGCGAAACTTGGTTCTTCCACTCAGGTTCTAAATTCATTCCCGAAAGTACATGTGATATTGTCCGAAACACTACTGTTACATTGAAAAAACAAAACTTACAACTTGTATGAGAGAACTGGGGTTGTAAAGTATGTTCGTAAGTTTCTGCTGCGCAACCGCATTCATGGCGGAATTGGTATTATTGGAATTGTGCAGTTGAGCGCCAGGCGCTTTGCTGTGCGAACTGTTGCTACCCAAACTGCTGGTGCTGGCGGATTCCGAGACCTCGCCACTCCCATTCTGCAAGTCGATCAAGCGGTAACGCTAGGTTTTCAACATGGCATAAAAATACTATATTAAAATCGCTAAATAATATAAATTAAAGCAGTCTGTGCGAAATATGAAGGATCGAGACTCACGCTGCTGTCACTGAGTGGCTTGTCCTTGTCGTGGGAGCGCTTGTCAGGTGGAAGAGCGTTGCTGAGTATGTCTGCCAGATTCGCTCCGCAATCTATAGGTACCGCCATATCCCTCGCCAGGCTCATTTCTTCTGTTGGCAACACTGCTTCCATCAACACACCATACCAACGTCCCAATATATCAATTTTGAGAAACAATTTTGACGGCTATAGAATTTAGCATTTATCAAACTGGCTCTCTACGTGTAATTCCAAATGTGTAATTCGCGAAAGGGACTTGCGATTCGCGCGACCCACTTTGCGACTAATGTCCATTTCTATCAACGTAGGTTAATTTTAATCTTGGTTTACCTTACCTGTCTTCTTTTTCTAGTTCTAAGAGTTAGAAAAAGATAGAAAGTAAGTTAAACCGTGATTAAAGTTAATCTACATTGGTAGAAATGGACATAAATCGCGAACAATCGCGACAGTCAAGACAACTAGGTAAACGCGGCAATAAATTCTAGATTTCTCTCGTCGTACATGCACGGTATCATTGAACTCACAAAGCATATAATAAGACTGTTTTACGTACGATTGATGAGTGTACACTCACGGTCAACATGCGCGAAGGCGCAGAAGACGCCGCGCGGGCAGTAGCCAGCTTGTTGCACGTCGTTGCATTTAGTAGACTTGTAGATCTCCGGGTGAAACTGCTGCTCCGTGCGAGTATGACAGTACGTGCACGCATCTCCTTGCTCGCAGTTGCCCGGCTCGCCCCATTCTTCGCCGTGTTTCACATTCGGGCATGGCGTCGAGCTGCAATAATTTGTTAAACATTTAGGAATTATTTCCCGGTGTCCGACTGGGCGATCAGTCGACGATACTTACCGATACTTATATTTCCGCGGGCTGCGCCGCTTGTCCTTGCTGTTATGATACTGCGGACAGGCGTATCCCTGTCGGCAGAGCCGCGGCGGTCTCTTGCACGGCTCGGTCTTGTAGTTGCTTAGCACATAATTCGTGTCCTGCCACTTCGGGTCCTCATTCATCAGGTTACGCTCCTTGTCCAGTATGTTAGGCCCGTTTGACGAGGAGTTCGGATCCGAGTCCGGATTCTCCAACGCCTGGATCTCCTTGATGTCGTACACGGGCGGGCGCAGGTCATGATTGCCGTGCGCGAAAGCGCAGTGCGGACCATTCTTCACGCAAAATCCACGGGTGTCCGTGTCGTGCACGCACATGCACGTCTTGTAGTAGCGCAGATGATAACGCCTCTCCGTGTCGCCCGCGGTACGATGTAGGAACGGACACCTGTTCGACAAGATAATGTTTCACGACCTCGAGCTGACAAAACATGATGCTTTTTCTGTGCGTTCTTCTCCTTTTTTTCTCTGCAATCATTAATAGTCACCCTCGCATTCCTCAGATGATGCCGATATTGTGCGCCCTAGGCTCATAATCCATTTTCTCTTGGTCTTATCGATTTAACGATTTACAAAACAAATGTAATTATTTTCATATTAACAATATTATTTATCAAATTCTATTACAAGAATTGTTTTCATCAATAAATACAATAGACAATTAAACATTACACGATACTCTAAAATTTAAAATTTCTATCCTGGAACGTTGTCTACAATTCTTTTTTCATTACAATTACATTATATGACAAAAGAAAATAATGCAAATAATTTTCTAATTAATTGTTAATAATAAAAATAAAAAAATGTAATCATTTCCAAATTAGAAAACAGAAACAAAACAACTAAAAGTGATGAAAAAAATGTATTACGTATTAGCGATGATATTGAGATACTTAGAAATTTATTGTTAGATACATTCTTTTTATGTTTTGAACAAACCATGAGACATTGAACTGGTATTTTACCGTGTTATACAGTAGTATTCACGGTTAAATCAATATACGTTTAGTTGAACGGCGAGCAAAACTTTAATGACTCGATTACGACGCACCTAACACCACGAATAAGGCTTAGATACATAGTGATTCTTTGTTGTGCCATCGTGCCAAGTACGCGCGGGAAAATCGATAAGAGTGGGCTTCCTTTGTTCGGCAACTCATAACATTGGAAATTTCGGGGAAGAAATTCACGATGTGCCTTACGATCGCTCGATGAAAATCACTTTACGCCGAGCGGAATAAAAATTTATAGCCATAAAAATAATTTATGGCCTATTTAATGTCGGTGGGCTACCGTTTAAACCCCCACGCGACGATTTTTCCTGCATAAAACCGAACTACCTTTCACAGAAAAAGACAGAACGATTAGACGCAATTTTTCCGTGATACTCTTGCGGACGTGTCATTGTAATATTTATTTAATAAAAAAACTAAAGAAACTAATTGTTGTATACACGCTGCAAAGTTTGTTCAATTTCAGTAAACAACAATCGAGCCATTCTGTTCCTTGCACGTTGAACAAAATGACTTGTAATTTGTTGAATGTTGTTGATTATGAAATGGCCACCTGTTTATGCAAATCAAATGCGTATTTCGAGGCACGCGTGCGTGCGTACGTGTTTACGTTAACTGTCGTGGAAATGAAATTACAAAATGTTAAAGCGAGGCGCCGTTAAAAATATGGTATGTTAATTTATGCGCAAAGTGTGGAGAACTTTAACTTTCTGATGTTACAGTGTCACTGCTTCCGGCAAAAGATATGCTGGAATGTATAATCGATATCGCGAATTATCGGGAGATATTGCGTTTTTTATTCGGAAGTCGAGAAACGGAGACTCGAATCTTAATAAACATTATTAATATAATTCTCGCAAAAAATCATACAATTTATTAGAAAAGATGCTTTTTCTCGATCAGGCTGGATCTTGATAATCTAATAACAGTAGGTATTTCTGTGCACAGAAAAAAAAGAAGCGTCAAATCAAGACATATACTCATATATACGCAACAATCTATAATCTTGGAAATGAGATTATACTGCGCCAAGTTAAACGAAGAAAACTTGCTTGAACGAAGTCATTTATAATTCAACTAAGAAAAAAAAGTTGAAATTTTTATAAGATTATAGACTGTTGCATATGTACAAGTGAAGTATATAAATTTTGATTTGATTCTTCTTCTTTTCCCTACGCGTGAATGTTGTATACTTTTTCCGAATCAGTAAACTGCGCGTCGATTATTTGTCGATATTAAAAAAAAATAACTTCATGAGATCTAGGTCATAATTGAGAACACGACATCGCGGTTCCTCCGAAGAGTTATCATCGCGGGATCATCGGGTATCGTCCTTTAACGGGAGAGAATATTTACGTCGGAAGTGCGTTGTATCGGCTAAAAATGTCGCGGTGTCACGCCGCATTTCTCACCGGGGCAGATGTTACGTGTGCGTTACGTGTCAACGACCAACAAAGCGAGGACGGAGCACGACTCCGCTTCGTTCTCTCCTTTTTTTTCTCTCTCTCTTCCTTCTCTCAAGCCTCCGATTACCGAACTTTCGCAAACGAGCCGCCGTGAATCGTGGCAGCGGCGAGCTTCCCCGAGGAGGAGGAACGTCCTTCCGAGTCGCATTCCGAGAAGGTTTCGCATGCGTTTCCGCGGCAAGGATCTGCCCGCGAGGTCCTCCGAGAGAAAGGTGTAACCGCGTCAGGCTGTGTGGCACGTAAGGTGCTCCCGTGCGCGCGCGCTATACAACAGAATATACTTTAATTCATGTATACGACGTAGCACGCGGCCACTGGTCGATGGGAGGAGGCGGGCACACGCGGACGCCTAAAAAAAAAAAACGCGATGCGCAATTCCGCGCCGACGACGGGGTGCGCGCGGTATTTTTCTTTTCCCTCCCTCGCTCCTAATCCTCGGAGTTCCGCGCAACAATTGTCTCTCTCCGTGGGGAACGAAAGAACCGCGGGAACGCGCGCGAACGCGACGACGGAACGTAAACACGTACGTGCGCGCGCGAGGGACACGTACGCGGCACGATAGCAACGCTACGTGTACATATATCGCGTTACGTTATATATACACACACGTGTGTATATATATATACATATGTATAAACACATACGCATCACACGTATTCTTATCGTTACGAGAGAGCCGGTTGTTCGGCGATACCACGATACGAGAAAAACAGCGGTCCTCCCGTTCCTCGTCGACGAAGATTTCGAGGTGAAAACGTCGTCGCAAATGCCGTAACCGCTCTCTGCCATGATACTCGTGAACGAATACACGTACACACAACGCACACGTTCTATTCTCACGTACGCAGGTTTCTCACTGACGAAGAAGAACGCACCGTGTGCATCACGTAACTCGCCTCGCGACTCGCGATGCGCAATAAGAATAGAAAAAAGGGTAAAAAACTTACTCGTCCCCATCGGGGCAAATGCCAGTCGTCTCGTCGTACTTGGTGCAATAATTGTCGGCGCTGTAGTTGAAGGTGCGGTCCCTCTTTCTCACCGGTCTGCGCCTCCGCTGGTTCATGAAGTGCCAGTTGAAGCACGTGAACGGTCTGTGCTGCGTGCATTTGCGCTGGATGAAGAGGGGACACTGGTCGACGCGGAACTCCTTCAAGTATCTGGAATGCGAATCCACCGTGCTAGACATTATTTTTCGCCCGTGGGTTGCCGCGCTCTGCCTCCACGCTGCCGCCTCGCCGCCGCGTCTCTATCTCTATCTCTCTCTCGCACGCTCGCTCTCTCTCGTCACCGCCGCTCATACATGTATTTTTGCGGATCGTAGGACGCGCGCGTCGCGTATAGGCCGCGTTCGTTGCTCGCGGCTCTCCCGTTCTTCCCTCTCCGTCTCTCACTCACTCGCTCGCTCTCTCTCTCCCTCTCACTCTTCCGTTCGCACGGTCCCTCTCACTCTATCTCACTCTGCTCCCTCTCTAGCCGCACCGTTACCTTCTACTTTTATTCTATCTCTCTCACTCTCGCTATCTCTTTCCCTCCCACTCCCTCTCTCTCTCTCTCTCTTTATCTCTCTCACACACAATATGTTTAATTTTCCTTCGCACTGCACTTTCGGGATGTGTGGCGGTCCGCGGTCCGCGCACTTTCCGGCGCACAAACGGCCAACTCGTCAAGTCAAGTCAAGTCGTCACATCGCACGTCTCCCTCGCTCGTGGGCTCGCACTCTCGCCCTTCTCTCCCTCCCCCTCGCGCCTACGTGCCTTTTCTCTCGCGCTCGGCGGACAGATATACGATGCGCGCGACATGCTCCGCGAACCGCGGGCCGCGGGCTCCGCCGCCGCGAAGCTACGCGCACTGGTCGTTCACTCGGGCACGCGGCCCGGCTCCGGCCGGCCGCTACTTACGTGTAATGATTCGCCTTCTCCGCCTGAGCTGTCAACAAAGGTTTCGAGTCGGACTTCATCTTGGATACAACAACGCGAGCCACCGACCAACCGCGCTCGCGCACGAACACACGCACTAACACGTACGGCGTACGCCACCGACCAGCACGGCGAACCGTCTCGATCACCGTCACCGTCTTCTTCGTCTTCGCCTTCGCCGTCGTCACCGCCACGACCACCGCTATCGCCGCCACCGTCACCCGGTCACCGTTCGCTACCGTCGCTACTCGCTAGTCCCGCTACCAATCGCTACCGTCTCGTCGTCCCCGTCGCCGATCCGTGCGCCGTCGTCGTGTCGTCGTCGTCCTCTCGCCTCTCTCGGCCGCTCGCGCTCGCTGGCTGCTGGCTCGCTCTTGTCCACCCGCCCCTCCAGACCAGACGCGCGCGAATCTTATTGGCCGGGGTATGCGGGCCGCGCAGCGCGCACCGCGCAGTACGCGTTCTACGCGCCTCCGCGGGCCAATCGCCGCGTCCCTTCTCCCCCCGGTCACGTGACGCGCGATAGCTTTCAAGGTCATTGATGTTTTGGTTCACACGTAAACAGGATCGACGACGCTAGACAACGCGCGACGAGAATGACACGTAGCCGAATGCCCGATGCCGTCGTCGGCCCTCGTTTACGGCGTTTACGCGCCGTCCCACCTTCTCTTGGAAACCCGCCTTCCGCTCGAGCGAGTGGAACGAATGTATCTCCTTGGATCTCCTCTCGTTCGCCCGTCGATGAGAGGGTGAGAAGAACTCCGAGGAGTGACGCGTCATCGTGTCTCAAAAGGGCTACGTTTTGATAAGCGATAGCATTGGGAACGGCCTTCCTCGCGCGGTAGCCCCGGGCCCCGCCGGTGTTGCTGGTTGCTGGTTGCTTCCCCTCTCGACGGATGTGATTTATCGAACCACGCGCCGACTTATCGAAATACGAGAACGAGAGATAAGAAAGCGAAGAGCTCGCGACGTTCTCGCTTCATTATCTCGCTTTATCTCCGAGCGCGAGACTCCCGGCTCGCGATTAGTCAGGTAGACGAGACCACTTGTTGCCACCGGCTCCCCGTAGACGCTCCAGGAAGTCCCGCTCTCGCTCTCGTCGACAATCGATAGCTCGCAAGCGGCGGCGCGCTGTCGGAAAAAAGATCGCAGCATTATCTGCAACGTTATCACTCGTGCCGGCTAATTATCAAAATTATCACCGAGAAGAGTAATTCTCGCGAAGAAAGAATAAAGGGCGCTTACTCCGAGAATCCTCGTCGAGATTTGCGCTGCGAGATCTCGAACGGAGCGACGTCCAGGTTACACCCTCGATCGCTGTCGCTTTCGCCGAATCTCGCGCGATGCTTCGCGCTCTTGATTCATCCCATCCTCTCGCTCCTCCCATCGATGACTTTCGATCTCGTCTGAATTTCTCTCGCACGCTGAATCCAGAAATTCTGCAGTCTTATTTATCTTAAATCTATTCCCTCGAGATTTGCGTCTTTCCGCTTGAAAGCGCATCCGAACGCGGGCGAACGCTCCAAGGAACAGTCGCCCGACTTCACTCCGCAGGGAGAAAGTCGCGGAGTGAAGTAGGGCGACTATCGCGATGAGAAATGAACAAAGACTCGAATACCATTTGAATTATCGCGCGAATCGATCGAACGGTTCGATCGTCGCCTCGTTGATTTCGAGACGTACTTATTCCCGCGTGATTCATCGACGCACCCGACTCGCGACTAAGGGAGCGCGCTATATTAGCGCTATTTGCTTATTCTATCCTTGTGTTATTCCTGATGAGCGATAAAGACAAAATGATTCAATAGCGCTAATAACGCGCTCCCCGAACGCCGCCTAACTTTACGACGACCCGGGGAGGGGGGCGAAATCGAGGGCTGAGCAAACGCACTTTGTATTACAGTAAACTTTTATTGAGTCTGAATAGCGTTGGTGTTTATAGTCAGCGTCGCGTCGCCGTATCCTCCCTATATCCTCCAGTTTTTATCCGCACAGAAATGTCTCGACGATAATATACAATTCGATTGCGACTGTAATTCCTCTCTTCCCGTCGCGCGGCACGCCGCCGCGCCGCGCCGTTTCGGAGTCGACCTCCGGTGCTAACATCTATTGCGGTTTTATTTTAGTAAAATAAAATGTACACTAAGATAGAGAGACGCTGGAAGGACATCAAGGTTTCTTCCCGGGGGTGCTCGGGGCGCATTCGTCAAATAAGTTACGCTCCGGGGGCGTCACTTTACTTGCCAACTTTACGCTGTACATCGTCGAATATGGATCGATAACGCTCGGACTCGGACTTCAAACGCTCCGCGACGGAGTTTTTTTTTTACGATTCCCGCGATCTACTCGCAGGTGACATAATCGCCGGCAAGCGCACGCTTATAATTTATAATATCTGTATACGTTGCGTTAAATGTTAAACGATTAAACGATCGCAAGCATGTATATCCTCTTTGTCGCGGCCAGTCGCCGCTTTAGCCCTCGTGTCGTAGTCGTAAATAACGGAAAGTGTGTAATCCGGAGTAATATTATGTTAACAAGTTTTATTTTTATACAATTAGCTATCTATATACAGTATGTCAATATGAATGTCGCATTTGTTTAATTAACGTAATATTAAAGGGAGAGACCTCGTCTAATTCTGCCTGCTGCGCTAAGATCTGGAATATCCTGTGATTTCTCTTTTCTCTCTATATATACCTATATATATAATCCTCTCTTATATAATACTCTTAAAAATCTCATAATGTAATTTCGGAATCTCGCAACGATCGCGCGATATTCCTCGTTAAACCGGTATTCGTCCGATAATCAAAGTTCCGAACTTCTCAATATCGCAGGGATAACTTCGGCGAGTAATATCTGCCTAACGGACTCTCAGATAAAATTTAAATATAATAAGAGATTCGCGCGCGATTAAATTTCGTGACGATATAAATAATTGTAATTCACTGGGAATTATCTCGATTACACGTACATACCTATACGGTAATTGAATCCGTAAATGCGCTTTCCTCCCTATCCTCGAACTCTTTGAATTTACACACTTTTGATCGGAATCGTGAATTCGTCGGCAAACGGCTTAATCTGTATACTGATTGATCTCCGCGATTACTTCTAGCTGAGAGCGAATAATGCGAATATTTAATATTGCCTCGCGTAATCTTGGATGGCAAAGGCTGTTCTCTAAGATCGGGTTCGCTAAAGTTGCGGAGCTCTTCATTTTTTTTTCCGTCTCATTTTCATTACCTTTTCTTTTTTAACGTCATCTATAAAATGCGAAGACGAGATAACCGTTTTTATTCGGCGCGTGTAACGGCGGTCTTAATTTAGACGGTTGTTCCGTACGTGCTGAACATCACTCTGGTGGTATCTGTGTCGAGGGTGACGTCCTCCGGTGACGCTAGGTCGACCTTTATGGATCCGGAATTGTTCCGCCTTCGCGTCATGCCACCGCCCCAATTCGACAGCGTCCAGTGGTAGGTCTCGCCGTCTTTCTCGGCGTTCGTCGCGGCGGTCTCCTGCGTCGTCTCGTTCTCCTTGTCCAGGCCGGTGTCGATCGAGACCGACGATTGCGACGCGACGGAGTCGAAGCTGGAGTCGCCGCCGCAGCCGCCGCCTCTGTACCGGCTCACGTATTCCGTCGCCATCTCACCGGGCGACTCCTCGATGGCTCGCAGGATATTTTGACACAGTTCCGAGTCGAGCGGTATCGGGTCCTCCGAGTCGCGATTGTGTATCGTCACCGCTATGTGAGCAGGATGCGGAATCGGCAGAGGGATCACCAGTTTCTCTGCGCTGTACGGATGAATCTGGCGTTTCCACGGCTGCCACCGTCCCTCCGAGTTGTTCTCGCTCGTCATCGTGCGCCTCCGGATTTTCGTCGACGTCAACAGGCCGCTGGTGTCGCTGCGGAGAATCACGTTTTACATATTTTCTTTTTCTTTCAAAAAATTGTAACACGATTAGGAGATAATTACCATCGCTTGTCGGACTTTCTGCTGTTGCTGGCTTGCTTGGCTCTCGGATTAAAGGCGGACACCTCGAGATACGGGCTATGCACTTGGATATTCCCGCGTGGCGCGTAAACGGCACCGAGTAAATCGGGCCCGTTAATGCCACCGAGTTCGGTGCTGTGCACCATGTCCGTATACCGTGATAGATCAACTCCTGGATGTGGCTCCAATCTAAATTTCGTGTCGGAATCGTCGAGCGGTTGTAGGAAATCCAGACTGAAAATATCGGCATACATAAGCCCTGCCAGTCCCGCCCAGTCGCATACCCCTAAACCTTTGTTCTCCCAGAAATCCTCCTCATTCCCAGGCAATCTCGCGAAAACATGAGTAGGATAGAGACGTTCCAGCATTAGTGCGCCTTGCTGTATGACTACCTGCAATGTTATTTTAACTCTATTGTAACCGGATTACTGGATTATACGCGCATACAAATTCGTAGAGTATTAATAGAACGCGGAGTCACATAGAATATTACGGAGAATAATTACCTTTAAGTCGAAAGTTGTTAATTTTATCTTACTCCTCACCGCGACGCCGAGACCCGTCTGCAAATTCTTTCTTCGTCGGTCCAGCTTCTCGTGCAGCACGGCGATTAAATCTTTGGCTTCTTTCTCGAGCGATTTGTACGGATCCTTTGTCTTGGCGAGACTAGCGGCGAACGGGCCGAAACAGGCCTCGACAAATTGAGTAAAATCTCTCTGCGGTTGAGTGATTAGTCTCTCGGTCTCTTGCTGGAAAGCCAGTAATTCGTCCAGCTCTAATTTCGCTTCAAACGCAGCCAATGCTTGCTCCGCTCTTATCTGACAAAGATAATTTGAGTTTTTTAAATTTTATTCCTCAGGCATTACAGATATCCATGGGTAAAAATATAATACTCACTTGATAATAGTAATCCGAAGCTAGTCCTGGTCCAGCTATTCTCTTTACGACGAAACTGTCACTTGCTGGTATTCGACCTCTATTTTTGATCACTAGATGGAACATAACCGTATCCCAGAACACCCTGACCCAGTAACGTATCACAGCAACTGGAAAATAGAATTATTTTGCATATACTTTTTCGTAAGTGCCATTTTCCTCGCGAAACTCATTTTATTTACTTGTAAGTATCACGAATGAGATGACCGGGCACAGGACAAAGGCTACGAATAACGCTGCTATCGGTTGCAGACAGCCCTGAACACCGATGTTCCAGGCCAACGCTTCCATCACCACGAAGTATCGATTGCGGCTCGGCTCAGGACTATCCAGATCCATTATGAGCGCCATGAACGCATGTAGCGTCAACGTGACCAGAGGCATCCTGAAACAGCCAATGAGTTAAATTCAATTACGTTCTACTTTAAAAAAGAAAAAAAAGGAGATCCATCGCACGAGGAACTAACCATAAGACCGCAGTGAGAGCGACAATCAGCGAACTGACGCTCGCCAGGACGCACACCACGGGAAATATGAACAGGATGATGAGTGTGCCTAATAGGCCCTTGGCACCGTAGTTCCATAGCCTATTTAAATGTCTGGTCATGCCTTTGCCGATGAATCCTAAAAAGATATCGTTAACGTATTGATATTGCATTACTAATATTCAGAGTCTGATACTCTAATTATATTTCTGTTAAAATGTAAACGTGATAAAAAGCGATCTTACCTGTGTCTGGTTCAGTTTCAAAGTGCGTCCGACTTTTACTGATATGCCTCCAGAGTGCTATTAGTCGGGAACAGAGAGTAGGCATTTGCGAAGACTTTCTCGGGAACAATGTCCCATTTAGTTGACTCAATTCCAAGTCGGGAGTAAACGGTTGCACGAGCAGTAGAGCGCGGAAAGACACTGGACTACACCACGGGACGGCTACACCCAACAGAAACATCGCATTCCAAGTCCAACACCACGTCCTGGCGATGTAATTTATCCAGCGCCACATCGGCCACCTTTATCACAAAATCATTAAAAGTACCGAACATGAGAATGCATAATAATAGTTTGATCGATTGAGGTACCTTGTCGTAGTTGTGTGTACAATCTCTCTTTCAACCAAAAAGACAGGCTGGCTAGGATCAGCGCGAGGCGTCGTGATAGAAGTCGGAGTATTGCTCAGTACGGTTGGAATGATTTCGGATTGGCCTTGGAAATTACGTCTTATTATCCAGTTCTTCGGTAACCAGATTTGCGTCGGCCATTGGTAAGTCCTCGTCGGGGTTTTCACCTTCCGCAGTTCTTTCAGGAGAACAGGCTCTCTCTGAAACAGACAAATCCAGGTTTCTAACAAGTTCCAAGATGATAGAATAGAATTCAAAGATCGGGCGGTAGATACCTCTTTCATGAAAGTTAAATCACGATTGAGGAAGTACACAGTCTGGGTGAGATTCTGATGGCTGCAAAGCGCGAGAGCTTCTTCATGCGCGCTCCATTCGCACTCCTCGATGAAATTCTCCTCGGCCTCGCGCATGCGATCGCGCATCCACGGCTGTATCCGCGACAGGATCGGGTGCTCGCTCTCGATACGATGTCGCAGAGATTCTTTGGTTTGCGATAACTTCCGTTGCATGTTCTCCACCGCTCGGTGCATCAACACGACCGACTGTGCCTGTTGAACCAGCAGCTGAGCGATACCTTCGCCTAGCGCAAGTATGTCGGGATGCGACAGGATATTCGAGTATACTCTTTGTAAATATTCACGCATCACCGCTTCATTAACTTCCTAAAAATTTCGGTAAATACATTTTAATTTATTTTGCATATATTAATTAAATAAATGTATATCTCTTTTATAAATGTATATTAAACATATTTATTTAAAATGTAATTGTAAATTTCTTAATTAAAAGTATTCCTCACTCGTTCTATTTCCTCGTCCGGTTTCTTTTGTGCTCTCAATTCAGATATCAGTCTTTCTCTAAAGTGAAGGAACCAGCCTCTTGTCTCTCTCTCCAGAATCGCAACGAGCGTCGGCAGAGCTTTCCTGATTATGTCCCTGCTGAACAGTCTGAGATCAACCGCAGCCCCACCAGGTGTTCCAAATACGAAAGGAACTGAAACGGGCAACAGCTGGGACGATTCTCTTTCGACCTCGAATTTCTCCGTGGTCGCCCGACGAAGCTGCTTCCGTATAAATCCACAGAGTAGCTCCAGAGAATCCTCATATTCCGACTACGGCGACGTATGGAGCAAAAACGACGACTTAGGTTTACGCAATGGAGATTGTATCTCACGCCGGGAAATAATAAAAACAATGTCTTACCCTACAGACCAATTCCGCCACCAGGTACCGGCAGCGCTCCTCCCTAATTTTAGCATCTAGATTGTGTGCCTGGAGCGACGGCACGCCGATTATAATGTCTGCAAGATGCATATAAATGTAACATGCAACGTATATGTATGTACAGCATATATAGATATAATGCGGTGTCGGTAATGCGGATGTGCGGCTTAGACGTCACATACAAGCGCGCGAAGGACGCAAACTGCTCACCGAGAAGTCGTAACAGCCCCGTTAACAATGCTTTAAGGGATTGCGAGACACTGAAGCAATGGGAAACTAATCTAGCCTTTGCCGTTACAACGAGAAACCTAGTCGCCAGGGCGAGATCTGTGAGCAACGCGTCCCGCCGTCTATCTCGGCCGCGCTGCAGGAGACCGCTCAATCGCCATCGGTGAGTCTGCCCGGCAAAGTTGATCGAGTCCACTTCGAACTCCCTGCAAGAAGAATCGTCGGTCAACCGCGCGGTAAAAATCTCCCGATTTTGCGACGGCCAAAATCATACAAAGCGCCATGTCCTATAGAGAAACAATTTGGGATAGTAGGAATGTAACAAATAAAGATGAAAAATAGTGTCTCCCCTTCCGTAATGAAACAATTTACACAGCGACGTGTAGTGTCTACTCGTATTCTAATTTCACCAGGGATACTTGTTTCGATAGCGTTGATAATATAATCCGTGCTGAATTAATCGACTAGTCCTATAGTGACTCGCTAAAGCCCGTGAATTTTTTCTTTAATAGCGATTATGTACAAGCCAAACTTAAAAACTAATAACAAACAACAGCTGGGGATATACGGTTTATACAAATCGAGTGCCATGCGATAATGAATACACACTTTACAAAAGATGTTACACCAATCTCCAATTCCAGTGGCGCAAAAGAGTTATACGGTAATATGCGTTTATCTCATCAACGCTCCGCATATGATTCATCGGGCGTTTAAAGTAAGTTAATGGCGGTGCGGAATGAAAGATCATGCTGTGAACGCGACACCGTTCTCGCGCGAGGGAAGCTAGCCGGGTTAGTCAATCCCGAGGTCGCTGTACAAGTTTACCTATCGACCTATTTGCACAAACGTTTAACACATTGTCTTTTACTGTTTTAAGCACTGTCGCTTAGGTGTGTCACACGTACCCGCATCTTCGAATGCTCTCCAACTGAGTGGCATTCAGCTTCTTCGGCTTTCCATATTTATCCTTGTGTAAGCTTTACAGAAATCGTTAGAGCATATCAGACACACACGCACTTGAAGCAAGAAATCGCTTTATTTACTCCGCGTAGAGAGGCTCCGCGCGTCTAATGCATCGAAAATGCAAGCTAGGTATCGATTCAACACTCGCGCCCGATCGCGATATCATCGCTTTTCGCTTATATATTTCGACAGATTCGATGGGTGACCCGACGTGGATATATGGCATATTCATCCATTACAGCTACGTTACATTGCTCTCTTATTTTCTATTATTTTTCTTTCTCTCTAATGACTAACTACTACCGCTACGTATAATTACACAAAATGACTAGCTATCACGATCGTCAAACGAGTAGAGAGGAAATCATTGAGACATCCGCTACGCTCCATGTAGAGAACACCTACCCCCGCTCCCTGATACTCTCCAGTTGCTTGTTGGTCAGTCTCCTGGGCTCGCCCTTGCTATCCACGGCGACAGCGTCCAGTTCATCGAAGCTGGGCGCCACGAAAAGATCCCTCAGGTGGTATTTCTTTCGGGCCAACGTATCCTCGCCCTCCGTACACGAGGACAACGGTGGGGGCAGAACGATGGGAAACGTTCGCCAGTGATAGAGAAATTGCTGGGCAACCTCCTTGATGTTGTGCACCAACGCCTCGACCTCCGTTGGAGCACCTCGCAAATGCGACGTGTCGAATTCCACCGGTTCTTTCTGAAGAACGGTGCCATTATTTTAGAGTTTACTTTGTATTTTATATTCTTTGAATATTTTATTCGTATTTCAATTTTTTTACAACAAGATAAGGTTGATTAAGAATATTTTTTGTTGGTCTGGGACGACGAGTTGTCGTTTAAGGCAGTCAACATATAAAATATTTCTCCAAAATGAACGATAAAAGAGCTGCAGTTCAATAAGGCTGACTCATAAAACGCATCGGAAGTTCCGTTATGAGACTCCGTTCGCTACATACAAAATGTTCGACGTAGGCCAGACCTATCGGTACGAAGTACGATCGATCGATTTCACGTTACCTCGGGCTGAAGTCCATCTGCATTCTCCCGGTGGTACGGCTGCTGGGGATAAGCTTGATGATTCGGTCCCGTGTTGGCGGAGTTGGTGGAAGCTGAGTTTAGATTGTGGGGCATCTCGCGCGTGAAAAGCGTGCGCGGTGGCTGGGGTCAGCTGCCCCGTATACCGACTATCTCCTCATATACCATGCTGCTGGTGGCCACCATTTATCATTCCAGGCTGCAAATCAAAGACGAGAGATCGATCGTATATAGAGCTTTCCTCTTAAGGAACATACGCGGAATGATTGCACGCTGATATTACAACTAAAGCTAGAGTTAAACGAGAGCTAGAGTGAACGAGAGAGATAGGCCGACAAATGTAGTTTTCCTCGAGAAAATTAGGGAAAATTAGGAATGAAAATTATGGAAAATTAGGGAATGTATAAAAATATTCACGTAAACGCAAGTGTACAAAATGACCAGAGGAGATTCTATCGATGCAGCGATCCAAGCTGCAACGAGAAAAAGAGAAAAGAAGAGAGACAAGGTTCGAAAGAAAATAGAATTTTATAGGGACGATAAAAATATCCGGAGTGCGAGGGCAACGACGCGCGTTGCCATTCGTTGCGTGAGGTGATGCTGACCGGCTTTGGCTGAATGCGCGAGACCTATTAACCGATTATGTCCCATTAAACGTTTAAGATTCTGAACATTCCACTCTTCTTGCCGTCGCACCAACGCATATGCTTCGAATTACGTCCGCTCTCTCCCTCACGCCAGTTTACGTCGCCGCGTCGTGTTTTTCTCCTACTTATGGACGACGATACACCGCGACTCCAGCATGAATCGCTCGCGAGACGCGACAAAATTCTTTCGGAAAACATTTCCCAAGGCGCGACAGATCCTGCAAAAATATATATAAGCGAATGAAAAAGTTCGCGTCGTCCCACTGACGAAGGGCAACCCGCCGAAATGTCACGAGCGCAATTTATTTTCGCACGATACACTCACGGGCACTTCGATCGAAATTATTTCCACCAGCGTTTGACCCGACACATTTTCAGCGGCCGCGTGGATCACAGTGGACGTTTTCAAAGAGTGGAGTAAAACCGGCCGCCAAACTAGTTTCGCCGCCGCGGTTTGCGTGACAAAAGTGAAAACTCGTGATAGACGCATAGCATAGTTATCGGTTCGCGTCGTTCCGGTTCGGAGGAAATTACGTCGCGATGGGTATACAACCGGGACTTCGCAGAGAATAATAACGCACTTTCGTTTCGTGATCGTTCTCTTTTCGCCTCGACAACGGAGCGAATCCGATTTTGTTTGTCTTCGACAATAATCTCCGTTCTATTCTGCTCATCCGGAAGTGTTACTTTTCTCGGAATAGATTGGAGAATATCGCGATGGGGCAAACGACAAGAATCAATAAATGGAACATCGATTAGCTTTGCTATCTAACAATTATTGGTTGCAACTATAAATCTAAATGTTTTCATTATGTATAAGTACATTAAAAAAATTCTTTTTTACGTACTTGTATATAATAATGTATATATATAATAATGAAAATATGTATATATGTATATATAATAATGAATACATAATAATGTATATATAATAATGAAAACATTTAGATTTATGGTTCAGCAATTTTGTTGGAAAATTACGTTCTGATTATAAATGTGCAGTATCGGAGCGCATGCAAGAATAAAATAATGTTTCACGCGAGAACAAAACCGGCCCTCGAACAGATCGATGTTCTCCATGCTGGTCCCGGAACGCGAGGAGCGCGACGCGCAAAAGAATATTCGCGATTCCGTTCGGATGTGTTCCAAGTAGGTTGGCGGGTAGTCGCGGACGGTCGCAAGCTCTCTGCCTTTTGACCCAGTTCGAGGCTCTCGGCAACATTAAAACGAGAACTGCCGGGCTATCGCAGTCGATCCGATCGCTCCGATGCAGCGCCGCAGCGTCACGCGTGATCGCGTGCGATTTCGGAGCCGCACGCACAATTTCCGGTCCCATTCGCGACCTTTTCACGCTGAAAGCGGCCGACCGTACTGCGTAGTAACGATGCTCGCCGACGCTGTTGTGGCAAAACAATTACTCCGATCCTACTCCTATCCAAACGCATCAGTCCGAGTGGTATACCGTTCGAGAGGAATATGTAAAAGGATGCGTTCCTGAAAAAGAGACGAGAGAAAATAAAATTTTCGGAAGGCGCGCGGTAGCAGCGAGCCAGGAAACGAGCCTGTCGTTGCTGCACCGGCTTTTATCAAATGATAAGAACACAAATAGGGATGAATGGCATCCATTCATAGATCAGAGACGAATAGCGCGTGGATGTCTCTCAGAGGAATGTCGCACATGATTGCCGCGATGACGATTCCGCTTACACAGAACTGGCATTTATTCGCCAACCCCCCCCCCTGGACAATTATCGTTTTAAAACGTTATAACAAATAAGCTATCCCACACGCTATTCGCCTACGTCATCGTAGTCTATTTGATTAGCCGTTTTTCTTTCTTTTTACGAGAAGTACGGCGCTCTCATCTCCCTCCTTCTCTCTCGAGTAGAGAAACGTGTTCGAGCGTGGGTGTCTAACATGAAGTATCATTGAAACGGAGCTTATACAGTTGTTGGTTTGCAACGCGATGATATCGTACCACCGGGGATTCTCAGCTCGTGACAATTCCCATTCAGCTTGTCTGTAACTCACGTATCAAAGCTTGTACGGTAAATTGCAAAAAGAGAGATGGTCTCGCGCGGAAAAGAAGTGCAGTGTTTCTATGCGCTTCGGAGCGAATCGTCGGCCGGAATAATCAGGTTCTCGCGAGGCAGGATACGCGAGGAACAAAGACGATCCGAGAATCTTGTCCGTACTTAACGTTGAAATCCAAAGCTCGTGTCTCGCCAGAGGCGCCGACGCGCGAAAGATTTCGCAGGGGTAAAATATGCATGTAAAATATATATATTGCCTCGCGCGAACGACGAGGAATAGCGTGAGATAAATGCGATACACAATATGATTCATCCCGCACGGCTGATTGGGGTGATTCACGAAGCTTGATCCCCCTTAGGTCAGGTTGCGAATAAATAAGTTCGCGAGTGAGATTGCGTCCGGCTACGAGCGAAGAGGTTGCATAATGCACATTTCTCAGAAACGTAGAGTTGCGAATCGATATACTATCACCCGGTTTACTATCTGATTATCGTCACGATTGCGCGTTACAAAGTACAACACGCGTAGAATACACATTACGATGATTATAATTATTATACATGTGCTCTTAAAAAATAAACAAGTAAATATAGTCAAATAATGACATAAGAGTGAATCGCGATCAATAATGCGGGATTTAAAGAACAACAGAAATAAACGCGTTTATCGAGGGAAGAAGTAGAACTTCCCATATCGACCTATATGTATTTTTTCTCTCCCCAGAAGAATGTCCGGGAGTTATTCTCGTTACGAGTCGGCGCTTATGCTCGCCCATGGTCTAACGAACGAGATCCGGCAACACAGAGACAGCGATACTCGAATCCAGCCAGCCAGTCAGCCTGCCCTTTCAATGTGCACGACACTCAGCGGCATCATCCTCCCCACCGCTTTCGCGTTCGCGCCCTTCGCAACACGATATACATATGTACACCTGCAACACCCTATCTCCCTCTCCATCTTCCAGTGTGTATAATTTTCAGAACGTAATTTCGCCGCGTGAAGTAACAATGAGGCAATCGGAGATCGTCAATTAACCGCGGTTATGCCGCTACATCAGTCGCAACTTTGTTCTAAACGTTTTATAATAGATGGCTCATTGTCAGTTAACACTTTCGTATCTTTAAAAACTGCAGCTTTACCGATATTCCAGACTTTTAATCCTAATAATTAATACTGTGGTATTTCAATTTAATCTTTTAATCATCTTATTATTGTAGCGAAATTACGGAGGAGAGAGGGAGAGAGGAGATAAGCTCAACGGCGGCTCTCAACGCTCGAAATAATCCGTTCTTAAAGCCGTTCCTCGCAGCCTGCATTCGTATTTCCGTTCAAAGTGCTCGATAACATCGTTCGCCAATGAAACAGTTTCAAGTATACCCAGGCAAATGATCCTCTCGCTCGTCAAGCATAAGTCCGTACGTACTACGATCCCCGGGAAACGCCGATCTCTTCTTTTAATCGTCGAAAGCCGGGTGGCGAGCGATCGGGTCCGGTGAGCTCGATTATCGCACGTCGTAAGAAAGCGTTTCGTGCCACGAGGCCGCAAAGCGACTCGAAGAAGCCGTCTCAATCCGAAAACTTACAAGCGCCCGTCTTCCCGCTGCTAGAATAGCAGTAATAGTAATTGCAGTAATTGTACAAGAGGTCGTTAATCCGCGCGAGTTTGATCTCGATTACCGTCGCTCACGAAAAGTCGCAGCACGCACGTCGGATCTTTCTCTCCGGGAGAGACGACAACGGTACACGTGTCGTGTGCCTGTCGGCGCACACGTGGCGTGCATCAACTCGTCACCGAGAACGAGAGGCAGAACAAAAAAGAATAGAATGGCAGAAAAGTGCAACAACGCGGGAGAAGGATGCGAAAGAAATGAGATACTTGGCCGTGCCAGACGTTTGCCTTCCTCCTTGGCGCCTAGCCGAAGAGTTTTGTTTCCAAACTAAACACCCTCTTGAATTTATATTTCTTTCTTTATAAATGGAAATTATCGTACGCAACCACGAAAAGTTTTCTCACGCTGACGACTTTGTGACGCGTAAAGCACACGATGTTAAGTATCGAGCACTTTGAACAGAAATACGAATGCAAGCTGCGAGGAACAGCTTTAAGAACGGATTGTTTCGAGCGTTGAGAGCCGCCGTTGAGTTTATCTCCTCTCTCCCTCTCTCCTACGTAATTTCGCTAAAAGATTAAATTGAAATACCACAGTATTAATTATTAGGATGAAAAGTCTGAAATATCGGTAAAGCTGCAGTTTTTAAAGATACGAAAGTGTTAACTGACAATGAGCCACCTATTATAAAACGTTTACAACAAAGTTGCGACTGATGTAGCGGCATAACCGTGGTTAATTGACGATCTCCGATTGCCCTATTGTTACTTCACGCGGCGAAATTGCGTTCTGAAAATTGTACACGCTGGAAGATGGAAAGGGAAATAAAATAGGGTGTTGTAGCGCGACTTGAAAGACCTATATAAATTGCATCTCTTACAGGCGCGAGTTCTCCAGACGGTTTGGAAATAAGCTTTTCGATTTGAGGTCGACCCAATCGAGCATCGCGTGACCACTTGCCAAACATTCCACGAGTATATATGCGTATATTGTTACATACATATCGGCAAATTCCGTCGCGTCATAGCTGGGGAACAAGTCGGGCGGAGTGAAGCGGCTTTTCCTGCTTGTCGCTGGAACGGCGAGACGAGCGATAATGAGAAAAGGATATATTCGGGTACTCTCTCAGGTGTACGGCCGCGAACTCAGGCTTCTGCCTGCAGCGACAGATTCCCATCGGTTTCTCCTCGCGCGTTCGTTACCGCGCGGCGTGCATAGATACACATCGTGTGACGCTCCGATTCCCGTGACGGGCAGACCGATATCACGTATGCGTGACGGCGATAATCATCTGAAATTAATTTTTCGGTACACAGTTAGAAACGGAGCGCTGCCCGTGCTAACAGCAAAACGTGAATGTGCGTTATTACTCGTTTGTTTGTTCGCTCGGAACGAAGCTCAAGACGAATCCGTCTACGATTTTAAAACGTTAGACGCGGCGTATCCTCCCACAACTGCACCGCTATGATGAACTACTTCTGGCGGACGGTTCCCGCAAACGGCGGTACTCAAAACTCCGGATCCGCTGTGCGCGCGGATTCATCCGTTTTTCTCGCAGGCAAAGGCAAAGGGGGGATCCTACGTCGTGTGTACACGCATCGCCGTTGTTTTCATGCGTGGACAAGAAAGAAGAAAGAGAGAGAGAGAGAAGAAGAGATCGATCAGCCGGGCCGCCGATGACCGCAACGCACGCGTTCACATCCCCGACTCCCCGAGTCGGATTTAGTTTCTTCTCTTCCTTTTCCGTTTCGTATCTCTCTCCCTTTCGAGGACGGGCGAAGTGAAGGACGTGCAACCGGGATATGACGGGAGAGGACAACGCCCCTGCGACTGGATTCTCTCTATCGACGATCGACGGGGAGGCTGATATTCGCTCGTCTCGTCGTCGGGGTTCGCGCTGTAACGAGGTAATCGAGAATAAATTCTGCGATCCGTTCTGCCAGGCGGAAATCAATCCCGGAGCACCCTCCGGACGGGGGGAAGGGCGCCCGGGGACCCTAGGCGAGTACGCACGCACATATGCGCGTTTAAATAAATTACATTCACATGCATGTTTCACGAGTGAAATATAGGTTCTCCAAACATCGCAGAATGATGGCAGAAACCTCCCGTTTGCTTCTCCAGCCGCGAGAGAGAGAATGGAAGACGTAATTTAGCGGCGAGCCAAATTCAACGATCGTGAAGCCCGCGGGGGGTTCCGCTCGGCCCTCGAAGGGGCGCCTTGCGACGCCGCCAGAAATTCCCGGAGCAGCGCGAATTCGTGTCAATTAAGGCCGCGCTTCCGCACCCCCGGGGGAGAGCGCGGAAAGCGCGCATTACGCGTGTCCTGGAACCTTTGCCTTGGCGCCTCCGTGTCGCGCGCGAATCACTCGCTCGAAGCCCTTTATCGCGCGGTTAAAGGGACGGTCTTCACGGCCATGCGCTTCTTTTTCTCCTCGTTTTATCGTTCGTCCTTAAAAAGACAATTTATATAATACGCTTGACTAATTTTTTTTTAACATGAAACAATTATTGTTTTCCTGTAATACACCCGTCATCTTTGCAAATAAATATTAAGGGAAACAAGAATAAGGAAATAAGAGAGAAATAATGCAAAAAGAAAAAAAAAAAACGACTCGACCAACTCGAAGCACCGGGCGGAAGAGCCTGGTTACCGATAACGTCACGGCGCGTTAAAATCCAGGACCCTTCGGTGTCCGCGCGAGAAAGGGCGAAACATGCGAATGAATCCTGTGCTCCAGGTGATTTCGACGAACACAGTCTTGTTTTCCGAAGACGAAACAGCGAGTTTCGTTGCAGTCGGCGCGCCGCCCCGGATCAAGGGGCAGGGAAGGGGGCGAGACGCGACGCGAACAAGCGTCATCCGCGGCCTAACCTTGGCTCGACCGGTCGGTTGGCTCTTCCGGATTCCGCGGCAGGTGGGACCGCCGCGCGAGGACGCTATACTCCACGGCGACGGGACCAGCTGATCCCGCGCGTGTCTCTCCCGCGGGAGGGAAACTTCGACTTCCGAGGGAAGTCGCCCGCGCGCGAGGAAACCGCCGTTTACCCGCGGGACTCCACTTTGCCCCCCTTTTAGACTCGGTTCGGTTTTTACTCAGTTTACTCACCGTCTCGCTCCGGACTCCGGGGACCCGGCGGTGACGCGCCGGGATCGTGAAGATCGCGACGCAGGGGAAACCGCGCTGTCCGCGAATACGCCGCGATACGTCGTCGAGGTGGGGAAAAGAGGAAAACGCACGGAACCGCGGAACGGCTCCAGATCGTACGAAGCCAGCCACCGAGCGACGACTGATTTTTATCGAACCGTCCGCGGCGAAATGCGGCTCGCGCCGCGCCCGACCCGCCATCTCGGTGCGCGCTAGCGCGCGCGCGGCGCACGCGACGCGGCCACGGTGTAACGATAATGAAGGAAGACGAGCGAGTTGGAATTTTCGCCCTAAAAATCTCTATTGGTCTCTGTATACTTGCTCTAATTTCTAATGGAAGTCTCCACATCTTCGACCGCGAAAAATTAAAATCGAATCAACTCAAAACAGAATGCTGGATAATTAGAACAGACGCCTAAAAAGACTAAAATTCAATTTCTAATCCTGCAACCCCACAAATTTAAGCAAAACAATATTATTTCACTATTATTGCCCCAATAAGGGAAGATCGGAAATTATAAATTTTATAAAAACATAGATAAATTCAGATTTCATAATTATGATAATTTGCGTGAAAGACAAGACTTGTTACTCTTGACGTGAAAGCTGACTGGATTAATAAGTTCTCCTTATAAAGGAAATTCCAGAATCATTGACGTTTGTTAAAAAGAAACCTATAGAGAGAGGTGTCTTAAAATTATCCTTCTTCCACTTGTCACTCTAATTCCTTTATTATTTTAATATAAATACCGAAATCGCTCAAGTTTCTGTAACGTATAAATAAGCGTATTATACAAATTGTGAATCATACCTGTTTCATTTTTCTAAAAATTGCCGTAACGACACATTAATTCGCAGGAATATACTTATTCGGGTTAACAGTCTTCATCGGCGGTGTGTTTATCCGGCCAAAAGTCAATCACAGATATCTTGAGGGTCCCCGTAAACTCTTCGAAGGAGCAAGTGCTGATCAAGGTGTCTCCGTCAGGTATGTTTAAACGTGAGAGATCCGGCTGCTTCAAGAATGACCAGTCGCAGCCATACGACAAACCTTCGTGCTCCTTATAATTGACAACGACAGACGATATTACGTCGGTATGATTGATGATCTTGAAACCATTGCGCATACACGCGGCGAACAGGTATTGGCGAGTAAACGGGTCCCATTTCAAACGCCAGATTCCACCGTCGAGACAAATCTTCGATATCGGTTTCTTGAAATTCCTCTTGTCCCACAATCTTACGCTCTGATCGTAACTGAAATATTGAAGCACACATTGGTCATTTGAAAGAAAACCTGGAAAACAATTATCGACTCTAAAAATAAATTCTGCAACCGTAGAAGACCAAATGTATGAAAAAAGTAGATTAATAATTTCTTTTACTTTCACTGTGTTATATTCGCAAACACAGAAATAAATCTATTATAAAATTCGCAAGTTTCAACTTCGAACTTTTATCGATCGCTCTTTGAAAAACGCAGAGTTGCACTGAAGATTTTTTTTACCTTCCAGTTGCGAGCAAGAACGTTTCGTTGACGTTACTGTGGATGCTGGTAACGCCGGTAGTATGCTCCTTGCTTTCGACTACGGGACGAGATCCTGTCCTGCAATCGAAACCCAGAAACCTATCATCGTCGCCTCCTGAAATTTATGATACGTTAGTTCCAAATCTATCCACACTATTCATATTTGTTCTTAATCATAAGTGAATTTATATTGGATTTCGCTTAATTCGTAAATAACGATTTTTCTTTCAGAGAAAAATTATTTTACAAATTAGGCAAGACCCAATATAAATTCACTTTCATATGAACCATATTGTATATTGCTGTATACCAGAATAAAACATGAACGGGTCGCAATAATCAAAGGCGACGATCCACGCTTGGAACATATGTGCGGGCCACGTGAAGTCCTTCGTCAGATCACCCGACTCACGCCACGTGAAACGAGAGATTTGTCCTGCGCTATCGCTCACGAGGATACTCGTATCGTGGATGGGAAAAGAAGCGGTGTACTTTTCACGAGACCAATCTAGAGACAACGCCAGGACGTTCTCGTCGTCGTTGACTTTTAATTTAGCGACAAGTACCAGTTCCATTTTTTCCCCGTCGTTTTCTAGCTGATGGATTTGTAAGTATCCGGTGGAGTCGACAACGGCGAGTAATACACGAGTTTCCACGGTGTCTACGACGTGCAGCCATTTCATATCCAACACCGCCGAGGTGCATACTTCTTGCAACAGTTCTAACTCTCCGTCATTTGTTATACGGAGCAACAAGATTTGTCCCCGTCTGGACGTAGACGTGCCAGGTTCACCTTTAACTAAACCATATGTTCCGCATGCTAATATGTGTCGATATGGTTCTACAGGACACCACTCGACGGTGTCTGCTGGCAATGTTGTCTCGAATGTGGCCAAAGTACGCACGTTTATCTCGTCTTCCGCCATTTGTTCCTCTCAATTATCTGGAACAAAAGGAATTTCGGCATAATTTAGAGTTACCTCACCAAATATTTAATAAATAACTAATTCGAGTTCTAATATAATGAACTTACGAAATAGCGATCCTGCTTTTGTTACAATTAACAGATGATCATATATATCCACGTGAAAGAATTGATGACGGATACTGATGATTGTAAAATGATGTATGGCAAAAAGTTACACAAGGGAAAGAAACGAAGATATATCCAATATGAATTAGAACGAACAGAAAGAAAGATGCGAGTCGCAATGGATGCTCAAACACAACTCTAATCTTTTTTTAATAAAAAAATTTTTATTTAGTTATAGGTAATTATACAATATTTAATCGTAGGAACACATTTGTACCATTCTCATTTGGTATTTATCTTACTGTCTCATGTAAGTCATGTAATATTATATAGTAAGTTATTAATTTAACCAACGTGACATATAATTACATATATATGGCGGATTATATAAAAATTCTTTTATAAAATTATTATTGTTTGTATAATTAGAAATAGTGACTATTTTATATCTATATTTGTACTATTTGTATTATAATTTGTACTATAATTGCGTATGTATATTTATATATATACGTGTGTGTGTGTGTGTGTGCGCGTATGTGTTTGCGTGTATTAAGGCTTTAAATATATCACTATTTCCGCAAATTGGATTATTTTAAGTCAATAAATAAGAGAAAAATCAAAAAAGAGAAAACCTAAATTTCTTATACAAGTTCTCTATAAAAAAATATCACCACAAAGTTTAAAATAGATAGCAAAAACATATTACTATTATAGCGTTGCTTTTTGGCAGTATGTAAATATCTGTTTTACAGAAGAGAGAGATCGTTGATTCTTCCATGATATTCATCCATACATATATATTCGTCTATTAATAAAAAGAATGGTCATTTAATACTTTGGCTAAATTGAGACATTTGATAAAAATATTCTCTTACAGTTCTGTTAGATTTCATTAGAATCTATTATCGTCATTGTAGTTACTATCCTAGCTATTCGTTATCTTATCAATAACACGTTACAAAGTCACTTTTAATTTGTTTTCATCTGACTCTTGTTTCTATCACAATGGGATATCTTCCCAATCAAAATTCCTCGTAATATGCAAGAGGTAACAAAACGATCTTTCCTTTCATTGCTGACTGCTCTACTGCTGAGCTATACAATTTCTTCCAAATGTAGATTTATGTGGAAAATATTTGAAATATTTGCTAAAATATATATGAACACAATGTTATTTGGATTTCTTGAATTCTTGGTATTTAGGAACGTTGGATAGCTTAGCTCGGACATGGTCAATTTGGGCTCTAGAGCTCGGGTTCTCACTTTTCATCTATGGAGAGTAGAAAGAATTTTTTCCGCTGCCTGTTCAACTTCATGCAGTGGAGGAATTCCCTTCCCTCTTTCCACAGTTGGAAAGATTGAAGTATTGTATCTCCGGTGCTCGATGTTGACCATGCTTAGTTTAGCTAATAGAGATCCCATGTGGTTCTCCATAATACAATGGTTAAAACTACCTGTCTCGGCAGGTTCAAAGTTTATAAACGTCCTAAGAACTTATTTCCACACAAAAAACAAGAGACATAAAAATATTCAAAGCTGAACAGTTTAGAAAAGAGCACTGAAGCTCCGTGCTCAGTCTCAGCATCGCACACATCACCAGGAATTTTGAATGGGTCTAAACTCTAAAATACAGAAATCAATTTTCGAGGTAGAATGAAAATACTGTTGACGATACAATCTTCCTACGATCTTTGATGCAATAAATATCATCTTATGTAAGTATATTTGCATCGTGGCACGAGGTGTTTTTTACGCGAACGACGCGACGTTGCGCAAGTATCGCGGAAGTACGTTACTTGCACGTTTTCCTGGCAATTTTTTCAGCCTCGGCACGGCACTGCTGGACTAGCGAACACGCCCTCGCGAGGTCGCGTTCAACCCTAGGCAACGTCTTGTCAATGTTGTCACCAGTATAACAGATTTTAAGGTCGCGACCAAGCAGCTCTATGATTCGCAGCAGCTTGATGTACTTTGACTGAGCAGGAACGGAAGGTATTGGCGCCATGCGCTGAGTGATCCCCGGCTTCGGCACCGTCAGCAGGGGTTCTGTGATTTTCGCAGTGATCCCTACGTTTTTGCGTTGCTTAGTCATCTCGGAGAACGGACGCGTTTCCCTTTATCTTTACAACCTTGAGAAACAATCGATAATCAGGCCCTGTGGTGGATCGTCGGCGAGCGCAGCGAGAAATTGAAATCGCAGAACGCTAACCTTTAATGGACAATGCGAAAGGAATTCTGTACCGTATTATCGTATTCACGTCGGCGCGTAGTACGAATACCGCTTCGCCGAGGCACGACGTGTGCCGTAAATATCAATAAGTATACGTTATAAATACCTAATTGATCTGCTTTTCTCTCTCCCAAATCTCATATTCCTAATGCCCGTCGCAAGTAGCGTCTCTCGAGCGCGGAGCCACGTGGAGCGTGGAGTAGGCCGCGCCGCGCCGATCGATCGATCCTCCTCATTCACCCCAACCCCCAACCAATAACCACCAACTGCCACTAGTGCCACCACTAACCGCCTTCCCGCGCAAGTGGCGTCTGTCGGCGAGGCGCGAGGGTGGCGCGAGAAATAAAGCAAATAAAATAACATCAAATATCAAATTGCGTTCTGATATTTACAGCTAGTACTGAAATTCTATAGTTCACGTCACGTACACTATAGATTTTTCTTTTGCATTGGCGGTGAATATTAAAATGCATCAAATGCCATCCTTTATTATTAGCGGTAAATATCGGTAGTACACATGCAGAGTAGTGCTGAAAGATTTTGAAGCTGAAGCTGGACCATTTTCTGCCGCTTTCTCTTATTAGAGAGAGAAAGAGAATGATACTACGACCAATATCTTTCTTTTTAATATCGCTCGGATTTCGCGCTCGATCTACTCAAATTTCCGCGATCATAATTACCCGCGTGACGTAACTTCAATTATTTTTATTTTCTACAGCTGATCGGCAGTAGGCAGATATATATTTTTAAAGCACGCTCTGAGATTTTTTTGTTACCTGTTAATCAATTTGGCGCGCAAGATGAATTAGAATGGGACAAGTGGGTCAATAATAATTTGATGACACACTTAATAATATTTGATAAAACTTTTAACTTTTAGTTGTTTGCACAGGAAAAAATCGCATTCGACAAGAAAATCTATGCGTTTCATGAACGCGAATGCTGAAGAAGCACCCTATACGGAAGGGAGAAAAAAGAACGAGATGTCCGCGTTGTATACAAAATTTTTATTTATTTAACGATATATTACGGAATATATTTACGGGATTATACTTTCCATTAGGTACATATTCGAAAAGCTTTTACCTGGCGTAATCTTCTTTTTTTATATCTTTTCCCTCACTCGCTCGAGACGTATACTAAAAGTTTGGAGCGTATGCGAGTCTTAACAAAAACCGTAGTATTACCGTCCTCTTTTTCCTGTTCTCCTTTTTATAAAATATAAACTAAGACTCTCTAATATTCTCTAGGTAGTAGTGTGTATACAAAGTGGTACCTTCCCTCCCATTTCTATATAGTTCTAAATTGCAACTTAAAAGTAGGAAACGTGTTCTTCCGCTGTTCGAACGACACAGGGACCGAGCAGAAGATGACCGAGGTAAAGGAAACCGCATGTGGAGTGAAAAAGATAGCGGTCAAGGCTTTGTTCCAATAACGAAACGCTCGATCCACGTATGCCGGTATGTGTCAATACCACAGTCCGAATTGAAGCGATTCGTACAAAGCAACATCTCGCGAAATGACAGAAGGCTATAAGTTTGTCTAATCGCTAGCCTAGCTCGCGTCGGCAGATCATTGTTGCGCGTTGTGCTGCGTCTCGTGCAGGCAGTCCCGCACGGCGACCCTGGCCTGCTGAATGCCGTTCTTCAGCCTCTCGGCGGCGCTGCGGCTACCCGCGTACGACAGACGGATGTCCCTACCGAGCTCCTCGATGATCATCAGCAGCTTGCCGTAGTTGTTCTGGCCGGGCACGCTCTGGTAGTTGATCATGCTGGACGGGCTGGCCTGTGCCACCTGCACGGTCTGCACGTTCTGCAGATTCCTCGGATTTGGCACGGTGATGACGGGTTCGGGGATGCGCGGCGGCGGTGGTAGCGGCGGGATATCTGGCATCTTGGGCGGGTCGTTCAGCTTCGTGATCGTAATCTCGTTCATCTTGGCCAGCTCGTTCAGCTTCACCATCTCGTTCGTCATTTTGACCGGGTACTCCGGTCTGTCCATCTTGACGATGTCGTTCTGCATGTTCGCCATCTTCATCATCTCGTTCATCTTGGTCTTCTCGTTCATCTTCGCGATCTCCTTCGCCATCTCGTTGATCTGCGCGAACTCGGTCAGCTTCGTGATATCGTTATTGTACTTTGCCATCTCCGTCATCTTCACCATCTCGTTCAGCTTCGCTATCTCGTTCATCCTCTGCGCCTCGTTGATCTTGGCCATCTGCGATATCTTTATCATCTCGTTCATCTTCGCCATCTCGTTGATCTTATCGTTATACTTGGCCATCTCGGAAAACTTGACCATCTCGTTCATCTTGGCGATCTCCTGCATCTTCATGTATTCGGTCGTCTTGGCGTATTCCGCCATCTTCTCCATCTCGTATCTCTTCATGTCCTGCGACATCTTGTTCAACTCAGAATTCATTTTACTAAATTCCGCCAGTTGAGCCATTTGAACTATATGCTCAGGTACTTTTCCCCTCTCCATCATTTGCTTCAATTCCGCGGATATCTTGTTCATATTCATCTCCGACATCTGGGCTATCGTATTGGAATCCGGAACGGGCATCTTGGACAGCTCGGCGATCTTGGAGATCTCCCTCGCGAGATTCTCGTCCAGGCAGCGCTTCTTCTTGGCGCGATGCCTGGCCATCCGCTGAGCCTCCTGCATCCTCCTCATCGCCGCCTGTTCCTCGCTTTCCTTGGCTCTGGCGTTTTTCATTATCTCCGCAGCCGTATACAGTCTAACAGCACGTTCCTCCCCTGTCTCTGACATCTATAATCTCGCATTTCCCCTCACTGTCCGAAGGCAAGATTCTTTCTCGGCGTTGAGCTCAACACACTAACACAACTGGCATGCAATCTGTCCTTCGTGCGTCGCATCATTTTCGGAGTCAAATTATATAAAATCTAAAATAATCTAGAATACAATAAATGGAATAGAATAAATATCCCAATCGGATTCAGCTTATTTCTCCGACGCTCTCGTCTCTTCAGCAACCACGATGCTGTCAGTTTACTTTACGCATGCCGCAGCTCGAAAAATAGTCTACCAGGCATCTGAAACAGACGGATAAGTCGTGTTACAAGAACGGCAACGAAAGATAAGGCGATAAAATACGATTGTCCAGATACTCGCGAGGTAATCAACGTTCGTACGGAACCTAACCTCCTAACGAAAGGACACGTCACGCGCGAATCGCGTCACGATAAAACAACTAGACCGAGACAACTCGTGAGACTCGTTTATCACCGGAAGCCGTTAAAACATCCGTCGTCCCGATTTTCGGCAAGTTGCACGGATAATCGAGGACGCGATCCGATTTCCCTTTAGAAAAACGCAAAAACGAGACGTCGAACGGCGAGTCTTCCTCGACGACGACAAACTTACTACGTTCGGAACTGCCGCGCGCACATCTCGGGAATCTTTTCGTCGCTGTCTCGGTCTGCTGCGTCTCCTCGTCGTCGTCGCGAGCTGCATCGCCCGGTGTGCGTGCCAGTGCGTACGCGCGTGACGCCGCCAGAACCCCCCGTTCCGGGGGGAAAAGTTCGAAAAGAAACGGAGCGTCGGCGTCGGAGTGTCGGAGTCGTCGGACATGCGGGCGGGTGGGGGTGGACGCGCGCATGCGCGCGCCGAGCTAAGAACGTCGTCTTCACGCGCCTTTAGTTCCCCCGCCCCGTCGCGACCGATCGACAAAACAATGGCGGACACGTTTCGGCCGATCCGCTGAGACGCGTCGTCGACTCACCCTGGCGAGAAATCGGCCCGAATCGGCCGGCCGCGGCACCGCGACGCCCATCCGCGGCTTCCTCGACGCGCGCCGCGTCCGCCGGTCGGCGTCCCACGTCGATCCGCGCGGCCCTTACCCGGTTTGTCCGGCGAAACAGGCGCGCGCGAAGGCGGTATCGGCCGTCACGTAAGATTTTCACGGGACGGGGACGGGGGGGCCACCTTTAGGGAGCCAAGCGGGTGCGGGGTGAAGCGGGGTCGTCGTCGTCGTCGCCGCCGATAGGCTGCGTGTGACGTGGTTGCGTTTATTGACCATAACCCCTTCCTACTGTCGTCCGCAACCTCCGCGACAGACAGGTGTAGGACGACCCGCGAAACTATTGACCGGTTTCTCTGACCGTTGTTCTGCGTCTTAAAGGCCGCCTCGTGCGCGTATATATCGCGCGCCAAGACGCCGACGAAGGGAAATCGAGAGAGGGAGAACGAGACGCTCCTCGGATGGAATTGAAGCGGCTCGACGTCCACCGCTGGAAAACGACACGCATTTTTCTCGACGACGAGACTCTCTCGTATCGGAGGACTTATATTTTCAAGAAAGAAAGAAAGACACGCCGGGCACATCCTCGTCGCGCGATGTGACGTTTTGCTGAAACTTGCGTGAATCCGAAGCCAAATGATACATGCCTTTAGAAAATTCAAACGTAAGCATTTTTGAGAAAAGTATGCGCGTTTAAGTCGTACGATTGACGTGAAGAATTTATGGATTGTGCAGGGCGATTTATAAATTGAGTCGATAAAGAGTCGATACTTCAAAGAATAAATTTGTTCGAAACAAGAAATTTATACGAATATAGCTTTTGAGTTGTAGAAAATTAACAGAAATTTAAGAATGTGTTGCAGTCGTGTGTTATAAACATCGAATTGAACTAAAATAATATTAATATCTCCTCTCGGAAGCAAGAAACATTATTTTTAATCTTCTAATAATTTAGAAAGATTGTGGTGTATGTATAATCCTTTTTACTTGTTTGATATAAATTTACTCCTTCAAGTATTGATATATGCGTTTTCGAATCATTCCGTATAGTTTCTGAAAGGTCAACACTACAATTGACATAGGGTTCAACGGAAACTAGATAAGATTGTAAAAATAAATAAATGTATTTTTCATTGTACAACAGAATACTTCGTTTTTTGTTTCAGGATACATATGTAAAAATTTGTAGTATATTAAGTGTAAATATCTCATCAGGGAGAATCGATCTCGACGGATAAAATATCAGCTAAAGCTGTTCGACATGTATATATCGTCGTATGAATACTATTTTCTGTTACTGTTAGTCATTCTACCCGTGTATCTTTTCTTTAAGCTTTGGTCATGGCTTGGGTGGGAATTATTTGTAAATAATTAAAACTTTCTATTATTAAAATATGAGCTAAATGGTACCTCAAGTTGCCTTATATGTACACACACATATACAAACATGTATAGAAAGATCTTGACGTACTTCTCTTAATGCAATTATGCATTTCTATTCAAGTCGACACAAACGTCGTTCTATCTTTTTTGGCAATGATTAACAAAGACAAAACGACACTTGTGTCGTTCGCTGGAAAGCTAGCCATAATCTGTCAAATTATTTTCGAGCCTCATTAGCGATATATGTGTGTATACATACATGTCTATCATGTAAAAAATACATTGTTACAATAGACTAGAAATTTTAAACGCGTAAAATTTGAGGAAAGTGGAGTTCTATAAAAAAATTAAATCTTGTTACTAATTAAAAGTTCGTCTAATCCCATTCTCCCACGATGCTTCCATATCCTGAATCTGGCGACATCTTTTCGAGTGATAATACCAATTACCTAGACGGAATACATGTATAAATTAAGTATGCAGTTCTTATGATAGATTGTAAAATTTATATCGGATTCTTACTTCATTGGTATCGTTTACTACTGGTACGTGACGTAATCCCAGTGCTCTAAAGAGCCTGAATGCTCTTGGCAGTGTTGCAGACTATAAGAAAAAAATTTTATATAAGTCTAAAATGCTTCTACATATAAAAAAGATTTTAACGTAGACTACTAACGTGTTGTATCGTATAGGGAGAAGGATTTATAAAGTGTCTCAGGTCAATCGTGTAAGTTTTCTCTTCGTCGGTGATGTCGACTTGCTCGATGGTCGGATACCTAGGGTACTCGTTTCTGAACATTTTTATGCTTAAAGATTTCTCCCAAAATTCCGCGTACTCATTAAACACTTTGTTTTTTAAAAGTACTATTAATTGGGAACGCAATATTAGACCTCGTAGTCGGCCGTACGAATTTATCTCGGCCTGAAAGAGCAATACAGTTAAAGTAAATGTACAAAACAATTTGAGACAATCAATGCTCGCGCATGCTTATTACCTCATCGCTACTTGGTGGGTCAACTACTGGAAATCCATTAAATGTAACACATTTCAGTAGCTCGGCAATGTGCCCGACATTTTCGACAGTCTTCAATGTCACGACAGGATGACTCATTATCTCAGTTGCGTAAATATTATTTGAGAGCGGAGGCGACTCCCACGGAAGTAATGGAATCCCTGCCATTTGTATGTGAATTTCGTAAATTCCCTGACAGATAGATATTTTATTATTAGGAAACGCATATGTATTATGTATGATATTTATAAATGTGGCGTGCAGGATACTTACCTCGTTAAAGAAATCGCCAACCCACTTAGCCATTATAAGGACTATTATGACAGGCAAACCAAAGTATATTCCCTGAGTTGCTTCTATTAAGATCGCAGTTAAACTTATCGTCATTCTAACTACTCCTCCTAATTGCGCGGCAGCACCTAACAAAGCATATTTGCCAGGATCTAATACTTCCTGCAATACGAAATTTGTATGTGTGAGCATAGCAATTGATATTTTACTCTGCACGTTGTGCGTTAACTTTAAATTCACGTCTCTTACACAAGTTGGGCACAGCTTCGCGAGACCCGATCCAATTAATCTACCCCATGCGGATCCGATTAATAGAGAGGGAATGAAAAGGCCACTCGACATTGACAGGCCGAAAGTCGCGGCAGCGAGAAAGAAATACAATACGACAAAAATGGCTAGCGTCAGATCATCGTGAGCTCCTGCAAATACATAATTTATATTGCGTTTGTTTTTCGATTATTATTATTATCATTGCCTGTTGCGTGTCGTATACCTTTGGGATCATGAAACAAGGATCGTACGCTGCTTTCCGGGGTTTGGAACCACAGAGAGGCGACCGCATTGTACTGCCCTTCCTCGCAATACATTTGAACCGGGAACTTAGTCGGATCGTTGCCTAATGGTTTGCAGTCATTGACAAAATATATCATCAGGGATCCCATCGTCGCGCTTAAGATCGCCACCAGGAGGGCCTCGATCACTTTCTGCCACTTTTGCGTCACGAATCGCAAACGAAAGCAGGTGATCTTGTAATTGACGTGGTTCCAAAGAGCGCCGAGTAATCCGCCGAACGTGCCCATCATCATGAACAGAGGTATCTCGTAGATTTGATACGGAATCGAGTCGAATTTTCCTAGATTCAGCAAGCCAGGATACGAAAGATCTCCAAGGTGTCCGTGGTACGCGCTCAAGATCACGTTCAAAGTGAACGTAGTGATCATGCTGGCAAAGAATGTTCTCCATGTGAGGCTTTGATTGAAAAAACTAGTACCCTCTTCTATACTAAATAAAACTCCACCTAAAAAGTCCAAGTTTATTTTAACTTTGCAGGTATAATAATTTATAGAAAAGAAAAATCGACTCCAGATTGATGAAAAATCTATCGTTAAAAGAAAATAATAGGAGGAGTAATGAGACACTATATATATCTATTAATATTTAATAGTATTTACCGATGGGTGCTCCGAAAGCCGCCGACACACCACACGCGGCGCCCCCGGATACGAAATCTCGTTTCTCGTGATCCTCCCTAAAATATTCGAATATTTTCAAATCTTTCTTAAAGGTGGTGCTTTTACCCTGAGAGATTCCCGCGGCTACGACGGCACCGGAATGGATCATAGGACCTTCCTAGAAAAAAAAAACAAACGCGAGATGCCGAATAATCCTGGACAATTGGAGAAAACGACGTTGAACAGCTTACCTTGCCTCCTGCTAGGCCGCCGACTACGGTGCATATAACACCGATAGTTTTCACAGCCAGAGTTTTAATGCGCACTACTCTCGGTATTTTGACTCCGTTCAAGTAACACTTTACTTGCGGAATACCACTCCCTGCGGCAACGGGCTCAACATAGGACACTAAGATAGCACCTATTAAAACTGGTACCATATTCAGCATTATCCACATCATGCATGGTAACCATAGACAGCCTTCTATCACACATTGGTCCACATCTATCGACACAAAGTATGCATATTATTTTATATACTATAAGGCACCATACACGTTTACGCGAATTGAATATAGTAGGAAACATACATTTCTTAAGCCAGCCATATTTTAAGCTACATAATTCCTCTATCAATATATCTACGAAGCACGCTATGAGAGCGGTGCAAATTCCAATCAGGAGAAAGATAAACCATCTGGCGAAGTTCTTCCTAACGATAAACTTGTATCCTCTCTTTCTCTCTTCGTCTTGTAGAAGGTAATTTTCGCACGGGTCATAATCCAGACTCTGGAAGAAAAGCATGCCATTAATTTATCTTGCCAAGAGAAGATAAGACGGTGCATAATATAACAAGTATCAAAACATAAACAGACGTATTTATATAAACGAGGTCATAGGATGGTTGCAATGGGTGCAACGATTAAAGATATAATTATTAAACAATTACCTCGTAATTGGTTGATATGAAATTAGTCGCCCCTGGAGTTATATCCCTGATATACAGCCTTCTGGAGTGACCTGAGATAGCCTCTATGTCGCTGCACGCTGTGTTAACGTTGGCGATGTGCTGTGTCGACACAATGAAAAGTACCCTATAGATTATCTACTTCTAGAAACGACACACTTGCTAGAATCATTTTAAAATATTCATCTGACAAGCCCAAGAAACTGTCACACAGAAAGATTAATGAAAGATAACCAGAAAACGCCACGTACCGGAAATCGCACGGAATCGATATTCTCGTTGGAGTATGATGCAAAATTGTTTCTTGGTTCTAAAATTGTTCTAGGCTTGATCAGCCTTTCTCCATCGCCCTCGTCGCAGTTATAAACATCGATGCTGTCATTGTCTCCTCTATTGTTCTCGGCACTGGTTTGCGTCGACGGATTCATTGTTTGCGAGCGACTGAGCGATAAAATTTAGGAATCGGCTCTTGGCCACATCTCTTCTCTCATTCACGCTGAGTCCGCAGCGGATCACACCATGCCATAACGCTGACGTATGCAGGAGTGTACGAGAGGCATGTGACACGTATAAGCACACGAGGAGAATAATATTAATGAATATATGGTGCACGACTGAATCGGCGGTGGGTATGCGCGGTGACTCATTGCTACGCAATTGCGGAAGCACAGCGGTGGCGGCGACGATGACGGCAACCGACCGACCGACCGATAAAACGGGCGAGCATGACGCACGCGTGTCGTTGTCCGATTTCAGGCTGGAGTCTGGACTGAGGGAGAAAGAGAGGAAAGGAAGAATACGCTGACAATGCTTGGCGATTCCAAGGGTCGAGGTCATTCGAGGCCGCGTGCGTCTCGGGGAAACTGAGAAACGCGATAAGCGAGGATCGAGCGTTTCAGAGCTCGGATACTCTGCAGAAATGCCACACTTTAGCGAGCTATCCATGCATTCATAAAATTATTTGACTGCAACTTGTGGTCTCGGTTGGGCGAGAAGAATCGAGAGGATACAAGGAAACGAGTACTAAGCATATGTCAGACAAGATGTTTGAGATATTGAGACACGATTGCAACTGTTTACAATCATTTATATAGATACCAATATGAATTCATATAGAGTTATAAACATAAATATACTAAACGTGACTCTTAGAGCACTCAAGCTGTCTCTTAACTACTTATATACAGTCCGATTCACTAATGCTAACTAAAGTTCCGGCTCTCGACATTTCTGATTTCCAGGTACAGCGTGAACAGCGTGTGGAGGGCCTCCAGTCGGGCGTTCTCTCGCGTAGGAATGTCCAGAAGGTTGCAGACCACGTCGACCAGTTGCGGCAGGTCGCAGTCAAGCTCCGATAAATCCAGCTGCACGTCGTTGAGCTTGTCCTCCACCTGGGGCGGCCACTGCTGCATCAATCCATCTATATCCGGCATCGCGCGGTTTAGCTGCACGCCTGGCAAATGTTTACTTCTGTGCAGCTGATTCATATCGTCGATCCATTTATCGATCGACTTGCTGTTCTTCTCGGCGTCTTCTATCCTCTTGACGACCGCCTGTCTCGCAGCGGCGCCGGCGCTCCTGGAATGATTGCGCAGCTGCAGGTGCAGCACCGCCGGATCCGACTGATCGGTGCAGGGCTCATCCAGCACGGTCAAACCGACCTTATCTTCGACCCCGTCAGGCCTCGGCACCTTTATGAAGGCGTCTATGTCGCCGACTGCTGGTATATAATCAGGAACGAATGGCATCAGCTTGTAGTTGAGCTCGATTCTCTGTGGCGCGTACCTGGATAGATTGACGATCGAGATCAATCGTTTTTGGTTGTGAGAAAGATAAATCAAATGTTTGAAAATTCGATAATTTTTTATTATATCTAATTAATTTTATTATAATACTTTTTTTCTATTTAATTATTGTTGCTCCGACTTGGCAAATAAATCTGTAAGTTTTAACAAAAGGAACGTCAAATGCTTGCCTTATTATGTTTTGGAACAGTTCCTTGACCTCCGTCGAGGCCTCCAGGTTCTCGAATTCCTTAGGATCGTACAGGTCAATCGGCTTCGCGACGCTGCTACCCTGTATATCGTCGTCGTCGCTCTCCTCGCTGTCCGAAGGATCGCTGCCGATCCCCATTGATTTCTCAAAGCCGACATCGTTGTTCGAGTATCTGCCGGATTAAAAGATATTATTTGATCTGTGTACATCTCGCATCTATAAAATACAACAATCGCGCGACGAAGAAATGTGTTACAGGAAAATTCTACGAAGCCGACGTCACTGGATGCGCATTATTGTCAATTAGCGTATCGGTAATGAGCCGTGATTACCTCCTGAATTCGTGCTTGTTGCCACGCGGCGAGTTGGACACCAACGTGTTTGTGCTGTCGCTCGTCACGCTCCTCCTGGTCCTCCTGGAACTCGCGGGCCTGCGGCTCACCGGGCTCTTGATCTCCTCGGCGTTACGTACCACGATCGCCTCGTCGAATTTACCGAACGTCGGGATGTCGCGCGTTCTCTCGTCCTCCTCGTCGCTGCTGTCCTTGATATCCATGGTCGGCGCCGAGGAGGGTCCATCGGCGCGTCCTTCGACGATTGCTCTTAGAGTCTGTATGACGACGAGCGTGAATAAACCAGGGAGCGAATTGTCCGATGGCTCTTGTCGCGATCCAGATTTATAGCTAGTAGATTTATGACCGTTAAATGTGACGGGAAGGAAAAAGGAATAATACTCCCCAGTTCGATCCGTCACCCTCACGTTGGGCAATGACAGCGGTTTGTTTCCTTAACGTTGCCATAGTTTCATCGATTGGGATCAGCTGTTCAAAGAACAAGCATATGACGAGTTATTTGACAATAAGGATTAATATGTCAAAATATGTATCAAATAATAATGTAATTTAATTCCGCTATAGTTATTATTAATATATAATTTAGTTTGTACATCATTAATATTAAATTAATAATACAAACGTAAAAATTCGAAAAGCGTATCCTAATTTTTAAGTCGTCTGTAACGTGTCTTAAATATAGTTATAAATTTATGCAATGACTTTCCTACAAAATAACTCTAACGGGTAATTCCTTTCCGGACGACATGTTTTTCTTATCAATAGGAATCCCCAGTCTCGTGGCAGAGTTTAAGATGAATCAGATTGTACCTCGCAACCACATATTAATCGGATTCAACCGCGACAATTTATTGCTTATATATCTTGCAATAATGTACTTATATTATTCGTAAATATATTTACAAAAGTTGCAGCATGAAATCTGACTGTGTATTTTTCATCTTTTCATTTCTATTTTTTACAGCAATATTACACGAGCGATTTATATATTTTTTACCTTTTGTATATATATTTTTTATAATGCCAATTATTAAAAAATTATAAGATTTGATGGAATTTTTCTACCGCGTGTTCTTTATCGTAAATGCGAGTTCTTAAATGGCTTCGATCGTTTTATCGAACTTAATCTTTATATACGTAATCCACATGATCCAAACGCGAAAGACACTGCCAGAAGAGATAGAGACGTCTAGCGTTTTTATGGCAGGTAAGACAAGTGCAATAAATCGCTGGTGCAACTCATACGTCTCGTTATCTATATACCGATAACGTACTTATATGCCAAATGGGGTGATCGCCGTTAAAAATGCCGAACCAATCGGTAAGAAGTCACAAGCTGTCATAAAACGTTTATTAATGCACGTTATAAGTCGATTATAAACATGTGTAATCCCATTCATAGGGATTATATCCGGTAATATCGCCGGCGCAACGCGTATAAACATTGATAAAAATATGTAACCAGTATAAAAACCAGTCTCGGGAGAATTGCCTGGTAAAAGACTGATACAAATAACAACAAGGAAAACGGTTATATAATCGTCGAAAATAGTTATAATTATCAAAAATTGCCGAGAAATGCTCGAGGAAGCCATCGCAAGCATTTTCAGACGAAGAAGATGCTTTCATCTTGAATTAAGCGACGAATTCTCTCAAGTTGTTACGAATAAATCCCTTCGACGTCGATTACTTCATCTAAATCGGATATTTTCCATAGACGTGACCGCTTCTGGTGCGCCTTATCAACCATTCCCGGGGTGTCATTTGAGAAACCAGACGACCCGCCTGCGTCTTCTGAGAATGCTTAATGCAGCTAGAACGCGCTTTGTAACTTGAGATTCTAGATTCTAAAGCAAAGAGAGAGGAAAAGGATTAACTTCGTGAAATAGGATCCTATCGAATCAAGTCTATCAAACACTTGCGTTATCTCACACATCGCGTATCTCGCGATATCGCGCGACATAATGTTGAAAATATAATTTGTGTTACTGCAGAAAATTTAGGAACTTTAAAAAATGTCAAGAGCAAAGAGCACAATTTGTCTCGTCTCGACTAAAAAAACGAATTGTGTATATAGGGATAATCGCAGTCGTCTCTTTTCAAGGACAGTGTTACAGAGGACTTGACGTTAATTGATCTGTTTCTTCCGTGAGAGATCTTTACGTGGTGACACCCTGGTATTTGAGATAGCCGGACGCGAGATATTCTGCATCTTGGAAACGACATCGTGCGATGGATGAATCGAGTCGCCGCAAGCGTTGAAGCAGCTCGTTAATCCCACGGTTTTCGAGTACCAGAAGGACGACGGATCCTCTTCAAGAGCCATAGAAATCCTATTAGTCGCCGAAGCACCGGAAAGAGATCTCAGTTAAATCTCTAACTTTTGATTAATCATTATCAAGTAAAATAATTTCAATTAAATTAAATTCATTCTTCCCTTCTCAAGTGATTATCGGGCGATTAAAACTTACATCTCGATGTTGCTCGTATCGTAGCTCGACACTCCGCTCTTGGGAGAATTCGCGGATAGTATCATGAACGCGAAGAGGAGCCCGCAAATGGCCAGGAACACGAAAAGGTCGGCGACGGGATGCTGTGACGCGACGGCTCGTATTTTCGAGCCCGCATTACCTAAATCCTCCTCCGCAGGGGCAAACCACGTATACTCGCGGAAGACAAAGTCCTGCGACACATAGAATTACGAGTGTAAATCGAGCACACATTGCATACGAGAGATAAAAATTCGCATAATTCGTCGAAACGACCTAGTCGTCGTCGGTCAAGGTAACAAGCATACAATAACGTCGACATAATAATGCAATAGGAATATTATTGTCAGTTTTTTTTTTATTGTAAGCGGGTTAGATGTAAAGAACGTACTCTCAAAAATATCAAAATTTGGATAATCAGCCGGATAATCAACTGGACCAGGTAATACATGCCGCTCAAATTGTCCATAATCGACTGTCATTCACTGATCGTCCTCGAACGGCTCGAACCGATTTAAGTATTGCTCTCCGAAAATATATACGATTTTCCGTCGTGTCATTCTCGTCAGGAAAAAAAATTGCTCGATCTATTAATTAAAAGTCTGACAAAGGCATCGCGACATCGAATCGATAGTCATTTCCATACGTATGGACGTATGCGGATAATGAATCGTGTCCTTATAATATCTAGTTTGATCTAGATACACTATACGCGTATTATATGGAATATTGAAGCGAAATCTTTAAATAATTATGGCAAAGACAGTCGTATGCGTTTATGTTTCTGATTGTTCCAATTGGAATTAATTCTATCCTTTTATCTATTTATATCTTGTAAATGAAATACTGTTATTATTACATTTACATAAAGGTGCAGCTTGAATAATGTACGATGGTACAAAAAAACGCATTCTATACAATTTAATACAGATGTGCAATCGCTAATCACTACAGAGATGGACTATTTTCATCATTTTTCCCGATAAATTAATACATAAATATCAATATAATTATTTACTGTGACTTATCATAAGTGCTGTTTAGCAAAAAGTCAATAGAGAGATACGAAGCATGACTTCGACAAATTCCTTCGAGCTTCGTCTCGTTAATCAACGTGTCAATTTACTTATCCAATTTATTCGTGGCGGATAATATGTGTCTAATGAGAAACGCACCTTATGGATGAGCTCATTGTGAGTTTCGCAAATTTTTATAAACCACTACGCGCGTCACAGCTGTTCTGTTTACGTGAAAAAGATTGCAACGACATTTTCCTGGACGATTTTCAACATGAAGGCGGTACGATACATGATGAAGAAAACACTGAATATTCAAGAGAATGACCGTTGGCTATTTTAAGCGATCTCGTTTTGTACGGTGACATTAATCAACCGATGCTTGATTTCCCGGTGATGGACACGTGTCTCGTTTTATTCTTTTCCTTTTATCAGAAAAAGATTCGTAAATGTAATCATACGATTGTATATATAGTCTTTATGTCTTTACGATCTTGACCTAGTCTCGTTTCTGTTTAGATAAAGCAATCCATATATTCCCCCCTTTCCCTCTTAAAGTATTTACACGAATACGCACTGTGTAAATGTTTATCCATTCTACAATGCGATTGACCAAGATAATTCAATTGCGTAATTAATTTTTACAATGGCGATCAAAAGCTCACCTCGGTATTTTTCGGAAAACTAATTAAGAAATAAAGCACATCAAACAATGACAATAAACTAGTTCTGAAATTATACTGGCTTGAATTTCTATTTCCACGCATTCTCTTAGATGACTAATTATTAGTTTGAGATTATCTTCACTTGTTAGTTTTAATAAACGTACTGATAGAGATAATTCATTATATTCCAAGAAAAATGTATAAATTTTATTACTTTCAACAATGCCTTAAAATATCTATGTCAAGTATTAAGTATCATTTATGTCAAGTGTTTCTTTTAAAGACAATTAGATAAGAAATTCAACAAAAATTGAAATACGCGTAAAATTTTCCATACTCGAAAAATCTTCAGATGATTGCTTCGAAATTCAATTCTAGTTTCGCATTTTTTAATTTTTCACTTCTTATCTAATTATCTTAGAAGATCACTAGTATAAGATCACTTTAGAAACGCAATTCAAAATTAAATAGAGTAAAAATTAAATAATATAATCGTAAAACACATACATATGTATGCATATATTATACTATAATTATGAGCATATCGTTATATATCTTTAAAAATATCAGGACTTTTATTCACGAGTTCCAGAAGGACACTTTCGGCGAATTGTAGTTCGATTAATAGGAATCACTTTCGAGCACGGAAAGATCTTGTTGATATCTACGTATTACCGAGTATGCTACGAGAGATTCTAGAAGATATATCTAAGAACTTAAAAAATGCTGGTTTACCGCACTTGTCAGGAGGAGGAGATGAAAGACGCGGCACGTGATACACGTGAAATAGCGTGTGTGCGGCACGGAGAACTGGTATCTAATCGAAGGACAGCTTTATCCGACTTTATGCGGATTTCTTGACCAATCGATGTCTAACGAGCGGCACAGATCTCGGAGCTGCGTCCTCGAGCAGTGCGGATGCAAGGAGCGCACCGGTATCTTTGTTTTCCGTCGGATTCGCAGACGTAACAGTGTCTTCGGCACATGAAATTATCCCGAGCGCTTCCGGATGAGTCGTTATCTTCGTCGCGGGGCAAGGAAAATTTCAGTCATTAATTGCATCTTCGCAGACTCCGTTGCGTTTCCTTTAGAAATTGGCAATATTCTGAAAGAGAAATCTGTGTGCCAGATAAGAATTCGCAAATAATCGCCACGCGTGAAGTGTTAACACTTATTGCACCAATAGAACACCTAATTTGCTACAAAATCTCACGGAAATACTGCAAACTGTAAACGTACGTGCAAAAAAAGATCTTGATCTCATTCGGAATATCACGGGAGTGCTACTTTGATTCAGTATCTTATCGCAAAGTATCCGTGAGTGAAGATAGGATAAAGATTGCTTCCTTGCAAGAGTGACTGCCACGGGATCCTGACTTCGATATTCATCGGTGAAAACGTCCGGGGCAGTTTTTCGCGCAATTAACGTTCCGTTGTCGGAGATAAAAATTTTGAAGATCGATCCTTAGTTTCTGTGCAACATAATAGCTAAAATGGAAAAAACAGAAGGCGTTTATGTAAGACCTAAAATTACATATAAAACGAAGTCTGGGCAACGCAATTTCCTATTAAATTCATTCGCGAATCGCCTTTTTTCAGAAACAAGGTGGATATACTAACCAGGCCTTTCAGCTGGACGGTTTCGATTCTCACGAAAATGTTCCACCCGATTACGCGACAGCGACGCATCTCGATAAACGGCAGGAACATCTTGAAAGTTCAGTGCGTATCACATAATTCGTCGCGTCTTAATGGAAATAACGCCGTCAATTACAGAAAATTAATTTTTAATCGTCAGGCGGTCACTAAGGGGACGGAATGGGGAGGTAGACTAGAATTTCTAATGGCCTGTATAGCCACTTCCGTTGGACTGGGGAACGTGTGGAGGTTTCCGTTCACCGCGTACGAGAACGGCGGTGGCGCCTTCCTGATACCCTACATCATAGTCCTAATCCTGGTTGGGAAACCGTTTTACCTCCTGGAGGGCCTCTTGGGACAGTTTACCAGCAGATCCTGCGCGAAAACGTGGTACATGACGTCAGCCATGAAGGGTGAGATGATTTGAAAAAGATAGAGAGAAACAATCTACTTTTTTTACAACAGAATTAATTTAACTTTTGAACGCGAATAATTTATTTCACGAAGATCTATAAAAATGAAGATAATAATTTCGACGAATTTAAACTGTGAATACTTGGAAAATACTCTTCTGAATCTTTTGAACAATTACTTAAGATTTACTCAATGGTACTAAACGCATCATAAAAATGTTAAACAAAAAATTTCTCAAAAACTTATCAAGTATTTAGTACAATATTACTGATCAAGTAACTTGTTCAAGTATTAATTTTATAATAAACTTTCTTATGTAAAGTGGAGCTTTATTTTCTAATATTGCTTTCCTTGATCCCGCGCTATCGAGATTATCTGTGTCACTCCTCGAGATCTCCTTTCAGGATTGGGATACTCACAGGCCTTCGTCGCGTTCTGCGTCGTTTCGTACTACTGCGCTTTAATGGCATTGACTCTATACTACTTGGTGTCGAGTTTCCAATCTGAATTACCATGGTCGATCTGTCGTCCGGAATGGCAAGACTATTGTATCGACGGCTCGACGAACGGAAGCATCTCCGAGGACCGTAACGTCACCGTTCAAAGTTCCGCGGAACTATATTTCAGGTTCGAGACTGAAACAGAATTAATAGTTTTTTTTTAGAGCTTTAGTAATATTTGAAAGTCGTTATTAATATTAAATGTATTTAATATATTTAATACATATATCAAATGTTTTCTATTGAACAGCTTTTTTAGGAATGACTAATACAATTTTTTTTTTACATGATTTTTAGGAAGACAGTATTACAGGAATACGAGTCCATCGAGTACGGTATCGGCGCGCCGTCCTGGAAGTTGTCGATAGGCCTGTTCCTCAGTTGGGCCTGTGTCTTCGGGGTGCTCTTCCGCGGCGTGAAGAGCACGGGCAAAGCCGCTTACTTCCTCGCTATATTTCCTTACGTCATGATGACGGCTCTGCTGATCAGAGCCGTTACTCTTGACGGTGCCGTCGACGGCATCCTCTTCTTTGTAACACCGAATTGGAACGCCCTATGGAAGCCCACCGTCTGGTACGCCGCTATCACACAATGCTTCTTCTCGTTATCAGTCTGCGCCGGACCGATTATCAACTATTCGTCCTATAACAATTTCGAACATAGGGTAGATAGGTAACGTATGAAGAAAGACTTGCTGCTGTTGCAAGTTTCTCATAATTCTAGTTTTTAAAAGATTTATTCCAAGATAAAAAATAAATGTTTCCTATTTTATTCTGCTTATCTCTTCAGGGATGTGATGATAGTGACCACGCTGGACACATTCACCAGCCTGATGGCCGGTTGCACAATCTTTGGTATTCTAGGCAATTTGGCTTACGAGATGAAAACGAAAGACATCTCGAAGGTGGTCCGCGGCGGCACCGGTTTGGCCTTCATCTCTTATCCGGATGCGCTGTCGCGCTTCACTTTCGTACCGCAGCTGTTCTCCGTTCTGTTCTTCGTAATGATGTTCGTTCTTGGTATTGGAAGCGCCGTCGCGTTGTGCGGCGCGGTACTTAACGTCGTCCGCGATCATCTGCCCAATATGAAGCAGTGGTTGTTGGTGCTCTGCGTCACCAGCTGCGGTTTCATCGTCAGTCTCGTCTATATTACCCCGGTGCGTTAAACAGGTCACCTAAGCTTGCTCTAAAATGCAAACAGTTGACAGAAACATTAGTCATAAGTGTTACGCGTCTAACCGATACCTGATAACTAATCGTGTTTGAGCGATATAGAAATGCACGCAAAGTTCTACGCGAAACATTACCACCGAATTCATTCAGAATATTAAATGTTAGGTAAATGAAGATTAGAGTTTAGAGATAAAAAAGAAGAGTATAAGACAAAATTATTATTCTAGTAAGTCGTCGTTCATTACTTTTCGTAATGTAAATAAAATTTTTACATTTTTTCAAATAATAAAAAATTTATAAAATCTTGAAAGACAGAAATACTTTCGATAGAACGTCGATTTCGTGTACAATAATAAATGTCGATTATAGGGTGGTCAATGGTTCACAACGTTGATCGATTATTACGGCGGTACTTTTGTGGCGATAATCGTCGGTGTTCTTGAGATGATAACCATCTTCTGGGTGTATGGCCTTTCGAATTTTCTCAATGATATGGAATTCATGCTGGGCAGGAGACTAGGTTTCTACTGGCGATCTTGTTGGCTCGTAATCACGCCTTTGCTCATGATCGTCATACTGATTTACACGTGCGCCACTTATGAGCCAGTCACGTACGACGGTGCACCGTTTCCCGATTATGCCTACGGTCAGTGAAATTTTTTCGATTTTATAATCCGATTTTTTAAATATTGCATTTCTATTACATAGTACGCAAATTACAAGTCACTTAAAGATCACCATTGTAAAGCGATATTTTTTCTTTTCCACTTTTAGCAATAGGATGGTTCGTGCTGATTCTAGGAGTATCTCCCATTGTGTGGTGGGCCGGCCAGAGAATAATTACGAATAGAATGTCGACTTTTACCGAAGTAGGTATCTCAAGATGTATTAGTGATTAATCAAATTCTTATAATTAAAATCGAAGCCGCAGATTAATCGTTAAAATTTCGAAACGCATTACAGTCCATCAAAGCGGCGTTTCGGCCTGAGGAAGGTAAATGGGGACCTAAGAACCCGAAGATACACAGAGAATGGGAAGCGTTTGTGACGGAGAAGAAGTTCAGTGCTCAAGGCGGTCTGATGAAGATATTTTTCAAATAGATTTTATTTATTGCTTCCCTGTCCATCTAACTCAATTATGCACTCCTGTTCAATCTCTATTAGCTAGTTAATGTAGTTGAAAAAATAAAAATAATTTTACTATATTCCATAACAATGTATCTTTAGTCAGCGGGTATTTTAAAGATATTTTCAAAGTTTCTCAGTACCGAATTAGACAACGAGTACCTGGGAAATTTACCTGAAATGTCGAAGTATACAATGAATCGTGCCTTTTGATTTATGTCTTCGATTTGCGAGTGCGTCTTACGAAACAGTGTTATTTAATTACACGCAGATAATTACAAATCACCGATCGCATTATATAATAACAGGATGATCAAATTTATGTGGCTCAACGTAATCTTTCGGTTCAATTCTCTCGTCTTTAGAATTGTGACGATTTATTATTACGTGAATCAGGAACCAGTCAGACGAAACGTGTCATTATAGAAATCCACTCGACTGTGCTCTCGCCTATCCGTACCATTGCTTGCGCGCACTCGGTAATTGAAATTTACTCGCGGTCCCGATAAGCTTTCCTCGTTCGCTCGTACTTGATGAAGGAAGTTACATTGACATTATGCAACTGACGCGTGCAACAGAATGCGTTACTTGAAGCTACGGACGATCGAATTGAATTTGATTAACGCCAAAGACTCGGCGGACTTGTTTCAAATAAAGAGTTATTTCATAAATTAAACAAGTTATCCGCAACTTATCCGTTTACGCAATTATACGCGTATAATTTAGCGCGAAGCGAAATATCCTCCGACGACATTGGCATTAATCACTTTAATTTCGCTTCAAAACAGTGAATCAACGGTATAATAATGAAAACAATTATAGAAATTAATCGTCGCATACATTCAATTTGTCTCGTTATAAAATGTCATTCGAATTACTCATTGGCAGGTGCGAATCTTTAAACAGCGTGCAGCATAGCATAATCAAAACGTCTGCAAGAAAGTCATCTTCTTCTCGCTCATAACGCAGAAGCATTTCCCGATGTATCGATCGTTACATTTGTTTTGTTATATCTTCTCGATGTAAATTTCGCACACGATACGCCTTTTACCTGAAAGAGAAAAAAAAAGAACAAGATTTAGTATAAAGATTTTCTGTCTGAGATCTGAGATAAGTCTCGATTGTTGATCTTTCTCTTCCGCGAATGAAGAGAAATCCTACCAAGAAATATATGTTCTTGTTGGTGAATTTAAATGCAAGTGGAAATCCAAAAAGGAAAAAAGATTCCTCGCTACGCAATCACCTGTTATTGCATATGCATATACGTCTGAAGATTTATGTAGAACAAATGGGATGATATAAAATGTGACAAAATAGGAGGGAATGAGGAAGAGGAAAAGGGGAAAGAAAAAGAAGTTTGATCGAGCGAGATTACCGCGACTACTCGTGCGCGCGCTTTAATCTGACAGAAACAATTACGTGTACAGATCTGTATGCACCGATACACCAAACGTCGCGCGAATTCTTTAAGCAGTCCGTTAAAGACTGCCGACTGGCTAAGACGCGCGCAGAATTCCAGAAAAAAAAAGAGCCAAGCGGTGGACAGTAGCACGCCTCGTGCCGGAACGAAGTCAGCATGGGTCACATGAAGATTCGCGTATGTTATAATATAAAGAAATAATTTTGTGCTGTTAAATTGTCGATCGTAATTAATTTAACATTCGTGTAAAAATGTGAGTAGAAAAAAAAAATTTGTCACAAAAAAGGAAGAATCTTTCCAGCAATGCCTCTATCCTTATTGTAGACTGACCACAAAAAGTGGCAGGTGAAATGTTAATTAGGAAGCTTTTAATATATAATTTTAGTAAATGTTTTTCCACATCTTTAATTTTTATTTTATATTATCATGTGCATCTCTCTCTCTCTCTCTCTCTCTCTCTCTCTCTCTCTCTCTCTCTCTCCCTCTCTCCAAGCTGTAATATTTTAACTTGCAAATTTGAAACTTACAACGAGCGAAATAATATATCTCGAAGATGCAATCTAAAGTCCTTTGCGAATTGTTATCGCATTATACGAATAATCTCTGTATAAAATGACGGCGCGATCTTACTTGCGAATAAATAAACGAAGTGTTTGCGAAGATATTGCATTCGTCGTTTACGCTGCTTCGTTTTACCTTCATTTCTTCAAACAGCCGTTAATCATTATCGCTCAACTGCCATTGTGTATCGTATATAGATGTTTGTCCAAAGAATGTCGAAATCAACTTTTAGGCTGCCACTTTAAGTGATGTCCGTCTATGTAACACTAGAAATTACAAAAATATGGTGGAATTAATTTTACATTACAATTAAAAGATGATGTTACATTAATGATGTTAAAAACTTCATATTTTTATTTTATTAGAAATTACTTAAATTATTAGATATGTAACACTAGAAATAACAAAAGTATAATAAAATTAATCTTACATTAGAATTAATTAAAAGATAATGTTATCTTTTTATTTTTATTTAATTAGAAAATATTAGGCAATACCATTTTCTTGTTGTTTTCCTGGTGGAAAAATGTCTCAGAATGTTTCATATTATTAATCAAATTTCTATACAAATTTTCAGACTTTCTCAGAATGCTCAGAATTTTTCAGAATTTTTTATAAATTTCATTTCTTACAAAATTTCTGAGAAAATATGAGGAATTTTTTCACCAGGATTGTTATTATCGTAAGTACCTTGTTGTTATCGTAAATTGATCAATTTGTTGTAAAGAAAACTGTGCTATCGTTGTAAGCATTTTTAAACATTTTTACGATAAGATAAAGCAAGGATAATGTCCGTTAGGCATGAGCAATTCGTTCAACGGCAATAAAAACACAATATTCCCATAAATGATGCATCGTATCCAGATAATCACTGAAGATTTGGAATCTTTCCGATATTAATCCTCAATTAAATTGTCACTGACAAAGGCTGCAAAACACAATCGGTTAATCGATCTATGCTATTATTTTTCCATTGTTACGTAAGGTGGATGTAACGCAATGACGTTAAGTTCAAGTTATGTATCTTTCGTTCAAAATTGGCCAACTGTAAACACAAACGTATTATACGTAGTAAAATAAATGTAATTAGGAAGTGCGCTTGTTGGAACAGTTTGTGACATGTTAAATTGAAGCAGTCTTTCATTTTTGGAGGACAGATTAGAGAATGTGTATATAATTCATACACTCTTTACGACCATACGCGGCAGTTCATCTCCTATTTTGCTATAGAAAAAAAAATCATCAGATAACAAATAATTGATTTCGCAGAATAATGTCACCGACACTGGCGGAACTCCTGGTATATTCAAGCTGTCTGTCCCGTCATCACCTGGCGGAAATGAGCTCGAAAGCAAAGTAAGTTCACCTGGAAGCGGTACGCAAATCTAATTAGAATCCCTTTTGCGAGATTCCTGCCGAAACTCTCCGCAACTTACTTCGCAGATCCCGACGTCGGTCAAGGTAGAGGAGGAAAAGCCGGCGAGGGCGCAATGGGGAAACGGAGTGGAGTTCCTCATGTCCTGCGTGGCGTTCTCGGTCGGCCTCGGGAACGTCTGGCGATTCCCGTACACGGCGTACGAGAACGGCGGCGGCGCCTTCCTGATCCCCTACATAGTGGTACTCTTCGTGATCGGCAAACCCTTCTATTACATGGAGATGATCCTCGGACAGTTCACCAGCAGATCCTGCGTGCAGATCTGGTCGGTGTCGCCCGCGTTCCAAGGTACACACTTTGCAGGATACTTTTTATAAGCCTCAGTCGATCCTATGGAAGAGATGCCGAAAATCGTCACTTAAAACGCAGAAATACTCAGACAGCGCTAGACAAATTCAGAATATATTAGTATGCATATTACGTATATTAATTATATTAATTGCATAATGACATAATTACATTACTTCATTTTAACTTTAAAGTTCGCAAATTCGCTACCGCGGCGATTCAATGGAGTTAGAATTAAATTAATGTAAATATAACTGAAGTAAGTCCTGATAACTTTTGACGATTCTTCGAGCGTGGAAAGATGCCTTTTCTCTTTTGCCTAACCTCCCGTCTAATTGTCTTGGTGATAATGGTGATGGATTGTCGTAATTACGGCTATTCCAAAGCATTAAATAAATGAAATTACAGACAATTATATTATATGCCTATACAACAGTATATATGTATACACAATAATAAGACAATGAATAACGTATGAGTATACATAATATAAAATGAAGATTTATATAATACATGTATATGGAATAATGCAAAAGGTATGTTTAATGATAATAAAATACAAATAATATATAGAATACGTATATTACGTGATGTATGAATAGTAATTTGTATATAGAAAAATACAATTAATTTATATAAGTAGTTTAAATTATCATAGATAATTGCAATCAATGAGTTTAATTATAATCAATTAATTCATGGACCATCAGGTATCGGCTACGGCGTAGCGGTATCAGTGTTCTCCGTCATCACTTATTATTGCTCTCTTATGGCCCTGACGCTTTACTACATGGTGGCCAGCTGCCAGTCGGTGCTCCCGTGGTCCTATTGTTGGGAGGAATGGGGCAGCGCGTGTTTCAACAGCTCGTCAACCGGCGAACAAAGCACGAGGAACGGAAGCAGAAGTTCCGCCGATTTCTATTTCAGGTGCATTAATCTTTCTCTTGCTTTTTACGATGTCATTAGAAGGTCCCTGGGATATCCCTCCGTCTAATTATAACGCTATTATCGCATCCGTTTACGCACGTGCTACGTCGCACGATATCAGTCGTAAATCATTAGAAGCCTTTTGCAGCTATTTTGTATTTACTATCACTATGTTTTCGTACTTGTTGTTCCGCGACGAGATTCAGGATAAAAATCCGCCCGTATCTCTTGGAGCTAGGCAATAATAATAATAATAATAATGCACTAAGTTTTGCATGTGTGTAATATAGGTAATTACCTACTGGCATTATCTCTCACCTATCTCTTGTTCCTTATTTTAGAATATTCTGTTATTAAGTTTCTAACATTATCTTAAGTCTACTTATCTAGTAGGAAACACTTGAAAAATTAGAATTTTAATTTTTCAAGTGAACTAAACTAACTAAACATTCTTGTCTGGTATATTCAGAAAATACGTCCTTAATGAAACGGGGATCGAGGATGGGCTCGGGCTACCCTCGTGGAAGCTGATCCTCACGTTGCTAGTCAGCTGGATATTTGTCTACGTGGTAATCTGCAAGGGTGTGAAGAGCACCGGTAAAGCGGCCTACTTCTTGGCTCTTTTTCCATACGTCATCATGATCAGCCTTCTGGTGAGGGCGGTAACGCTGGACGGAGCGGTGGACGGCATCGTCTTTCTCTTCAAGCCCACGTGGCACAAGATCCTGGAGCCTTCGGTTTGGTACGCCGCCGTCACGCAATCGTTCTTCTCCCTCGGCGTGTGCTTCGGCGCGGTCACCATGTATTCCTCCTACAATAGCTTCGAACACAACGTATCAAGGTGCGCATATATACTTCCCGGATCATTTTAATATTGGAATTATAGTCGAGCTAGAGGAGATCCTGCGAAATTCAAGCGCGTAAAAGTGTTCGTTAGAGAATCAACAGAAGACTCTTGCAGGGACTGCATGATCGTGACGAGTCTGGATCTCTGCACCAGCTTGATGGCGGGCGCGACCATCTTCGGAATCTTGGGCAATCTCGCCCACGAGATCGGCAGCGACGATATCGGCAGCGTCGTACGCGCCGGGACAGGCCTGGCCTTCGTATCCTACCCGGAAGCCTTGGCGAAATTCACGGTGGTACCGCAGCTCTTCGCCGTGCTCTTCTTCCTGATGCTCTTCGTGCTGGGTATAGGCACTACCGTTGCCTTCTGCAACGTGATCATCAGCATCATAAAGGATCAATTCCCACAGTTTCATCAATGGAAAGTTGCCGCTGGCGTTGTGATTCTCGGCTTCTCGATCGGCATTGTTTATTGCACGCCCGTAAGTTTTATAAAATAACTTCATACTATTGACTAAAAATTTTTTGTCAGTAGAAGAGTCTTCGTCAACTCGTCTATTATCAATGATAATGAAATCGAACGTAATAAAAACTAATAAATGATCAACATTATGTAATAATCTTTTTTTCTTTGAAAAAAGAAAGATTTTCAAGATCAATACTTCTGCTATTAAGAAAGATAATAAGTTACTTTAAACTAGTATTATTATACTATTTTATGTGATAATAATAATATTTATCTCATTGATAGGGTGGCCAGTACATTCTTAACTTGGTAGATTACTTCGGCGGGACCTTCATTATCGTGTTTTTAGCTTCTTTCGAAATGATCGCCATTTCCTGGGTGTACGGTAATAATCTAAAATATATATTTTATTCTCGTATGAAATTAGGAGAATAATTCGCCGATTTTTCAGGCGTCGACAATTTTATGGATGACGTCGAGTTCATGGTAGGACGACGGCCGTTCTTTTACTGGAGATTCTGTTGGTGTTATTTAACGCCCTTGTTTCTGTTCACTATCTTAATTTATTTCCTGATCGATATGACACCGCTCACGTTTAATGACGAATACTATCCAACATCCGCATACGGTATTAATGTTATTTGTAAACTTTTATAATCATAAAAATTATTATTACATTCCAAAATTATAATATCATATAATTAGATTTTATGTTAATTAGAGATAAAGGTAAATCGAAGTGAATTAAATAAAATATCATTTACAATTATTAAAGCCATAGTATAAAAATTAAAATTTTAATTATAATTCAGAGATAATTTCACAAGATAATATCACGAAATATCTTTTCAATTTTGCAGCTGCGGGTTGGACGCTTTTGGCTTTAGGAATTCTCCCGTTTCCTTTAGGCATAATCATTGTTGGATTTCGGAATAAGGACAAGCCGTGGTCGAATGTAATACACATTTGCATTTTATTTAAATATAGTTTCAACATATAATCTATGTGTCGTCTGAAATTATGTAACTATTTCTTATCGCTTTTTTTTTTTAGATGTTCGAGCCGAGCGCCGATTGGGGTCCGAAAGATCTGAAGAAATACAACGAATGGAGGGATTTTAAGCACTCGAAAAGGATATCGCGAGCGTGCGCGAAGAAATCAAAACTTATAGCAGCGCTGTTTGGCAAAGATTGACAATGACAATTATTAAAATAGTATGAAAATCAATTAATATGTTTGTTCGTTATTCGGCGATATTGTTTATGTGACGATGATCGCATAGCGATCGAGTAAAAGGGTTCTTAACATTGGCAGCTCTTTGTCACATGTCATATTACACATAGTGCAACATTAGACATAAGAATGAATGAGACGGAACTTAGCAAGAGCTAAGCTTTAAGGACAACTATAAATCCCTTAACTGTGGTATTACGTAAGTGCACAACTATATGCGAATTGATAATTTATCTATATCATTAATTTGATTTTCTTTAAATATAATTATGGCCATATCTGGCTATTTTTCTCAAGTCACATATTGTTTGGTTACGTTAGATAATAAAGAAACAAAATGGCTTTCTGAAATTTTGCATGCAGTTAAGGGATTAAAGAACAAATAATTTTTTTTATATTCAACTTATCTCGTTGTTTTGCCACGGATCCCGCCGCGGTAGAAATGACTGTGAAGGTTCAAACAACTTTAAAGTATCTTGAGCCGTACAACATTGTACGCTCTATATTGGTTCCAAGTTTAAGAGAACGTAAAGTATTTGCTTCCAGATCGGTTGGATCCTCTTCTCCCGCTCTCTCGCTCTCTCATCCTTGAAGATCTTCCAATCTTTGCGTTGCTGTACCTCTCGTGGACCCCATCCGTTCGCCGGTGCGAAAGCTCTCCTTATCATCTTAAATAACGCAACGAATCGTGAATTCTTTAAGTTTTCATAAAATTCTTTGCCTAAAACTTGCTTGTAACGCGTATTATAATGTAACTTGACTTTCTTTTTGCGTCATTACCTGTGCGAACGGCAATTTCCGATTCTTCAACATTGCGATCAACATCCATAGCGGTATCTGAAGAACACCGATGCAGAGTATCGTCACTCCGATGACGTGCGCGTATCCCGGCAATGATATTCCACCGTAAGTCAAAGGCGACAAGGTGGCCACGGTGTAAATGAAGATCGTTATTAGTATCAACGGCGTTACTATAAACCAGCATATCCTCCAGTAGACGCTCGGCTTTCGGTCCAACATAAATTCAAAGTCCTCTAAAAAGTTTTCAAGACCTGCCGGAAGATATAAATTTTTTCAATTAATTGCGACACATTATTTGCGTGCGTAATCAATGATCATTAGAATTTAATAATGATAATGAAAAGCACGAAGAGAACTAAAGAAAATGTAATACAATTAAAATAATTTTTACCGTAAAACCATATCACTCCAGTCATCTCGAACGACGCTAAGATGAAAACGACAAATGACGTGCCGTAATAGTCTACTAAAGTTAAAATAAATTGTCCGCCCTGCAAAATTTTCGTATTACTATGACTATATTGAGATTATTAATTCCTTTTTATGGGACAGCATAATAATTTTATGCTAACCGGTGTTACGTAGACCGTGCCGATTGAGAAACCCAGCAAACAGGTCGGAACTACGATCTGCCAAGTTTTCAGCCGGGGGAACTGCTCGTTTATTACCGTGATGATGCCTGTGGTCATTCCCACCGCGCTACCGACACCAAGGACAAACATCATAACGAAAAAGAGGACAGCAAATAACTGCAAAGAAACATTAGACATTTTTCTCAACAGTATTAAATAATATTTTAATGACAAGGTAAACGTACAGTAAGATGAGAAACGTGGATGGCATTTCAACTAATGACGGCATTAGATAATATCTATATACGTGATAAAATAGCAGTACCTGCGGTAGAAAGTTAAGTTTTGCTATCGCGTCGGGATAAGACACGAATGCCAAGCCAGCTCCGCCTTTGACCACTTTGGATATATCTTCCACACCTAACTCGTATGCCAAATTGCCGAGAATCCCGAATATCGTGCAGCCGGCCAACATGCTCGTAGCCGTGTCCAACGATGTAATTATCATGACGTCTCTAAGTTCGTATACGATTACTATAAGTCACGAATACCGTAAGCGAAACAGAAACCAAATAATTTATAAAATTATGATTAAATATTTAAAAAAAGTTGAAAAAAAACCTAAAATCATTATCTTGTACAAATATTATTAATATTGAGTATATATGTATAAGTTGCAAAAACTTGCTTTTTTTATATACCTCTTTACCTTTTCTCTTTCTTTTTATTGTGTTGAAGTTTTGAGAAACTTTTAAAATATTTAATCATACACATATAAACGTATGCACAATTCTTACCTGTAAATATTGTGCTTAAAGCCATTATGCGAGGAGTACGTGATAATGCTGCCGAAGCAGACAGAAAGTGAGAAGAAGCATTGGGTCACGGCGGCATACCAGACGGTCGGCTCCAGGAGTTTCGACCATTTCGGAGTGATAAAGTACAAGATCCCGTTCATTGAGCCGTCCAGAGTAACCGCGCGGACCAGTAGCGAGATCAGTACGACGTATGGAAAAATGGCCAGGAAATAAGAGAATCTTCCGGAGCTCTTTACACCTTGGAAGAGTACCGCGCAGACCGCCGCCCAGCTGCCAAGAAGGCATAGCGTTAGCTTCCAGTCCGGCCACCCGATCCCGTCGTCGATGTTCTCCTTCTCGTGCAACACCACTCGTCTGCAAATCGTTTGATCTTAAGCGATAAGTACTTCTTTAGATTCATTTATTCCAATGTATAATTGCTGTTATACCGAATGTCTCACGATTCGCAATCCTGATTTTAACGAAAGATTTTCCGATCAATTTACTCTGCTCTTCCTTAGCCAAGATATCAAATGGGATCATCGTTCATTGCAAATTTCTAATTTCTAATATTAGGTCCGATTGAGGTCATTTCCGACATGAGACTCGTTTATTTGAGAAATATTACTGTCATGAAAATTACGAGCACGAGTTGTAGAATGCACTTTGTGCAGGTACCATCATCTTCTTGGCTCAAAAATCTTGGGGAATGCGATAAGATTATATACTTACGAAAAGTACAGTTCGGCCGAGCTTTGAAGTTTATTGCTGCCGTTTAAGAAATTATCAAGAACGTTAATGTTTCCCTTTGCTGTACTATTTGCACTGTGATTTCTTTTGGTGCTCGAATCAACACACGTGTCACCCCATTCTTGCAGACAAGTAGCCCAAGGCAATTCGGCGGAGAAGGATGCGATCAGATAATAAAGTGTCAATGCCATCAGCGAGCTGTAGTAGGTCGCCAACGCGATGGTTGAGCAAAATTGCGCCCATCCGACTCCTGTCAATGGAAGAAGGATCTTTAAACGAGGAGATGTGCGTAAATTTATCGTTGTCGACCTCTAACGCAACACAACAACACGCGACAAGACGTAGGAAGTTACTCAATCGAGAAAAACCGGTTAAAGTTAATCAATATTTATAAGAATTTATCGAAATTATATCTTCACATTAGTGATTTTTATAAGAATTCATTTATAACTTGCAGGAACTTGTATTTTACATAAAATTCGAAGTTCCAGAATTATTTTTATTTTAATTTGCATGATGGTAAGCATCCGGTTCACACATGTGTACGTATACAATACACACATATATAAAATCTACGGCCTTTAATTGAAATGCCAGACATTTCTTCTGACGACAAAATAATAATCGCCAATGTGTTCTCCGCCAGTAGTTCGCCTGCCTCATCTCGCGAGAAAGTTACCGGATCGAGAAATTACCGACGAAACCCGGCGACATGCTCCAGACTTTGACGGATGACCTGCCGGAGAACTGTCCGATGATCATCTCCAAAAAGTAGAACGGCTTTCCCACCAGGAAGAGCAGGATCACGTACGGGATGAGAAAGGCGCCGCCGCCGTTCTCGTAAGCTGTAAACGGGAACCGCCAGATATTGCCAAAACCGACCGACACGGCGATACACGACATGAGGAATTCCACGCTGTTGTTCCATGTCGCGCGTTCTTTTCCCGGTTCAATGCCCTGCTCCAAGACGCTCGTCGAGTTTTCAGGGTAATATCTCGTCCCGCCATTCCCGATGTGGGACTCGTCTATTTGAAAGACGACGTTATCGAAACCCAGTTCCTTCTCGTCCCTCTGCAATTATGCGTAAACCTTTGTTTGATTCGGCAATCCAATTTAGTTGTTTTAATCATTTTATACGAACGCATTCGATGTGGACGTATAACGAAAATGAGAGTTTGATATCTATAGTTTTTACGCATATGCGATAAAAATATAGGTCAGTGCTAACGAGTATGAGTTTGAAAGGAAACGTTTATCGGCGAAACATGTTTTTCTCGCTTAGATCAAACTAGCGCAGGATTAAAGTATCTCTACGCGATAATAATAGCATTCTGCGAGATATCCGGCAAAAGGATTTCAAAGAAACCTTTTCAAATAAAGATATCGAACACGATGCCTTTATCACCCGCAAATATATACCCCTGGATGAAAATCCTTCGAAGATTACTTGGCAAACATCAAAGTTATTGCGAAATTATATGAGCTGCGCTTGTTCTTAAGCGATTATTTTATCTCGTTTCTTGATTGTCGTTCAATTACACAGATGTTATCATATATATATCTTTTTATTCCAATTCCAGCCAATTCCTGACGTTGCGAGACTACGATACTTATATTTAGGGTAACTTTCACTTATCGTTCGCGAGCCGTGAGATACATGACGATAGAAAAGAAACGAAAGGTGCCCGACGCGGCGAGCAGATTCAGGATGGAAGAAGTTATAGAGACACCGATTCCACGCGCGCTCTTACATTCACCTCGCGGCGGATAACTATTATTCTCACGCTGTCATTACAGTTTGATTATATCGCTATCACATTAACATTTATATTATACACTTTTACCAAAGTAAACTCGCAAACACGACGCTTCCCTATTTTTTAGTCGACCCCTCGATGCTTAAGTCGCCATTTGGCGTTTCGAACAAATCGTTCGCACTTACTGTCTCATACATAGCGGACGACGGCCACGTTGAGAGACACGAATGAGAATTGGGAACGGTCTCCGCTCAAGGCAGGAAACTAGGACGCGATTGCTACCGGGTTCCGAAGGGATACCTCGAACGTTAACGCTACCGACGTAAACTGGTCGTCGGATCGGGCGTCGAGGTGTGCTCTTTCTCCCGCACGACTGTCTCGGAAACTCATTTGATAAAACGATAACCATTACTATATATCCCCGCGGCGGTAGGTGACAGAATACTGCGCCTCGCGAGCGGAATACGCCGAGCCGATCGTCTAGGTGTACGGTCAGGTGGTAGCTAGGTAGGAGCGACAGTGAATCATGTGTCATCACGCGAAGGGATAATTACACGAACTCTGAATCGTGAACGGTTCTTGGAGCGGTCAGAAGTAAGATAAGCGGACTAATGGGCTTGCGCTTCAGTAAGATGAGGAAACAGGATAAACGAGACGAAGGAGGCAAGAGAATTCCCTCCACGGACGATAAAAATGGGATAAGGCTTGCCCGGTAGGGAAGAGAAAGTGGCAAGGAAGGGAGACGGAAATTTCCACCCCACAAATGACTAGAAACGTGGCAGGCAGGTACAATCCGGTGCAATCAGATAGGAAGGGATAAAACTTCTGGAAGAAAAATGAAGCGACGGAAAGTAGGGGACATAAGAATTCCCGGTTGGTTGGTCGACGCAGAAGAAGCTGTACGTGAAACAATTTAGGAAGGGATAAAATTTTAAGATTCCGAGATTGCGCTACGGCGAAGGCATTTTTTTTTGTATTTTATATATTCGCAATAATCCCGTACGTCACAGTTGCGTGATGTCACCGTACGTTACGCTCCGCGTGCGCAATGATGCAGGACTTTTCCAAGCGAAAGGAGAACCGGTAGGTTCTCTCAGCGTCGAGAGAAGGGGACGAAGATAGACGCAGCACTTATCTCGCTCATATTCTTGCATAATGAAACATCTGAAATTGTCTATGCAAATTGTCTGTGCAAATCATCTGCGCAAAGTTAAAATGCAAATTTATAGGCACTTTTCGCCTTTTCTTGTCAGTTTAAACCGCGGTACAAATATAATTTGTCAATTATCGATAATTATTTATATTAAGAAACAATGCTGTCGCAATTATACTCCGCATTCCTCTCGCAGAAGACCAAGCTTGTAAAATATATTCCACAATATACTTTAATCTTTCTTCTTAAAATGTTTCTTTTAAAGAACAATGTTGCTCAGTGCTTTAACGTTACACTGGTAATTACGGTACGCTATACTCGCCAGGTCACGGCGACATCGTTAGATTCACACGTTTCCATTTTCTACAGAGCTTAGAAACGTTGTACAGTTACGTAGCAAAGACGAGTGAGTTGCGTTTTGCACGAAACACAGAGGACGAAAACTTATTATCATCATTACGTAGTTCCGTGACATCGTAATGACATATATGCCACTAAATAATTGTAACACTAAGTTTTGTTGATTGCAAAACAGTAAATGTGAGCATGCGGTTCTACTACGAAGTCTACTTTGTTGTAGACCTCATCGTTGAATCATCGAAAAAACCCGGAACAGACCTTGAAGTGAACTGCCACAATTTACATTCCCGATATTATTTCTTTTCTGTGTTACACTGATCTCGGAAGGCCAGCCATCTTCTACGATCTTCTGCGTTGTTCGGACCCCATGATTTCGACGGCCGGAAGGCTTCTCTGATCATCTAAAAGAGATAAACGCTATTGTAGTAGATGGATAGTATTAGAGTGGAATAAATATATAATTTTACGAGAGTATTAACTCTCGCTTACTTTTTGGAAAGGAAGATGTTTCTTCTTGAATATCGCAATGGCAATCCATAAAGGTATTTGCAGAACAGCGACAGAGAAGAGGATCCAACCTACAACTGTTGGAAAAAAAATATAAATATGTAATTGGTAAAATTGTTATTATTATGATGGTATGTATTATTCTTTAAAATCAATTTTTCTCGAGTAATTAAAGAGATAAATGTATCTAATATACAAATTATGTTATAATAAAGAAATATGAATTTTACAAAGTAATAGTTGAATTTTTATAAAAAGAAAAGATCGAAACATTTTTTAAACACAGAGATTTTATCCAATTTAAATAACTTACCGTAAACCGAATAAGGATAGAAATTCTTGTTGTATTTCAACAGTTCAAGATTGGCGAATGTATAAATGAAGATTACAAGGATAATTCCAGGAGTAAGAACGCCCCAGCAGACTCGCCAAAACACCGACAGTCGTTTCTTCAGCATAAATTCGACGTCGTTCAGGAAGTTACCCAGTCCTAAAATTACTTGATTCAATCTCGTCCGGTACGATCGGATAATTGACAGCGTATATTTGAAGGTAATACGGACGGAAGAAAAACTTACCGTACGACCAAGCGACGGCGATCATTTCGAAAGCAGCCGGTAGAAAAGCGATAAATGAGGTCACGTAATAATCGACGAAGGTTATCATGAACTGACCGCCCTGCGAACAACCATACAATTAAGATAACGGCGCCGGTTTACGAAAAGGATCGTAAATCGCATGTAATTAGCATACCGGCGTGACATATATGAGACCGATCAAGAACTCGCAGAAGCAAGTACCGACTGCTACGTGCCAGTACTTGACCTTCGGGAACTGATCGTGCACGATGGAAATTATGGCGGAGGTGAGGCCGACTTCGCTACCGATACCCAGGACGAATAACATCGCGAAGAACACGACGCCGAAAAACTGCGGTGCGATCGCAAACTTGGCGATCGTCTCTGGGTAGGAAATGAACGCTAATCCGGTGCCACCTCGAACCACTGCGCCGACATCCTCGATCCCTAATTCGCGGCTGAGATTGCCCAGAATGGCGAAGATCGTGCAACCGGCCAGCAGACTGGTAAAGGTGTCCAGAGTAGTCACGATCATTGCGTCTCTGATGAACGTGAAATCCATTTAAAATTATCAGACAACAGTCAGACACGCGCCTCGTGCTTAATTAATATATCGCTTATAAATATTTACTCAGCTATATTTTTTTTTGTATCAGTGGAAAACGCGATGATAACGATTAGCAAAGAATCTTTTCAGTTAAAAGGAAATATCAATAGAGCGTCATCGCAAAATACTGAAGTAGATCCAGAATAAAGAATGACTGTAAATTTATGGGTAGGCTAAATACTCATGAATAACAGTACGGATATAGCCAAATGATTCATATCAAATTCCACTCAATAAAACAAATAAGGGTGCAAATTCTATAAAGACAACAAATACTTATAAGATAGTAATGGCAAACAACATGTTTTTAACTAACCGATACACGTCATGGTGGAACTTGTTGTGCGAGGCGAACATGACGACGGCGCCGAAACAAACGGTCAACGAGAAGAAGCATTGGGCGACTGCGTAGTACCAGATCATCGGCGTCATCAACTTCTCCCACGTTGGGGTGATGAAGTACAGGATACCTGTGACGGATCCATCCAGCGTGACCGCCCTTACAAGCAGCACGAAGAGGACCACGTAGGGAAATATCGCCAGAAAGTACGCTGCCTTGCCGGAACTCCGCACACCGCGTATCACCACGAGGAAAACTGTCAGCCAGCTGATGAAGAGCGTGATCGACAGACGCCAGTCCGGTACACCGATGCCGTCGTCGATGTTGTCCTTCTCTCGCAGTACCTCTTTGCTAAATAAACGCAACCACTTCGTTATCTATTATCTTCGTTTCTTATCAGGCAAATGTATTTGAGATGTCCTGAAACCATCGAATGTCCTTTTAATAAAAAATTCTTTGATTAATTCGGAGTGGACTTTTCCTTAGAAAATATCAAGGGAGTCATCATTCATTGCAACTTTTTAATTATTTGCATTATATATCTTTGTGACTAATTTAAGTTTTGATTTAAAATTTGATTAAGGTAAACTATCTTCAAAGTGAGTATAGTTTTGTTATTTAATTAGTTCTCTAAAGTTTTATTCGTGGAAAGTCATGTGATGAATTTCGGGACACCTTACATAAATGGAGCTAATTTGACTATTGTTTCTGAGTAATTTACTAGAAATACAGCTCAGCAGAGCTGGAGTAGCTAATGTTCTCGATTCTAACGCTGTGGTTGCCGGGTAAAGAGTCCACACAGAACTCGCCCCATTCCTCCCAGCATCTTCCCCATGGTAATTCCGTCTGGAAGCTGGCGACGAGGTAGAACAAGGTCAACGCCATCAGCGAGCAGTAATAGGATGCCAGTGCCAGCAGCGTTATACATTGTGCGATACCAACGCCTACGAGTTTAATTTTATTCTTGTACTGTAATGTTACATTCTTAAAAATTTTGGATATATTTGCGAATAATGTAACAAAATAAATTCTCAAATTTTCAAATTGAGAACTAAGAGGGACACGCGCCGGGATGAGCATGGATAGCGAGTACGCGCGCACCTCTGAATGCCGGTGCAAGGTCCCAGATCTTCACGGCTGACCGGCTAGAGAATTGCCCTAGGATCATCTCCAGCAGATAGAACGGCTTCCCCACGACGATCAGGACGATGATGTACGGTATCAGGAAGGCACCGCCGCCGTTCTCATACGCCGTGAACGGGAATCGCCATATATTACCGAGACCGACCGACATGGCGATGCAGGATAGTAGAAATTCTCTGTCGTTTCCCCATTGCTGGCGCTCCACTGGCTTCCGCTGCACGAAAAGCACGGGTGCAGTGAGCAGGAAAAAAAGTGTTTGCACAGCCGATCCTCTATTGGGACAATTTCAAAAAGAATCAATCATTCAATGCAAATAAAAACAATTGTCCTGAGATACGAATATTTTCTTTATCTTTCCGCAAAATTATCCTACAGCAGATGGGCTGTGCAAATCTCACTTTTTGTCGAATCGTCGTGCATATCGCTTATCAGAAACAAAGATTTAATTGGGAACAATGCTCTCGTATTGTTTGAGATTATCTGGAAATTAAAACTTTTTCTCGTTTGCTTCTTAGTTGAATTGCTGATTTTTCGCATGAAGGATAATTACCGCGCTAGTTTCATGAGTGGGCCCATTAACTTCGATGCCGTTCGGATTTATCGGCTCGTCTATGATAAAAGCGCGATTTGTCACGCCGCTCGAGACCGCGTACGCCTGAAACAATCGTTGCAGTAGCTGTAGTCCCCGTTCTCTTTTCTAGCGAAGAATATAAAAGCTGGCGAAAGCTCTTATTCATCCGCGGACGATTCACGAGAATATCACTCTGTGGAAACGCTATTAATGCTTCAAATTAAAAGTTAATTAAGAGTTGACTAACGCGCTATATCATTAGCATATTATTCAGCACTTATTTCAAGAATTCTCACAGTCGATGATTGTTACGAGGAAAATTAACATTAACTTAATTTTCAATATTAGGAAGAAACTTTATAAAATAATTAGATTCGTGCCGCTTTCATTATTCTTTTCCTTGTCCTTACATACGTTTATTCTCCTCTAATCTCTTCCCGCATACCTTTCGCCCCATTTAATCCCGCGATGATCCGTTTTCCACAGTCACTCAAAATTTCCATCAACTCGTTACGTACCTACGTACGATCTACATGCCGTTTTCTTCTCCTTACGCGGTACACGTCTTGTCACGAGGTAGTGCGACTAAACGTAGGTCCGCTCTGTAAGAACCAAGCGTTATCAGTTCGATCAATCACTCGCGGACTGTGCGCGGATGAAACGCCCGGTGCAGGCTTCGAGGATGAAAAACGCACTCCGCCGGAGCGTGAGCAGACAGGAAAAGAACTGACGTGTAAATTTTATGTCATGGAAATTCAGAGCGGTCGCTGTGAGATAATGACAGGCGCGACAAGGAGTTATTAAGTGAACGGTGACGGGAATGCGAGGGGTATCTCAAAAGCGTAATCGTTTTCAAAACGCGCGCATTCCCTCCTCAATTCCGCAATTTATTTAAGGAGAAAACAAATAGAAGAAGAATCTGCCTTGTTGTAAAGTAAGATTTCGCCGTGCTGCCTTAATTTGCGCCGATGATAATGATTCATTGCCTGGGAATTCGCACGTCGGGCCGAATCAGGATCTACGATAGTCCAACTGCAAAAATAACGAATGGCGAGATTAATTGAACTATAATTATCATAATTGCCAGGGGATCGAACAACGAGATTGTAAGTGCGCGCATTTAATACGCGACGCTGAGATTATTTCTCGATTGTAAAATCGGTGCTCTGGCAGCCGGGGAGTCCCCGCAGAGTGGAATTCTATTTATATTTTATATATGCCGATATAAAAAATATTTCGGAAATCAAGATACGCACGTTAAAATGCTAACACACTGAAATTATAAATGGAGTTCTATCTTAAAATCGGACGCGGTTCCGACGATCTGTAAGTTGCGTTAAAATTCGAGATAGAAATCCATTTATTATGACTTTTGCCATGTAGATTAAAGAATCAGGGATAGAGAATCGAAATACCTATACATATATTAATCCTCCGAGACCACAGCTCTTTTTTTAATACGCCCCGGCCACACATTTCCTCTATTTTCTACAATCAGCATGTAGCGCACGTACTAACGAGCAGAGTCTAATTAAGAGAAGAGAGAACCCCGGCTCCGTCATAAACGACACTGTACGCCGCGGAATAAAGGGGATTATGTAAAATAGCGATTGCAATATAAATAAGATAACAGAGAGACAATTGAGGCGCAGATGCCGGCGAGGGTCTCAAACAAAACAAAAAAATATGTTTTATGACGCGATCGCGGAAGACGATTATTACAGGGATTATGCAATCCGGTGCGGTGCGGAGAGAGGGGAAAAAAAAAGAATCTAGCGCGATAGCGCGATATAGACAAACGCGCGGTGCTTACCGGATTGTACCGAGACGACTCGATTCGATCGGAATTTAATAAATGACTAATGACCCTGAGTCGATCTAGATATAATGAGTTTAAAATAGACACACCTATACCTGCGTGAGATTATACAGAATGATGGAATTCCCCGCATAATTCTCTCATTTTTTTAAACCTATAGGCTTGCAAAATAATGGTCGTTCAAACATCTCGACGCGCCTGACGGAACCGCGAGCGTCATGTATCGCTATCTTGGATTTCGAGCGAGGCGGGCGACCGGGTCGGTCGGTAACGCGCGGCGCGACCTTACCGACGGTCGGTAATGTAGGGCGCGCGGGAGGGCTCTGGTTGCGCTCGAACGGCGCGACGTGCGCTAGATTTTAAATGCTTCGCCGCGCGACAGTGCCTGACACGTGCGCGACAGTGCCTGACACGTCGTTGTAACGTGACACGTGTGTTTTCTCTTATTGTTGTTTGTTGTGCGTGAAGTGTTGTGAACCGATGAGCTGAGAGTTGTCGCGATTGTTGGGATGAATTTCACTCCGACTGTGTCGACTCTCGCGTCGACACAATTATAATTTTAAAATTAAACCTGTTTATAGCTTTATGGGCGAAGTACTGCCCGGTGCCAGCAGCTTGAAAGAAGAAGAAAAAGAAGAAGTAGACTCTCGTGTCTCTCATCATGTAATATTATGTCCGCGTTAGTTGACCCGGGAACGGATATCGCATGAACTTCTTTATTTACGCGACCACGCGTCCACCTATATCGCGATTTTCTCGTTTGCAGCCTGTGCGATCCCTTTCCCAAGGCGAGCGTGGCGGATCCGCAGGACGAGCGGGCGAACGCGAGGCTGATGCGATTTCTGGAGACGCGTATTCGAAAGAGAGACCTGCTGCAGGAGGACCTGCACGAGAAACGTAAGAATTATCCTCCGTGTATCTTTCAGCGTTTTGACTTTGGTTCACCGTTGTGTGATTGCTCAAGGTTGACGTTTTCTTTTCAGAGAATCATTTTAGAAATATATTAGTGGAACTGGAACATGAAAACGCGTTTTTAAGACGTGAAAACAGCCAACAGAAGGAGATGGTAAGTTACACGTGCAATAACAGATACCATTACGTCTCATAATGCATATCTTTCTTAATTTCTTAATGTCTTTCTCTTAATATGCGACAAATCTTTCAGATATCTACGTTGGAGGGTCGTGTATATAAGTTACAGAACAATATCGATGGCTTGCTTTACAAACTGAACGATGCTTGCGACGCTTTAAGAAATATACAGCAAGAAGTAAGCATATTTTTCCCGATGATATTTTGCACACTGTTATTTTTTCTTATACAATACAATTTCTGTATAGTTGAGGAATAAGGACAGGCAACTCAAGGAACACATTCTAGAGAAACAAAAAATAATCCAGAGATGCAACATTAAAATACAAGCGGAGAGAGATAGAATGACCAAGGAAATGGAGATGAAATTGAAGGAACAACGTGAGCGGTTGACGGTATAGTTCAGATTTTATTTTACAAACCAATCTTTTTTCGATATATCTCGGGATTATCTTTCCTGAGATAATCTTCGTTGACTCGTGCATTGAAATCTGCTTTTAGAGCTACATTAAGAAGAAGGATGACAAAATGAGATTGGTCAGGCAAATATTGACTTCGGCTCGTAAAGATACGTCCGATAATGTCGCCCCGACATCACCGATAGCCTCGAGTTCGAGAGTAGAGACGACGGAAAAAACAAATGTGATGATATTCCAGGAAGAACCTTCTACGGTGACGTCAATCAATCTTCAAGCTTCCAGAAGCCCTCGTGGACAACTCCGCCAGACGTCTTGTCATGCAAGAATCGTTTCCAATGGTACCAATGGAAAAGCCACAGAAGGACCAAGCTCGTCGTTGGCCAAAGAAAAACCTTCTACAGTGACGTTCATCAATTCTCAGATCCCCGGCTCTCATGGCCAAATCTGCCAGACATCAAAAGACGCGGTAGTGTCTCGTGGCAAGCTCTCGTGCAGCGATCGCTTAAAACGACGGTTATCCTTATGCGCGAGAACCAATTCTGACGATGTCCAAAGAAAGGCCACGAAGCAACCAATCCTGATGACGGAATCTTCCATGCCTTCGGACTCGAAAACCGAGATTTCGGAGGAACCAAATCCAACGACGCCCCTTGATTCGCCATCGTCATTCACGATTGCGTCGACCGATACCACGATTGAAACCAAAACAAAAATGAATACAAAGGTAACGAGGAGAATTGCGTAATTTTGAGTAGATCAATTTGTATTCTTCGACAATGCTACGCTTCTTCGGTCAACGCATATATGTAAACTGATCTTTGCGTGTATGTTAATTCAGATTCCAGTAGTAAACCCCAGATACCAGCGAGTGCAAAGTCTAGGTAAATGGATAGATCATCGTCCTACCGGGATAGTTCCGACCGGTACGATTTTACAACCGCGAACGCAGTCTCATAACCGAACCATCCGAAAGTTGATGAATCCGAAAGATTTTATGGCCAGATCTTCCAGGTACTGCCTCCTCTCGCAGGAACAAGACGCGGACGGCGAACTTGAGACCAAATTGTACAAGGTAAGGCTTCGTTTAGAGTTTAGAGTTACTTCGGAGAATTGTATTTCGTGTTATTGTATCTCCTTGCACGTTGCAGGCCAATGTATTGCCGACTTGTGGAGGAGGGGCGCAGATAGTATTTAACGATATAGAATGCTTGAAGCAGATATCTCCACCCAGCGCAAAAAAAAACGTAATGGACAGATAACTGGAAAATAATCCGGTAAACACATAAGTCTCGTTTAGATTGACAGAAATCTTTGTAAGCTCCGAGATATAGTTTACGAGACAGTTGCAGAGTTGATATTGTTTTCTTATTTATTTCTTGTTATCTATTTAACAGATATATTTGAGAGTGCCATTTTAGTTACTCGTTTTCCATATAGATACCTTGGAATTCGCGCGGTTGACATCGTTTTGTAGAAGGCTAAATGTCCTAAATGTCAGAAATAATAACAATTTATTTTTCTCTCGCTTTCAAGTGTCGTAAAGCGATATCTGACGCTTCAATTCCAAAGTATCCATATATCGTAATTTATAAGCTGGAAGACGGATTCTGTAAACGTCGAGATGATGAACTAGAAAGAAAGACTGTAATGTTATCTTACACATGTAATAAAGCTGCACAAAAAACGTTCGTATCGATGAATCTCAATTTATTTGAATGTGAACAAAAAGATTTGTCGTTGCCACACACGAGGACGCATGCTAACGGATGGATGTAATTCATTTATTAGAGAACGCTGCCGCGTCTGCAAGATTCCGCTGGTCGAAGGAGGTTTTTAACCGTATTCCTGTACGATTGACAATCGCACGGAAACCGGTCGTACTTTCGAGATCTAAAGTATCCTGCAACAAATATGCAGCGACGGACACCCTCCCCTCCTCGTCTGGTCTATCGCACCCGTTAATCCCGGCAGTCCCGGCACGCGCGATTAAACGGTAAAATATATAAAATTAAGAAGTATCAAGACTAGATGAATATATTAATCGTTAGATTAATTAGTTATATTATGATCGGTTCTCTAACAAATTATACATATATATATATATATATATATCTATATACATATATCTATATATATGTATATAAAAGTGTATTAGATATTATTTAAAGATATTGTCTTACGCAACGCGGTGCATATTCTCCTTTCTCGTAATACGATACAAGTTGCTCAACAATTACGCGTTCGGCTCTCGTTCAAATATTTTTCTCATTGAATAAACGAATTTACGAACGCGATACGGAATAAAGTTGGAGATCCACGTCGTAACTTTTGACAAACGATACTATTGTGCAGAGGTCTGCGGGTGCCTATCTTCGGAAGAACGATGCGTCGTTCTTCTGAGTATTCTCTTGCGAAATGAAAGCCGTGATAGCAAGTTGCCGACTCGAGTGTCGTGACGAGTCATCAAAGAGAGATATGTGTCGTGTAGATAATATCGTTCATACAAATCGTGTCGTTTCTCCACGGATGTATTCTGCGAAGTGACCGAAGTATCGTCGATCGGCGATAAATCGTACTTAATCGAACCGAACTAAGCATAACATTTACAAAGTGTATTTTATTTCGCAATGGTTTGTATATGCATATGTACATGTATGTGTGCGTGTATGTGTACATTGTCCTCGACACTGCGAAGTATACACCGCTATCGATAACCTCAGCGAAAGAACGGACATTCGTAGTTTCGTCGAGCTACTAAAATTACATCTTATATGATAAAACGATTAGGCGCGTACCCAGACAGTTCTAAACTTGGCAAGCGCCACCAATGCTTGGTTGAGATTTACTGCAACGGTAACACATCAAGTTACATATCTTTCTGTAGAGTGTAGAATATAACATGATTCACGCCCGTTAATCAGTCCGCAAAAAGAAAAAAAACTTGCTAATATATTTTCAGATATTACGGCTACCGATATCAGTAGATAAGAATTTGTACGACTTCGTAAGCTTTTTATCTCAATCCGTAAATAATACTGCCTGCTCAATTGGTGTACACTCCAATGGCGTTATTTTTCTGCCGCGAATGATTCATCTAACGATGTAAGATCGTTGGGTATTATCGCTTACATTTTTTTCGAGACGTGTGCGATGAGAAGAAAGAACGGGCGACAGAGAAAAGAGGCGTCGTTTTTTCTATTTAAATGAAAAATTCTCGCGCGTTTGCACGTGTAACGCTATGTGCGACTGAACTTTCTATCACGGAGGAGAAATTTCAAGTGACAGATTCGAGAAACCGATCACACTTCTTCACGACTGACGTGAGGACTGACTAAACGAAGCAACGTAAACACGATATAAGTAATAATCGAGGATAAAAATCTCTTGCCAGCCGTAAAATATAATAAAACAATACCGACGTATAGAAATATCGGCGAAAGACGCGTTCGCTTAAAAAGCTCGCGAAACAAGCGATTCGTTTCGATCGCGTGCGAACCGCAAGTGAAAGCGCTATTAAGAAGATAACCAGTGCCGAAAAGCAAACCGAGCGCAGACTGCAACGATTCAATCTCCGGGACTCTCTCCCTCTCTCTCTCTCGTGCGGATTGCGATCAATTCGATTTCACTCCGACAGTACACAGTAAGCGGTAATATCGTCGTAAATTCATCATTTTATGCACAACGATTAATTAATACTCTTTACTCTATTGCTTTACTCATGAACTCTATGAATCGTTTGCCGTATTGTTCGGGATCACAGGTGGATATTCCGTCGACGTTAGCACCGTATTTGACGGTCTTAGCCGCTTTCGCCGCTTGCTTACGTACGCCATAATGCGTCAGCACGTCTATTATGGCCAAAAAATAGATCTCCTTCGTGAGAGCACCTAGGAAAATAAAATATACGTGATGAGCGTTTTTTTTTTTTTACATTCGCATTTCTCGTATAAGTGCACGATTATCAGTTTACTTGGGGAAAATACCTTCTTTACTAGGAATAGCGTAAATATCTAGCTCGGGTATTATCGCATCTTCGTACTGTAGACTGGTTTCGCGCATTAACGCGGCATGCGGCGACTCGGGGGGCGTTGCCATGTTGGTAACCGCGTGGCCGACGCCGCTCCAACTCCACAAGCGGCTGCAAACAAACGAGTTACCGATAAATCAAAGTGAAAACCCAGCTTTCGTTCCAACAAGAAAAGGAGAAATTCTGCTGCTTACTCTGCCATTGGACCTCGAGATTCCAATCCGCTACCGGACTCGCTATCATCCTCCTCATCGTGATTGTCCTCGTCGTCCTCCCTTTCCGCACGCTCTCTGCTCTCTTGCTCGGCACGCGCGCAATCGTGCACGCCGAGGAGCAAGGAATAATCCATCAAGTGTAATCTCGTCAAGAACTATGGAGACAAACACACATTATCTCGAGTACTTGAAAATCCTTCACAAATTCGAAATCAATTTTTATCTCGATAAATAATTCAAGGTAATTCTTGATACAACTCTCACATCAGTACAAAACTTGGCGCGATCAAAAAGTTTATACGTTTATAGAAATACTTACATCTACGTCGGCGGTTAATGTTTCTATTAGCTTAGTTTTGGCCTCTTCCCCGATGTATATCTTCATGCCTTCCTTAACAAAATCGTTATCCTTGTAGGTAGGGAGATCCTTCTCCTTTTCCTTATCCGACGCTTCCCGGTCCACCGTCGAGCCTTTCAGGTCGAACTTCTTGTGCGTTGTCAAGTGATTCGAGAATACATTCCTTATGGCAACCACGTAGTGCTCGACCCCGTCAACGGTTAGCCGATACATTCCCAGATATTGCGGTAACAGGGTCTTTCCATGTCGCTCGACGATATACTGCAACGCAATGTCCGTGTAATCTCGAATATTCATCGCATTCACTTTCGATTGTACTTACGGGATGATAATGCTTCAAGAACGAATGCATCCTCTCCACCTCCTCGCTCGTGAGGGTTTTAATTATGAACAGCTTGTCGTAAGATTGATAAAACTTTGCGCCACTCTTCCCAGATGAATCGTCGAGCACTGGTTGCGACCTGAAAGAAGAAATGCGCAAACCGCATCTTGGGTATGCGTGTGGATGTGCATTTTTAAAGGGAGATCAAACAATGGTTCAATTCGAATGACCGCTAACACGGGGCAATATGGGATCATGATCTTGGCAAGTCTGAATCATTGTTAAGAGCGACATATTAGATAATCGGTGGGTATTTTGATGTAGCCGAGAATACCTGGCGTGCGAAGCGACTTGATCGATATTAGAGTCCACCATAAATAAATAATTACGTTAATGCAGGGATATTAATTGAAAATTACAAATAATCAATATTAGAATATTATTCTTTCCTCACGTTACCTTTAATGTTCCCTTTACTCTTATTATGATCAATAGGATGATTATCGTTATCGTTACTGCCGTCATCGCCGTCGATATAAAGCATTTGACTTGTTAATTATCTTGGTTATCTCAGTGAGCGATATTTTAATGATAATGATTCGATTGAAATATTCTCTCTCACCATGCTTTAAATCGAACAAGCTTTCAGTGGTAGCTTACACTCGCAAAGTGTTTTAAACTTTGCCGCTTTTGAATAAAGCAATAATTAAGATATTAATGAAATGTTATGCTTAGTCACGCCAATTTTTGCTCCTCGGGTAGGTCTTTAAACTTTGTTAGAAAACGACGAAAACGCACAGCATGGCAAAATCAAGTTTTGCTAACCTCAGGCGTTTCGGTTTAAGACTGCAGGTACGCAGCGGTTTGTTTAGAACAGAATTGTGCGAGGAGGCAGAAGAAGGAGAGGAAAAGGTAATCGACGGAACGGTAGCGGCGCGTTGAACCATTTGACGAGTTCTTCTGCCTATTCCTTCGACCAAATCCGTACGCTGCTTTGCTCGCGAAGGATTAAACACCCGACATCTACCACATCAAAATTCCTTACATTACAAAGCCATCGCACAGTAGCCGTTCCCTAATTTACTCGCGACGAACGATGTCGTCGCACACAACCGCGAAAGCAAGTTTATCCTCAACTTTATGCAAAGTGACAGTGCATTTGCTGCGTACTATACATAGTGTTATACCAGATACATCAAGATTACAGCGAGGATAATCAACGCGCAGGTATTACCTTGTCATCGACTCCTTGTAATCCAAATCATCAATTCCAAACCTTTCTCGCAAATTCCTAAAGACTAACGGACAATATTCTTTGATTTTGAAGTGGGAGGGCATGTTCTCTCTGGAAAAAAAAAGAAGAACAGATTGCGCGTAAGGAAATATCTCTGCGATATTAAAGGTAAAATCTTAGATTTACTCATTAGCACATAAACAAATCTAAAATGAAGTGCAGTTGCCAATTGGCTCAGTACCGAGCGTTATATATAAAACAGGCAGTATATTGTCTAAATATTTCTAAGATTATCTCATTACACCTGCACAGTTGCTCAAGTCTATTTAGAAACAGTATGGACGTATGCACGTTCACAATTAGCAAAATATGATCTGAGATACGTGTGATCAAGAGATACATATCTGATCGGAGTCAATACGTGATCGTATGACTCACATACACACACAAAAAATGATGAAGGCAAACTTACTTGTTGAAGAGATGATTATCCACTTTCAACTTGCTGTAAGCTCTAAAATCGTCTGGCAAGAGCATTACTGGAATGTTAACGTGACTAAGTTCGTTTATCTGCAAAGCAGCAAACACAACAATCATAGATTTATCTCACTCAGAGAGATCAGGCTTAATTAAAGTTCAAGTTAATTAAAGTCAAGTTCGTCCGATTTATTCTCACGCGAGCATTCTCACCGGAAAAAATACCGATTCAACACATTCGAAGGAACGTCATGTCGCAGGGAGGACGCATCGCATCGTGCACCTTGCAAAAGTGTCCACGCACACGCGATGGAATTAAAGAGCAATTGACATAATTACGCGGTGCTATCAGGCGAGTCGACGACGCGGAGTGTTTCCGACGTGTATTACGTGTATTACGTCGTTCCGTTTTGACGGATAATGACGCAACTCAGTCCGCGACGGACGGGAGGACGCGCAAAATGAAAATAGAAACGTGGCGATGACGACGATGACCGCGCTCGCCGTCGCCGAGAAACGTCAAAACGAACGCGCGGGGGGCGAGCGGAGCAGAGGGAAGACGGAGAGAGATCGCTTACCGTGTGATTGACACCCCACATAAACACGCTGAGAAGTGGCTCGTTCGCGCGGAACAGCTTAACCTTCTGATGCTTCACCCGGAAGTGCTTCTTCTTCAGCTTGCTCAGCCCGCTGGACATGAGCGGTACGCCCGACATGCTTGCGACTGTCAGACCCGCGCGCGACCGTAGACGACGACGTTCAACGTGTCAGGGCGAGGGAGAGACTCTCTGAACTCCGAAGGAAGAGGGTTTTCTCGCGCGCTTCTCACCCTCGTCCTGGACGACCGCGGTCCACCCTCCTCGACTCGTTTCGGGGAGGAGCGGGGAGGGATGGGACGAAACGCGAGAGAGACTTTCTCCTGCCTCTCCGTCGCCTCCGTTTACATGGTAATTCACCCTCGTCGCGGCGAACGGGACGGGCGCGCGCGAAACACACAGATCCTCACCGAGGCACCAGGGGGACGGGACGGGACGGGGCGGGGCGGAGTGGAAAGAGAGAGAGAGATCGTCGGCGCCTTCCTCACGAGCTGACGGCGGCACGCTGGCACACGCCCATGGACCCACGAACACCCGCGGATTCTCGGCGGACAACACCTCGTCGACCCTGCACGACGACGAATCACTGAAATCACGACGGACGGATGAGCGAGCGAACGTCGCACGCACGCACCCACCACCTCTTTCTCGCGCGTTACCTCGCCGCGCTGCCGCGCACTTTGGTTCCCCTCCTTCACCCTCCTGCCCCCTCGGCCTCGTCGCACCTCGGTCCTCACCTCCTCGGCCCCTCAGCCGCCCACGGGTGCCCCTCAGTCCCTCAGTGGCGTAGTCGCGGATGGTTGGCGGGGAACCAGGGGAACCGGTGCCGATCGTCGAGCTCCTTTTAAAAATGGCGAACGCCGGAGGGAAAGAGAGAGAGGGAAGACAGCAGTCGATGCGCTTTTCGACGCGATCTCCCGCCTCGCCATCCCGCCAAATCGACTAATCTTCCCCGCGCGAGCTGTCGAACGCCGATTTTTGGTTAGCTCGGGACGTCGGGAAGCGCTCTAGGCTTCGAAGATCGAAAAATCGCGGAACTCGAGCGACAGATGATAAAAGGAACGATAAAAACCTCTCTCCATCCGTTTCGTTCTCTCCCCGTTCGAACGCGACTTCACGGTCTTCGCGTTGCCGAGGCGCGTGAAGTTGGACGGCGAAAAAAAGTCCCTAGATTACGCGCGATTTCCATGAATTCGACTTCCGGGGATATTCGCGATCGATCCCCGCTTTTCCGAGGTCAGTGGGTCAAATCGGGACCGAGCGCGCGGTTCCTTTATATACGAAAATCTCCCCTCGGGCCCCCCGCCAGCCCTCGCCCATGCAAGATTCGCGCTCGCGTTTGAACGACACACGCGCAGAACGATGGCGTCGCACGTCGCACTTCCGTCCTTCGCTCGCTTTCTCGGTCACGTGGCAAGCGCAAACACGCCGCGCGCGGGATCGCGGTTTGACGGTGTGCGGGGTCGAGAGGGGGGCAAGATCCCAGCTCGGTGAACAGCTGACTCGGGAGTAGGGGGAAGCTACGATAGTTTGGAGTTGGCGAAACGGAGAGAATCGACCGCGATCTCCCGGGATCTGTTTGTCTCAGGCGAGCGTGCCGCACCCTCCGTGCCCCCTTCACCCCCACGATCGACGTTTATTTCATTATAACCGCGGAAGATGTGAAAGGGGACACCGACCGCGCGATCCCGGTCAGCTGTACCCGCCGCGTCGCGTTTCCCTTCCGCTCCGACGCGCGACGCGTACGTCTCTCTCGTTTCGGGTGCAGAAGGTGCGGGTCCGCGGGCCGCTAACGAGAGCGGCTCCGAGAGTCCTCGAGTCCCGTTCGTGCGAACGGGCTGTAAACGCGCTTCTTCGCGGCACGACGTGCGAGAGAGCGCGGCGCGGAGAAGCGAGAGAGGTGGGATTCGTTACAAAACAAGGCCCGCGCGCCGCGCGCTTCACGAGGCGGAGCGTTAAAGATGGAAGCGATGAACGTGAGCTCGCATCCCAGGAGAATGCACAACAGTTACGAGGACGAGGAGGAGCGGAAGCACTTCCAGAGGATCGTTTCCGCGTTCAGATATTACAAGTGAGCGCCCGGTGAATCTCCGGTCGAGGCCCGACCCCCGCTTTTCCCTTCCCCTTCCCCTTTCGTCCGTTCTTGTTCCTCGAGCCCGACGTCGACGACGAGAACCGGCAACGGACTCTCGGTCGCTCTTTTTGCGTCAATTGCTGATTAGCCACGAGAAGAACGTACACGCGTTACTCGTTCGTCGCGAGGACTCGATTTGTCAACGATTGCCATTTAGAAGTCACCTTTCTCGTGATGTGTTTATTATGTAAATAACACCACTGGGTGCCCTGACAATCTGTCCTCTGTTTGTTGCACAGGACGCATTCTCTGCTGAGAGTAAGAAAAACGGAGTCCTATTTCCTTAGTCTGCCACAACATCACCAGAAGCTTTTGTCGAAATACAGGGAACACCTGCAAGAGGTCAAACGGTGTATTGAATACAATGATCAGATCATAAAGCTCGTGATAAAAGATGTGGCCCATATATTCGAAAATGTCTGTCCAAACACCGCACAAGTTGACAACGTAAGGAACATCTAATATCTTGCTTGTTAATAATTAATATAGTTAATAATTAATTTAGTAAAGTTTTGTTACTTATACGACGAAAGCGATATTTGGATATTTTTGTTATACTTTTTTTGTCGAAATTACGTTTAACTGTTTAAACACACTCTCACAGATATTGTCCTGTTGTGTGAAATAGATGGGTTTCGTTGCAGACGATAAATCTAAGGCCTGTAATGTCAGATCAGGAGAAAGTGCAAGCTACCATTAAGCAATTGGTACGAGACTGGAGTGTGGAAGGTGCTGAGGAACGAAAAGCGTGCTATCAGCCAATCGTTGACGAAATATTATGTCAATTTCCATCGGAGCTTTGGTAATCATAATAATAATCTGATAATCCGATAATCTGTAATCACTGCGTGAGCAGTTACTATTTTAATATACCGAAAAAACGAGAAAGCAGAAACAAGAGAAACTTGCAAAATGTCTTAGAGATTTCAAGTTACTTTTCTTATTGGAGGCCTAAGCCGGTAGACTGGGCGAACTTTTAAAGAACCCATATAACTGTAATTAAAGTCTTTAAGATGCTTCGAGAGTTTCTCTTGTGTAAGTCACGCTGAGATGCGAGAAGTAGACTGAGAGAAGTATCAAATGATGGTTGAATTTCCAGTACGCCGTCGGACATACATATTTTAGTACCTGGTGCCGGATTGGGTCGTCTCGCCTTCGAGATTGCGAAGCGCGGATATACCTGTCAAGGGAATGAATTTTCCCTGTTCATGCTGTTTGCGTCAAACTTTGTATTAAATAAGTAAGTAAATATGATACGTGCGGGCAATACGCGCCCTCGAATCTTTTACCACAGTTCTCTCTTTTGAAACAGATGTAGAGATATAAACTTGTATAATGTACATCCGTGGGTGCACCAGTATATGAACAACTTGAAACCCGAGCATCAAACGCAAGCGGTTTCCTTTCCCGACGTGAGCCCGAGCGATCTTCCAGGAACCGCGCAATTTTCTATGACCGCGGGTGACTTCTTAGAGGTATGTACAACGAGAATATATAATATGTATGTAATCAATGGTGTTTGTTTAATAAAATCGACATACACGCTTTATTTCAGGTTTATACGGAAAGCAATCATTGGGATTGCGTTGCGACATGTTTCTTTATAGATTGTGCTAATAATGTTGTGCAATTTATCGAGACAATTTATAAGATCCTGAAGCCAGGTGGCGTCTGGATAAATCTCGGACCGTTGCTCTATCATTTCAGCGATTTACCGAATGAAGAGTCAATCGAGCCGAGTTACGAGGCCATCCGCGACGTCATTCTGGGCTTCGGCTTCCAATTGGAGGTAATAAACTTATTTTTGCATATTATATTTTCGGGACGTATTCACAAAAACGTATCGTTCATTTCTTTTTTTCCAGAAGGAGCAGACAAAAGTGAAAACACGTTATGCTCAGAACGTTAACAGTATGTTACAGTGCGAATACAATAGCGTGTACTTTGTTTGTCGAAAACCTAACGGACATGCAGACGGTGTAAATCACAATCAGAATGGGGACGAAATTAACAGTGTGCAAGAACAAGAGAACTGATTAAAGCGTGGCGCTTTTTCTTCGGGAAGAGTTAAACGCTAAAAAGTTAATTGTTTAAGTGCACCCGTGTTTCACGAACTTTTGCTGGAAATGGTTCCGTGAGATTATGTAATATCCAAGATTTATACTTTTTCTTTCTTTTTTTACATCTTTACCTGTCTCAAAAGACTCATTTCGTACGAGCGAATTTTCAATGGTACTACGAGAAATTGTCTTCACAACTTCAGTAATGATTTGAAGATAATAGACAAATTATTTTTTTAAATTCATTAGTGTATCATAACTCTAGTTGTATCTCCTGTTCATTGTATCGTGAGTCATTCGCTTGAAACTCGATAATGATATATTTGACAAAGGTTTATAAAATTATTTACAAGCTAATGTTACAACCTAAATGATTTTCATTATATTGTACAATTGTACGAGTGACATTATTGCATAATAATGTGATTATATATATATATATATACATATATACATACGTACAAAGTCATGTTAAAATTAAAAAAAAAAGATACAAATTCAGTTTTACAGTATGTTGTTATTGAGATATTGTATAAATAATGTGGCAATTTGATCAACTTCATTTTGTTGCATTTTACTAAAGTTTATAAACTGCCTTCGTAACATTGCGAGTCTCGACGGTGCGGCCGCGCGTTTTAAATTCACGCTAGAACCTGGTATTTTTATATCGTGGATCACTCCCAGTTGTTGCATCGATAATACCGCCTTCGATATGAAAGAAAAATATTTCTGATTAACGTTTAAATTATATAGTTTGATAAAGCACGTGTATATACAGTAGATTACTTTATATAGATTATATAAAGAACAAAAGTGTGGCTATTGCATATGAATTCTGGAATTTAACGCTCAATCACTTCCTCCATCGATATGGAGTACACACTCGAATTACTGCACATAACTTACGTTTATTACATCTTTCGTTATATTATCCAATTCGTACAGGTAATTCGTGGACGCTAACGGCGCCTGAAAGGATAAATGTCTGCGTAAGATACCTGATCATCGGTTGCACCAAAAGATCATCAAAAGAAAGGAGGAAAAAAGATACCAACGTTCTGGGTACTTAAATTTGGCTTCGGCAATTTGCCTTTGTAGAGGTAGCAGTAAATTTCGTCACACGTTAGATTGTCCTCCGGCATAACTGTGAAAAGTGGTGAGTCCCATCGATTTGTAGCTTCTGGTACTTCGTACCTGTTATATTTAATGTATAAATATTACGGAGATCGTCGATGAGTTTCATATGATTATTCTATTATCATTGTGCAATCACCTGGATACAAGCGAGTCGAAGATCTCCTCGCTGTACCGATCCGACTCGAGTCGTTTGTTGTTCCACAGCCAGGCTTGTTCGATCGGCAAGTTGCAGTGCAGCGTGCACTGAGGAGTCTTGTACAATTTGGTCGTGCAGTAGATCTCGTATCGATACCCCTTGATGTAATTGCTGCCGTCGAATATCAACAAGCTGTTGGAGTCCAGTTTACGTTGGATGTTCGACTTTATTGAGCTCCTAACAGCCTTCTCCTTTTTCGAATCTGAAAAATACAAGACAGATTGGCACGATTATTTGACACGGCATCTAAAATATCTACAGATATGAGATTATATTTATGGGAACGTTTGTCTTCGTGGAAATATCCACTTTACTCCTCGACTTACCAGCAAAATATACATTTTTATCGTAGCCCGCCTGGATTATCGCGTCGCTCTCGCTGATTATCTCCACGGTCTGCCCGCTGCCCTTCAACTTCTCCTCGAAGTAACTCTTCAGCTCGACGCTCCTCGTCGTTTTGCCGCTGCACGGTACGCCAGTTACCACTATCAGCGGCATTTTAACGTGATGCAGCTGACGAGAGAGAGTTTAATCTTCGCACACGCACACACACACGTGCGTCTTAACATAACCTAACCTCAACGGATCAACAACGCGAAATTGTAAACTTGCGGCGAGGAACGCGCTCCGAACTACTCCGAAGTGCACTGGCAGTACTGAAAATCTACAGTATGCGTGACGTGAACTGTAGATTTTTCAGTGCTGTCAGTACATACATTTTTTTACGCTTTGAGCAGAAAGTACAGCGTCTATCCTAAATTATAAGACTTTTGGGAAAAATATAACAAGAAAAGAGGATCCTGGCCGTATTGTCTTTGTCGAGAGGCAAGTGCCTTTTAATTTAAAAGGGAGAAAAAGACGAGTGCAGAAAGTACCTTTTTGACGTTTCCTTCGAGACCATGTGCTCCGACTTTTATTGGCAATCCGCCGGGCATGGGAGACTTGGGAGAGCCAATCGCGGGCGACGGGACGTCGTGGCAGGAATTCCACACCACCCATATCTATAGGCTACGCGCGCTCTCGCTCTCGCACTCTCGCGAATATGTAGAACGAAAACAAAAGTGTCAAACAATTGTCAAATACACATGCATGTAGATCAGCCGTTCTGACCGGGGCCGCGATAACGTAACTCAACCCGTAATAAGATGGCCGAGAACGAATTTGTATCCGACAGTGACGAGTGTCTCGTTACGGAGGCTATCAATTTAGATATCGAGGAGGTATCTATTTACCTATGCAACCGCGATCGCCTGTGCGACAGTTATATTGTATAAAACATACCTGACGCAACGTGATCTCGTTGAGCAAATCGCGTTGTGTCACTTGCCGGCTTGTACTCCTAATTAATATCTTTTTCGCCTGTCATGATTTATATCGTTGCAATTTAATTCACCGGAATTGTTCTGATAACAGCATTAATGCCGCATTCCTTCTAGTTAGATAACACGGAATATGCCATCCCAATCGTGGAAGAATTACCCACCTTAGAGAGCATCCTGATGGAGCCCGATTACGAGTCACTGTCAGAGACGGAGGACGATGTCGGTGTGCCATTGGTAGAGAAACTCGGCAGCAGCGAGACAACCAGCATCGGCAGTCACCTGTCGCTGAATTCGTTAAATAAATCCTCCAAGACCGCTCAGAGACCGTCCTCGGGTGTTATCTTAAGGCATGTCATACTCAAAGGAATAACATCACAAATTGTATCGGCCAATGTGAGCAATTACTCCATTCATTATGCGAAAGATATCGGGAGACGTCTTCCTTAGATTTTTGAGCATCTGTTACGTGCCGCGTGCATGGTAACCGAGCCTGAAATAGTCATTGTTCAATGTGATTTATGCAGGAGAGAGTCAACGCTGGTTTGGCCAGCGCGGTCGCAGCCGGTGGGAACATGCTGGTAATTGGTACCAGCCACGGTTTGATACTGGGCTTTGATTCTTCGCAAACATTGCGATGGTGCGATCAGGAGGCGAGACACCAAGGTTCCGTTTCCGCTCTTTGCTTCAACCACGACGGTAGTAGAGTACTAGCTGGTTTCGTCAGGGGACACATCTTGATGTTAGATAGCAGTAATGGAAAAGTTTTAAGAATCCTCACCGATGTACACCCGCTCGACACTGCTGTGTTACACGTTAAGGTATAATCTGCCGTCAATTCCCTTGCACATGCGTGAAATTAGTCTATCTGTTTGATTGACAGTTTTGAACCAGCCACTTCAGTTTACAGATTCGCCAAAAATAGCTTTGTGCAGCGACAGCGGTGGCTCGGTGTTCGAACTGAATTTCACTAGAGTGATGGGCGTGCGAGGTTGCGACAGTAGATGTTTGTTTAGCGGCTCCAAGGGAGAGGTGTGCACTCTGGAGCCTCTGCTGTTGAATCATTTGCCGTCGCATCCACTGAAAAATTATACATTAGTAGCAATGGCGACGTTATCGAAGGTTGTGCTTCGTAATAGACTCGAAAATATAATATTCGGCTAAATGTATATAACATTTATCTTATTTTGTAGGTAATTGTAGTCTGCATAAGACCGCGAATGCGCGTTGTATTAAGTCATCCGTTGACCGGTGCCGCGATAGCACCACCGCAACTGTCCTGGCAACTAGTTGTCATACAAACGGCTGACGGCTCTCGCGTGATCGATCCGGTATTGGCGCTTGCGAGGGACAACGTGGTGTATTTTTATCAAGTATGATTAACTGCATTATATTCTATCAGTTTACATTTATATTTTAAAAATACTAAAAAAAATATTGTCTGTTGACAAGGTATATACTGAAATTGGTACGCGGGTAAAACTGTCGCCCCTTCGAAGAATTACGCTACCGTATATGATAAGCAATTTGAGGTGGTTAAATCCGAGATCTCTCGTGATACTGGATGCTCAAGAGAAATTGCATTTGTTAGACGTAAGAGCGCAGGATAATTTGGAGACGTTAGACATGAGTCGCGTTGGTATTTCTTACGCTTCTAGTCATTTTAAGGGATTATCTACCGGCGGAAATGTTTCCAAGGTACGAGGAATGGTGTGCGAGAACAAAGAGAAATATATTTGGTACTACTACATTTACATTATATTTTGCACAGGCGATGGCGCTAGCCGGTGAGCGGGCGTGCTACAACACCGTTGTAGTCTTCGGTACGCAGCTGTTGTTATTAGGTATAAAGAGTTTACATGTGATATGTATGAGAACATGGACTGAAAGGTTGCAACATCTAATCATGCAGGTCAGTTCAAAGCGATAAAAATTATCCGACTATGGGAATAAGAATATTTTATCGTATTTTAGAAACGTTTCCCCGAGGCGTTAGCATTGGGCCTTTCCTTTTATCAAGACAAAGGCAAGGCAGTTATCGGCCTGCGAGGTTCTAAGCAACGTCGCAAGCAAATAGCGCGTGATAAAGTTTGCGAGGTATTGGTGCAGTATATGGACGAATTAAATCAGTGTTTGGTGGACGAAAATATAGACTACGATACGATAGTACTCACCTGCGTCGATTACTGCATACAATTGGAAAATATAGATCTGCTATACGGAAAGTTGTGGGACATAGTCTTCGAGTCGGAAGGACTGAAAACTAGTTACTTGCACGCCCTCGAAGCTCCTCTGCTAGATGGTAGTCTTCAACCAAGATTGCCGCCGCTGATTGCCCAGCAATTAGTTTCTCTTTATGATCAAGAAGACAAAGTAGATTCGCTGGAAGCGATCGTGGTTCTGCTCAATGTGGATTGCTTAGATATTCACCAAGTAAGTCTCACCATTTGCGAGCGTTGTGACAGTGAAAAATAGACGTTTACGTTTTAAAATAAAAAAAAAATGATTTTTATGAACGTCTACGATTCCAGAACGTACATTTTTGTCTGTAGGTAACGACAATCTGTCGTCAGCGCGGACTTTGGGAAGCGCTGATTTATCTCCAGACAACAGCGTTGGGCGATTTCACAGCGCCCATTCATCAATTGGTACCGGTACTACAGAATTTATTACAGGACTCAAAAGCCGCGCTTTCTCGAGACTGTATAAAACTCGGCAACGCCATTCTAGTTTATACCAGCTGCTGTCTCGCTGGTCGCGGATTTCCCAAGGACGAGCTTCCCGAGGGCATGCCGCAGAAAGCGAAAGCGGACATATTGAGAGGCTTGTTATCTCAGCATTCGAGTTTGGCGACTGATATGGAGAGGCAGTATCCGTACCTGAGAACGTTACTGAAATTCGATGCGAAGGGCTTCCTCGACGTTATAGCCATCGCTTTTCAGGAGCCAGAATTTACCTCCGAAATGGGCCTCCGGCACAGACAGAGGCTCATAGACATCTTGTTGAGCATTGTTATGCCGAGTACGCCGCTTACTCCGAAAAATAACGATTACATCACGATGGAGCAACAGTTTATGGTTCTCACATTTGTCGCGAATGAAGTATCCGAAAGCACGGTTACTCTGGAGTCTAGTACGTTGAATAGAATGATAGATATATTGTGCATCGACTCGCACGTAGAATTGCCGAAGGACTTTAAGACTGAGAGAGAAAGCGCTGTGTTGGGATTGCTGCATTCTAAAAAGTTGTGCAATATTTCAGATAACACTTTATTAAATTTAGCGAATAGAGCAAGTTTGTAAGTACCTCTAATTGACCTATAAGTTTCTCTATGCTTCGTTAGTATACACGTCGCGATGTATTATCATGACGACTTTATATTACAGCATAAGAGTCGCGGAATTACTGTACAGTGCGCGAGAAGATTGGGTGGCGGTATGTAAATGCATGATCTTAGAGCCATCGAGACATCACGACATATGGCCCTGGTTCGAGCATCTGTCGACCGCCTGGTTAGATAAAGTTATATCGGTTCACACCACAACTCTCGTTACGATCAACGCTCTTCAGTTTGCCACGATTATCGCGACTCGATTGCAAAACAAGATCGATGCAATACTGCAGGATTTTATCGATAATGTGAACTTGGAATACAAGCTGCTAGAAGCATTATATCAGGTCGCGCAATACAAGGAGGAGGACGTTTCTCTAGAATTAACGACTGAACACTTGGAGAGATATCTAGCGCTAATGTGCGAGTTGGAGCCGGCGAGCGTAGTTCGTCATTTGCACGGGCCGCACGGATGTAGATTGGACGAAGCGTTAAAAATCGTCCGGAAATGGAAATGTAAGGATGCAGAGGCGGTAATGTTGGAGAAGCTTGGTAATTATCAGGACGCGTTCGATCTTCTGCTGAAAGAGTTTGAGGATCGGCTGGAGATGTACCGGCAAGATAAGGCTCCGGAAAGTGAGACGGTACACGCCGCCATTCAGCTCGCGGGGATATGTCGGAGATCGGCGGGAAATCTCGACTGGATGCCCCTCGTGGAAGTTATGTTTCGATCGCATTCGGAGAACAATAGGCCGAAGGCAGACGTATTGAACGGCAAATTGTTGAGATTAATTCTAGAATCTTTGAGTGGTACGTCGATACTATCGAACATACTGGAGCAAATTCTGAGAAATCCATCGGCAACGAGCGGAACGATGGGTGACATACGGCAACTGCTGTCCGGAGTTCTCACTCAGTCGCGTTACGAGCAAACCCTAGTCGAAACTACCGCACGATTAGTGAGCTTAGAACTTCACAAGGCTCTGGAAAAATCCTTGAGGTACCCTGGGAGTTCTAATTACATATGAAATAATTAGTTTTTAATAGAGTGCGAAAGTTCGCTAAGCTTCACGATGAATTTCCTCGACTAATTTTCAAAATGCAACATTTTCTTGAATGCCAATAGAGCGGAAGGGATGGAGATTTCGTCTAGATTGAGCGACGAAAAGCACGTGAAAATAAAGCAGAAAAGAGGTTTCATCGTGACGAAATTCACAAACTTTCGCACCCCAAATCTTACATGCATATATGCAACAAATTTTCTAGCGTCAGCTTATATGCCATAATTTTTCTATCATTTAGGGACGCCGGTAGAGCATGCGGCAACGTTTCCGTAACTTGCCCCGTGTGCAGACAGCCGTTGTCGCAATGTTCTGATCACGTAGTGGTGTTCGGCTGCGGTCATGGGTATCATTCTACGTGTCTCGGCGAGTCCAAGTCCTGTTACAAATGCTTGAACACGAAAGGATGGGCGCCCGTCGCTACCAACGTCACGCACACCGTTCCGCAGCCTCCGCCGGTTAGTTGTAACAGCGATGTATCCTCGTTGTCTTACATTTCGGGCACTACCATGGATGTTATTCCGCTTACCTCTCTGTTTTACAGAGAAAGAAACAGATTCTTCCGCCAGAATTCCTACGTCACAAAGACCTTGCGCTAAGATTGGCACCGTCCTGCTCTATCCCCGACCTCGAGGGCATCTTTTAAATCTAGTCTCCGACTATCGAGAACGACGATCGCGAGCGGTATGTAGTATTTTTAAGATACCAAAATGAACGTGTATAATATACACATATTATGGATAATCCATACGTTGGATACCGATAAGAGATAAGCTCCATTCCTTGAGATTTGTTCGACGCGCGTTGATGTTTATGACACGTTGTCAAATACAAATTATTACTGAAATACAATTGTTTATATAACATTTATCTTCTGTAATGCATAATTTTGCGCTTTTACGTTTCCACGGCCGTCATCGATGGAACGTCCGTTCTGCGTTTTATTTTAATAATGCATACTGGCTTCCTGGGCGCATTATCCGCTAGAACGCGATGCGGATCCATAGGTTCGTCGCCCAATAACTCACCGGTGAGAAGTTTGGCGACAATTGGGAAAACATCCAGTTTTGGACACTTGGATGTGTCGATCGGCGTTATCTCAATGTTCGAGACATATGCGTCTACAGCAGAATTTAGCTTAACAAGGAATGGATTCAACTTCAATATAGCTATGCATTGCTGTAACTGCAAATAAAAAAGAAGATCAATTATATAATTTTGTTTAGGGAAAGATCCTATAGGCGTGTACATATTTCGCAAACTTTTCTTATAACATCCAACGATGTATTAAACGTTAACGGTACTCATAGATACGTGCCTTATCATCGGATCTTTTGAGATTACGTAATAGACCTTCAATTTCATTTAACAAAACGTAACATTTCGCGAGATATTCACGACTGTATTTAGTCTCTTGAACGTGCAAAAATTCCTTTATTACAGATCTCTTTTTCTTTATATTTTCAAGGAGCGACGATAACGGTACTCCAGATTGCGTATGACTGTCCACTTGAATCTTGGAACATTTTTCACAGACCTGTATAATTGATACGTCAATCCTGTAAATACTTATACAAGAAATGCATAAATATGTAAAATACAAGTGTCTTACCTGCTTTTTAATATAGTTCCACGTTCTGACAATCCCGCTCATAAATTGTTTAGGATCGTTCGTGGAGATGTAATTCACGGATAAATATAACAACGACTCGAATTTACATGTCAGGTTGCACAACAGTTGACCAAACAATTCGAACTTGTCGCGGAATTCAAGAGTGACGTCCGGACCGTGACTTTCCGACTTGAGAATACTCACCTGTACGAAATACATGTCAGTCGGATGTGAACATTGCGAGTTCGCTTCATTGTAAACAATTTCCAAACAGTTGAAAAATGAAACATCTCCGTTTCGACGTTTGTATATACATTAACTCACATTTTTTTCCAGAATTTGTACGATGTCCTGAGCTGATACGTCGTCGGTTGTCATGATAATTGCTCATAAAAATTATTTTCAGGTATGCCTCAAACTGGCCGTTAAACAAACATACTCCCATAGCCAACTCGATATTGTCCGAAATGCGATAGTGTCCTTTCTTCAGTAGATAGACATATTCAGTTGGTTTCTTTTTATTGATTGTTATGGCTTATATAAACGACACTGTTGTTGTCCTTTCGTACATGTACATAAATCTGGCGTCGATTTGCTCGTATAGCGTATAAGTCACTTTATAACATCGCGTATTAATTTCATTGATATACGACATCTCCCTTACGTTCGGCTAACATTAGTTTTTTTTTGTTATCAGATGATGTAATGAGGTATCGTATAAGGGGTGAGATAATTGAGAATTGACTCACGGGTCGCTTAAAAAATTAACTTATGGCTTTGTAATTTTAACCATTAATAGTGATTTCTTAACGTTATAAGCGCTCCTGGGCTCATTATATCATAAGTAATGTACATATCATTACATTACACATGTTCGGTATTATTAATATTATTATTAACTGTTATAACTGTATATGTTACTTATTTAGTTATACACAGTTACCTTAATAATCGCAGTAGAAACACTTAAAAACATATTTAAATTCGCACTTACTGACAAGGTATGTGCCATTTATAGTAAAAGAAAATCGCGCGATACTGCCATCAAACGTGCTGATTTGCAATCTGCACAATTTGATTCAAAACGCCACAACAAACCCAATTATCATATCTAGTCGTTTCCTAGAATGGCTGTTTCCTTTAACATTGTTTCCTAACATGGGGAAGAGTACCTCTACTAAAAAGAGGACGGATCATTACATATAATTACATATATGCAATTTAATTTATTATAAATATTTCATTCTCTTAGAAGGATATAGAATAAATTGCTTCCTTGCTACTTAAATTTTACGTATTCAGAAATTTAACACAAAAGCATTTTCCCTTTTAAAATTTCCTTTTTATATTGCCAATAAAAATTTTTTGTATTATTTTATCATTGCTTGTAAAAGGAATAAAGTACAATAGACGAGAGTTTTATTCAATATTTTAGATAAATAATCTAGCAACGAATTATTTTTTTACTTACTAAATGTAATTTGGAATTACTCATTTAAGTTAGTTAAAATTCTGATAATGTTGTTTATTTTTAAATTATTTCATTTTTTCCCTAAAAATGAACTGTTCACATTCTAATATTAACAATTATTATATTCAATTTCGCAAACGTCTCATGAGAATTTAATGGTGAACATGTATCTCAAAACTACAGCTAGTTGTTCATAAATCATGATCAGAAAAAAAAAATTATAATTTTCTATAATTAATAATCCACGTTGAACACAAAATGGTACAGTTGGTGATACTCATCCCCCATGGATCGATCCATACGATATACATGTGTACCAAACTTATGCAACATAGGGGCAAAAAATGCCACAAGTTTATCAGGAACATGCATTATGTTTCTTGAATGAACCACCATAAATGAGTCATCATTCGAATGAACATACAAACTGTCGAAATTCAACAGTTCATTATTTCCAAATTCACTTTCATATTGAAAAATGATAACTATTCTACAAAATCAATCAGTGTATAATAGCACAGTCTATTGAAACTGGTCGCTTTCTGAACTGTCGATATAGTTTCTAAAACCTTTGCCGATCGCCCACGCTGCTGGTGGCAGCGAGAATGAGCATTCGATATCTATAAGTGATATCTAGGGTGAAATCTATAACGTGACGGTCTATAATTGTTCCCGTGCCGCGACCGCGGATAGGAAGTATTGTAATGTTGTCTTCGAGGATGATTAAAGTTAAATCGATTCCAGGTTTTGTTTTGGTGTCCTTGGAATGAATTGTAGCTGGACCTATCCTCGTACCGACGATTCGTGTAGTCCTTGACCTTCTTTGTCCGACCCTTATCTATCTCCTCGTCGTCCGCGTTAAAATGACGTTTACGTTCTTCTCGTCTGTCGTTATCGACGTCGCGGTCGAGCTGCGTTCTATTGCCATTCCAATTCGTTACTATAAAAGTTGAAGACATGAAATTATAATAGATTTTTTGATCTTTTTACAACTGGATTGACTTACGATTGAATTTTCACGATTAAATCAGACGTACTAACCTGAGGAACTGCCGTATCCGCGATGCGACATTTTCATTAAGTGTGAAACGGTATCCGAGCGATTGGTACCGTTAAAATTTCGCACAGCCGCGGCACTCGGCGTCGAATTACTAGAACAGATATAATAGATTATTTTTCGTTTATCGTCTTATACAAAATTGCATTATTTAGATTTAGATATGTGAAAGAATTTACCTCGTCTCAGAATGCGACCATCCATTGGACGACGAGCCACTGGGAGTAAAGTCCCCTCTGTCCTTAGCTTGCCAGCTTTTAACATTGTTAGTTGTAGCCTTCGTAGATACAGTCTCCTCTTGTCCATTTTTAATTCTGACAGTCTGGCGCCACTCTTTATCGCGTTGCTCCGACTGACCATTCGTGTCCGTTTTCCCATTTTGATGCTTCAGCACGCTTATCCGGCCGTTGCTGTTAGATCCATTTTTTGTACAGTCTACAATCGTAACTTGCATCGTTGTTGTCGACACGCCGTTGGTATTGCTCTTGGAATTAGTTTTCTGTAACTCTTTCGAATTGGAGATTGTTTTCGTTACATCTTTCGCGAGAAGGCATTTTGGCACACCGTTCGTGACATTAATTCGGGACGCGGTATTCGACGTTTGATTTTTCGAAGTCCCCGACTCGGAGGAACAATTGTCCTCTTCCTCACTGGACCCGGCGTCATAGGGCACCAAACTGTTTCCATTCAGAACCTTTCCGTTTTTATTGTGCACGACTAACCTTGGCTGCGACTTTTCCTGTGTTTTCTGTGATAATTGCGTACTAATAGCGTCATTGGATTTTTGTACAGGAAGATTTAATTCTATACTTCTTTGCGGGGGGAGCTGCGGACCGATTAACGTCGTTTTACTCGAATTACTGAGGTTGTTTAACAATCCGCTTGACGATCCGTTCGAGCATCCAGCGGACGTCGAGGCTCTGGATACGGGAGGTTTATTCGTAGAATTGGACAGCGAAGTCGGCACAGTCTTCGCGACTGTCGTGCCGTTCATTTTCGCGATCTGTTGATTTTGGCTATAGTTTTCCATTTCGAAAATCATAATGTACGCGTTTGTACTTAATACATTATTAAGGCTTATTGGACGAACGCAAGAGTCGTCGAAGGAATAATATTGACCGCTCGACACTTGCGCAACCGCCGTATAGTGGCCGCAATTTACGGAAGGGCCCATGTGCGTCACCATCGACATAAGTTTATAAGTTAGCTGTTTGGGAGATTCGCCCGGTTCTCTCCACAAATACTGGCCCATATCTATAGTCTGTTTGAAACCGATGTGTCTAGATATTTTTCCCCCTAAAAAGCTAAATCGTTTCAACTGTACACACAACACTTTTGGCGGGCGCTCCAGCGTGAACTGCTTGGTGGCAGGAACTCTTCTCTTACAGGCTTCACATTTATAGTCATTGTTGTCCAACTGTTCTCTACTGAAGTAACTATTTAATGCTTCGTCCAGTGTATTCGCCTTGCGTATATCCACAAGCAAATCCTGTTAAAATTCACACAGACGTTTGTTAATAATAATAACAATAAAAAAAAACCGTCACACGAAACTCAATTGTGTAACTGTTACATGCGATAAATTACTTACTTGAAAGTGTTGAAACGTGGTAGATACATGTTGACATTGCAGGCACTTTACTTCAGTACGTATATAGCCACCGAATATTTGATTAATAGGTGTCGTTTCCTTAGAGTAGTTATCCAACTTAGTCGCTTTATGCCTAGTCAAATACGCGCGTTCCATCCCCTCCAATAAATAGCGTAAAAATTCGTGAGCATCTTCTTGTTGTCCAGGCACCATAGTTCGGCAAATGACTGCAGGAATACGCGTCCCATTACAATTTTTGTATTTCGATGCGCGGGTGATAAACTTATCATCGGAAGTGAGTACGTACGCTTTAATTTATTATATATGTAAAACGGTTTGATCGCACCGCCAGACTTCTGATGACTGAACTGTAGAGTCTTGGCCACTGCACACGTAAGGCATTCCCCACCGCCATCTAAAACTATCCTATTATCAAAACACCATACAAAACTATACTATTATAACTTTTTATGCAATATTTTTCAGAGACGCGTGCGCGACAAGCAAAATGTACAATAGAACACGGGAACTTACTGTTTTGTTCGCACTTGGAATTATGATGCGGATCAGACAGCAGCCAGTTGACGAGAGCCGGAACGTGAAACAACGCTTGAAGAGTGCTGTTCAGATAACAAGTATTCCCAACGTTATACATGCCAGCTCCGACCGGACACGTGCCTTTCCATCCGAGATGGACCTTCTTGGGGGAGTACAGGGTGACAGCCGGTTCCGGCAAAACCAGCCCTTTGTTTGGGTCATTTTTTTTCTTGTAGCCAACACCATCCTTCGCTTTGCTCCCGTCTAAATTCTCGGAAGGGGACAGGTTGAGGAAGATGTTGCAGTTGGCCTGTACCTGACTCGTCGCTTGGAAATCCTTCAATTCCTCGTAACGGATCTCCGTTTGCATGATCCGCGAGGCATTGCTCACCAGCTCCAGCGACAGATCGTCCGAGGTCTTGGACGGACTGCCGTTCAAAGCGCAGTGGAGCCTGGCCGCGATAGGATCGCATACACTGACCGCAGGCATTTTTGTCTCACCCTACAAAATTCCCTCTCTTGGTCTCCGTTAAGCAGATACACCTGCAATAAAACGTGAAACATAAATTTCCACCTTCGTGCGCACCATATTGACTACAATAACGAGACAGACTCGAGGAGAACATCGTGTGGAACATCACCTACGCGTGTGAAATGAGATAAACACGTAATTGCTCACGCAGATAAGAATTTTGCGAGCGCGGAAGGCTCCAGCGCGAGGGTTAATCCCGATCGAGGCTCCGATAATCGTTCAATCGCTCGCAAAACAACAAAGTGCTTCGAGATACAGACCGATATTACTCATGCAATCGTGGAAGGCTCCGGCGGGAAGGCACACGGTGGGAGATAACGCCTCCGGTGATTGTTTACCTGCTCGCCGACGTACAGCGGTCCCCGGTCGATTTACTGGCGAGACGAGCGCGGTGACCATCTGGCGTGGAGCTGTGGAGCTCCTTCAGTTTCTTGGCGCGCGGGATCACCGTCGCCGATGTCGCCGCGGTGTCGCGGGCTTGGTCCCCCCCCCCCGGGCCCCGGTTTTTCACTCCCCAACACGCGGCTACCGGACGGGAGTCGCTCGCCGCCGCGGAGGTCGCGCACACACACGTGCGTGCGTGCGCGCGGGCGCGCGCGGGTCCGTCTCTCGCTCCTTCTCCCTCTCTTTCTCTTGCGCTCTCTCGCACCCGTCACGAGCGGATTTCCCGCGTGTCACACGCACGTTAACGCGTTAAATGCCCGGACGCGACGACGAGGCACGATTCAAGCCGCAAGCAGCAACAGCAGCACGATAACCGACCGACCGCCGACGCCGGTCATCACATATCGATCGCGCGCGACGATCTCGCGAGTCTCGCGACACGCTCGTGCGTCGGACACGCGGCAACCGTAAGCGGGCACGCGCGCACGGCCGTGACAGCCATTTGCATTCGCTGCTATCTCTCCGCGGGACCGCTTCCTGCGAGCGATTCGCCAGCACGCGGGAAAATCGCGACGTCGCGTCACGGCGCAAGATGGTTCCGGCCGGCTAAAGGAGTGGACACGGCAGGGGGGCAGGGGGCGCGGAGGGGATGGGGTGACGTGCCGAGTCGACCGTGCGGGCGAACGCCGCTGCGCCGTCCCTCGTACGTACCGTTCGACCGACGACCGATCGACGAGTCTGACGTTCGATCTTTCCTCCCGCGAGACGTTCGACGGCCGCACGAGGCCGACCGTGAGTTTTTAACGGAGCACTTTCGGTCAGAAGCGCGGTCACTTAACCTAGTGAGAGCGAGTGCGTTCGGAAAACAATCGCGCCGATCGCGCGCGCGCGCGGCCGCGGAGAAGAGGCCGTCGCGCGTAATTGGTGCATTTGGTGCCCGCGTTCGCGCCCCTGATAGGCTGTGATAGACTGTCCAAGAAGACTGCGTCGAGGGACAGCAACTCTTTTCGATGGGTTCGAGAATGCGATCGGTATACCAGTTACCAGTCAATTACCAGTCGGAATCTGTCTTTCGGCGGCCAAGGTCGGAGCTGGTCTGAGCGTCTAAAGCGGTCTGATGTCTATAAACGTTATTCTGGGTATGTACGTTATTATAAATCGTATTTTCAATCTTTCCGAGGAAACGTAATAACAATTCCGATCGGAGTTCATTCAGAGTCGGAAAAGCCGGTAACGTACTTTGTTTTAATAATTATAGGTCGGAGCTGGTGTGAGCGTCTAAGCGGTCTGAGGTCTATATACGTTATTCTGGGTATGTACGTTATTATAAATCGTATTTTCAATCTTTCCGAGGAAACGTAATGACAATTCCGATCGGAGTTCATTCAGAATCGGAAAAGCTCGGTAACGTACTCCGTTTCAATAATTATTATTCAATACTGACGCACCGAGAAAAGATCTTTTATCACGATGAAATCATAAACTTACGCGCCTGCAATCTAATTACTAAACTAAATCACATTACTAGAAAACAAAGAATGAATTAGTGCGTGCATATTGATCGATGTACGATACACATGCGTCTACTCATAAGAATTTTGCAATGAGTTTGAATTAAAATTAAATTTTTAATTTATATCATAATAAGATTCGATTTAAATGAAAAGTATTTTGATGGTCTTTTAAAAGCAAAAGGAATTGAGGGAAGTATCCTAGCGGTGTACTCCCACGCCGGTAATTCCTGATTCCAAACTGTGTACTGGAGCAAAGAGAAAAGATCATTTTAATGCAATAAAAAAAAATCACTCATGCCTTAATCGCAATTTCTTAATAATAAACATTTTTGCGCTCTGAAAAACCTACCAACGTTTCCGACGTGTCCGATATGATGGATTTACATTCAATGTCGCCGAGGTAGAAACAGAAATTTTACGTTTTTTTTGAAAATCAGAACTAATATTGAAAGATGACAATCTGTATTGGCGTTGCTTTGAAGTATCTCTTTTTGTGGCTATTTGCATGATACGTGTCGTCTATCGAGACTTTAGAAAGTAAACGTTTAATTTAAAATGTCATTTAATAACATATAGCATATTAAACACACAACGAATTCGAGTCGTTCTACACATTTTTAAAAGTTTACCTAAACTTCCGCTGGCTATTAATCTCGGAAAATCACTGTCATTTGAGTTAAATAAAAGGTGAAATGCAATAAACAGTGAAGTAATAATACGTTATTGTTTCAATATAAATTGCGGATTAATAGTGTAATAATAAGAGCTGTTAATACTGATAGCAATAAATTGATTGTACTTTCGTAATAATTTTACAAGTTTGCCATACAAAACATACAACATACGTAACAGCCATCATTATTCGCCTTTATCACTGATAGATTGCAACAGGAAGAAATAGGACACTGTAGTATTAACGAACTACAAATAAAAATAAAACGATTAAAATTAGTTTAATATGTGAAAAATATACATAATAGTAAATGTTATTAATTGATGTAGAGACTTTTCTAAACTTTGTAAAAAATGAAGTTGAAAGAAATTCAAAGAAATCAACTTCAATGATAAAAAGAAGTTTTTAATTGATATATTCAGAACAGTAATTAAAATCTCTTAATTTTTTATACATATATATATATATATATATATGTTCTGTATAAATTCTACAATATAGATTTAATTTAAAGTAATTAAAAAAATAGAATTAATGCAAAATATCTTAATTTATTGCTCAAGATTGTCGTAATCACATTTTGTGCGTTCTCAGTCTCTAAAGTTTTGAATCTTCAATTTTCAAAAAATGAAATATGAATATAATTATAAAGTGATAGCGCTATAAAGCTCGAAATAATTCCGACGAAATCATAAGGTTCCACAAAGATTTACTCAATCGATTAGGATTTCAGTACTTACATTGGTGAACATGTTCATGTCAACGAGAGAGAAAACTGCGTTTATCGTCATTGGTTTTTGAATCATCATTAGAATGACGTTCGTTCTCACGTGATGATCCAGATTAGAATTAGGCCATTCGCCAAAATATATTCCTTTACGAAAGTCCTCGCTCTAAACATATAGATATAGTTAATATAGTATATACATATATAGGAAATTATTTTGAGTCATTATAATTGTTTTAGTAAATCATTAAAACTTACCGCATTTGTGAGGAGTGTGCCATACCATGCATACGTAAATGTTTGGAGAAATTTGGTTGTAGCGTAAGTCACAGATACGCCTATGTTGAAAGTATTAGAGTCCGAGACCTGTTTCAAATGTTTAACAATTAGTATCATATTATGAAACATTTGCGCAATGTGATAATATCGGACATGCGTCCAATAAAACAATTTTACACGCGTAGCGTAATCTTTGTTCCTATTCTTAAAAAAAGGAGCAAAAATTATTACAAATTATTAGATTATTTTACTTTACTGAAGCTATATTAGGCTCCGCAAAAAAATTATGACCTTTTTTTATTCAATATTTGCAAATGTTCTCCAAATGTATAGAACTTAAACACGTTTAAATTTATTCTGACGTTACATTAGCGATCCGACGGTAGCAATTGTACAACCATAACATTTATTATATAAGCGAAATCGAACATCAAATTTTGCATTAATGTATCGACGTACTGACATCGCCTCGTATATCAATGCGCAAAGGAGTACGGCGTTGGTGACAATGTGCCAAAAGGCAATGGGTCCGTAGATGTGCTCCAACGTATTGCGGCATGGCATTAGTTTCTGATGCTTTGCCACGCATGACTTTAGGACGTCTGAGAAGCTCTCGGTGGGCAAAGGATTCGTGAGCCTAAAGGTCATGGCGTGCATTACTGAGGCAAATTGATAGATATAAAAGCCAAAGGCGTTATCCATGCCGCATGCCGTGACGCCGCTGATCCATACTCCGCCCGTCTCGAAGAGCAGATGAAAATGATACAGATAGTTGCGAGGAACGGTCCAAAAGTATCCGTATCCCCTAGTGATTGGTAGGCTGTAATTTGTAGTTGAATGGAAATGACAGAGACCGCGGATTATGGATAAATAAGGAGGCGCAAAAAACGCCAACGTCAATGTTAGCAAAATTGCAGCATATGTGTATGTCAGGGTGTATATTGTGGGCAGGGATGAAAACATTATCGTCCGGATTTTTTTATCCCGTAGAAGTTCCTCCTCGAAAAGATCATTTAGCGTCTGGTGATAATTTATCAGAGACCCCCGATTGTGCAGGAAAGTTGAAATCTTAAAGAAAACCAGAAACTCATATTTTTTTCTACACGCGAGACAAAGAAGCTGCACAGAGACTGACGTGGCACGTTTGATACAATTTTTAAACTGTCATATTTTAGTTTCAAATGGAAAATCTTTTTCGTTAGAGATATATGGAACGTTTCAAAGAAGTAACGCTTATTAAAAGATCAACTGATATATTAGCGGATTAACACCTCTATCATCCATACAGGGCTTAAAGCTCCATGCGAAATTTTTCTCTTGCAGTTCTTCGTCGAGAGAAGGAGGCGATGTTTGGTACCTCCCATCTCTAAAAAAATATCCAACATTACGTTCTTCTTTCCACGAAGAACTGCAAGAAAGAAATTTTGCTTGGGGCTTTAAAACCCCATATGGGTGACGGAGGATTAAATATATTTTTTCAATATATTTGCTAAAAAATCTTGCATAATTCGTGTATTATTTCTGTTGCGAATCTTTAATTCGACGACATATCTGGTTGATCTTTTAACGAATGTCATTATACATATAGTAAAAAACATGTATCTCCAGAATTAATTGAAGTGCGTAACGTAATCCATTTCGAAATTTTGCGAGCAAATATATTAATATGTTTCTCATTGTAAAATATTATTCTGATCTTGCTCTTCTACTTAATAAAATGCAAGCTGCTCCTGGTTCGTACCTTGAGAATGGCGCTAAATGAAGATATTGCAACGCCGACACATTTCATCATAATTACCAAATTATGTCTGTGGATATAGCACATATGCAAGTTCACAATTGCGTAAGAGATTACCACCAAGAGCACACCAGCTGCCAAGAAGTTCATGCACCTGCCGGATTTTGTGGGCATGTACCAACAGCCACACATAGTGAGCAGAGTGTGAAAGTAACGCTGATATGCACGATACGCTCGCAACTCTTTATC